GGCCGTGTCCCAATAAAACCTTATTGATGGACACTGAAATTTAAATTATGTATCATTTCCACATGTCACGAAATACTCTTTTGCTTTTTTTTTTTAAGATTTTATTGGGGAATGGGGGAGGGAAACAGCGCTGGAGAATCGGGGAAGGGGAACAGAGAAGTTGCTGTCGTTGTGTTCTTCAGTCTAGTTGTGGAGGACGTCGCTTCACTGGCCCACGTTGGTATTATCATTGCGCTCTTCCCGGGTGAGGCAGCTTGGTCGCCGGTCTCTGGACGGCCTCTCACGGCAGCTCTTGACAGCTCACACCGGCTGCCAGCTGCTCACGCTGGCTGCCAGCCACACACAGTAGCTTATGGCAGCCCACTGTAGCAGGGGCTGCAGCCTACGCCGTCGCCGGCGACTCACGGTAGCCCAGCTCCATGTTGAGCTGTTGTTCACCATCTTAGCTGAAGAGGCCAGTGTCACTGGCCCCCATGTGGGATCCGAATCGGGGCCCTGCTGCTCAGAGCTGGCATCCCAAGCCAGCTCTTAACCAGTGCACCACTTGGCTGGCCCTCTTTTGCTTTTTTTCTCTCTGATCATTTAAAAATACAAAATCCATTCTTAGCTTGTGGGCCTTACTGTTCCAACCCCCATTATTACCAGCCCCTGAAGGTGGGCACAGAGCTTGTGTTTTCTTTACCATCATGATTAACTTGGTATAAACATCTCAACAAATTTTTCAAGTGAACCCATTAGGTAAATTTGCAATGGGGGACATGCTACAGCAAGGTGGGGAGATGGTGTTTTTAATATTGCTAGACATTGCCAAAGCACTTTACCAAAAATTAACCCTGTTTACCTTTCCTGGAACCAGGATTGGTCATGCTGCTGAAAAGCTCTATCTGTGTGATAATGGAAGAGGTCACATGTTTCTGTGCTTTTCTTTGAGTCTTTTTTCATTCATTTTTAAGCCATTTGATATTCCCTCAGTGATTTGTCTGACCCCTTTACCTATTTTTCTGCTGGGATGTCTTGTTGATGATCAAACTTGCTTTTTACATAGGAAGGACCTTAGCCCTCTGCCTAGTGCCGTCTGCCTAACATGAGATCCAGCTGTGGGCAAGTAGGGAAGTGTGTGCTGACTAAGCATACAATATCAGGTCCCTGCTTAACAGTCTCCTGGCTTGGTGGGACAGGACCAACTCCACACAGTAATGAGGATGCTCAGGGTGGCCAGCACAAGAGCAGGCTCCAGCTTTGGGGTTAGCAAAGCCTCCCTGATGGAACAGGAGAGGTCGGCAGAAGGTCGAGGCTGGGGAGGCACTCTGGGTAGAGGGAGCACATATGGGAAGGCTCAGAGGCAGCAGTGAACTTGGGAGGGGTCGAGTGGGCCTTGTGTGCCCAACAAGAGTGATGATGGGGTAGGGGGGTACCCCCAGAGTGTGCTCTGATGTGTCCCCTCCCTCCTCACTGTGCAGCCAGCAGAAGACCGAGCTGCCAGTCACGGAGAATGTTCAGACGATCCCACCCCCATACGTGGTCCGTACCATCCTCGTTTACAGCCGCCCACCATGCCAGCCCCAGTTCTCCCTGACTGAACCCATGAAGGTGAATGAGGCCTTGGAGAGGCGGGGTGAGATACCAGGAGGGACTTCCTGAGCATAGGATCTGGGGCACCTACAGGCAGGTTCCCAGAGTCCAAGACAGAAGTTGGGGAATTGTGGCCGTGGGGGCATGGGGTGACCTGAGTCCCAAAGGCTAGTGTTCTTCCCTGCAGAAAATGTTCCAGTGCCCATATTTCTTCTTCGATGTTGTTTACATCCACAATGGCGCCGATGAGAAGGAGGAGGAGATGAGCTGGAAGGTGAGGCTGTGGCGGGTGTGGGGGGCAGGTGGGTGTAGATGGAATGTCTCTGAACCCACCTACCCTGGGCCTGGGAGACCCTACCTCCTGGATCCTGGTCCTTCTGTCATTCAATGATCATTTCCACATGTCTGCTGGGAGCTCATGGGGGCTGTTTGGACATTGGCGCTGAGAGCACACGGGATCCTGCCCACCTCATCCCCAACATCTGCTTCTCTCTGCCTTTGCTCTGGCTGTACCCTCTGCTTGGAACACCGTTTCATTTCTGCCTCCCCAGGTTCTGCTTGTCATTCATGTCCCAGCCTTGAACTAGCTATGAAACCTCAAGTGTGGGCCGTTTATCTCTCTGAGCCTCAGCTTACCCAACTGTGAATAGAGGGAGTTGAGACCAGTTTCTATTCATACCTCAATATCCAAGCCAAAAGTCTCTACTCTGGGAAGCCTTCCCTACTCCTCAAGAAAGATCAGCATGGAGGCTGGGGGGTAGTCTGCATCCAGCTGTCTCCAGACTGGGGTCTCCAGGACTATGGCCTCTTGGTATCCCTAACACTGGGTGGGTGGCAGGGAATGCTTTCTGCCCGGCACACTCCTCTTCACCCTTCAGAACCCACCCCTGATACTCCCTCCTCTGGGAAACCCTCCAGGGGCAAGGAGGGCCTATCAAGGGAGCCCCTGCCTGAAGAGCCCCTTCCTGGCCCCATAGGACATGTTTGCCTTCATGGGCAGCCTGGATACCAAGGGCACCAGCTACAAGTATGAAGTGGCGCTGGCTGGGCCTGCCCTCGAGTTGCACAACTGTATGGCCAAGCTGCTGGCTCACCCACTGCAGCGGCCCTGCCAGAGTCACGCCTCATACAGCCTGCTGGAGGAGGACGATGAAGCCACTGAGGTTGAAGCCACTGTCTGAACCATCCCTGTGCATTTAATCTTCTCGTACAATGAAACCATTGGCCTAGAGTGCTGGTTCTCAAACTGGGCCCCATGGAACCCCTGGGGTGGGGGCTTCAAGGAGGCACCCAAGGTACTTGGGAGCCCTGGAAGGAAACCCAAGATTCAGCAAGCATCCCAGGGACTGTGGGCACCCATTCCCCATGTTCCCCAGCCCACGTCATACTTCCCAGTTTATCAATTGTAATTTTTGTTCTTCCCTGTGTGATTTTGTCATCATAATAAAAATCTGAGAAATGCCTGACATTTCTACACCAATCACCTTGTGTTAATTGGGATCTTGGTTGCAAGTGACAGAAAATCCACCCACTGAACAGAAAGGGAAATGGCTTGGTTCTTGTGATTGAGAAACCAAGTTGTAGCTTCAGGATTGGCTGTATCTAGCTGTTCAGACAACATTGCCATTGGGGTGGGCTGAAATACCCTGCATGGTTGGTGTTCAGTATGCCCTGCTTTCCTCCCAACCTGTGGAAAGGGGTAAGATGGCAGTATCGACCCCAGGAAAGAAAATACCAAGAAGGGCTCCTGGTGGCTAATGGGACTCAAAAAACAAAACAAAACAGAGCAAATGGCCTCGCAGTCATTGCTGACTAGGGGTCTGTCATAGGAACCTCTCACTAAACTGTCTACATTTTGTACTGAGCTACCTTCCTGCATTGTGGTCCTCCTGCTTAAGCCAATTCTTATAAAGGAGTTCCCCGGGATCATATTTCAACCAATAGGATGGAGAAGTCCCCCCACCATCCAAATGGAGCTGTGTAGCTATGTCCTTAATAACTGACCAATTAGAATGGCTCCATTCTGACCAATCAGGATAGTGCTTTTTGGGCCAATTAAACTAAGGATTTTGAGTCTTCATTTGCATGAGAACTGGCCAATCAGGGACCAAGGGCAGAGACATCTCTTTTTGTCAATTTCCCTCTGGCTAGAAAGTGCTTATTCCTTTCACACCAAAGAGTGAGTCCCTGATGAGCTGAAATACCTAAAGCAGTTTGCTGGATTAAGGTGTTTAAGTTTCCTCCTCCACTGCTCCCCAAATTGGGGATTCTTATTGTCCTTGAATTGTCATCCACTGACCTTTGACAGCTGTGACCGCTCCTCCAACCCCAGCCCAGATGAAGTGAGGGCTCCCGGCACCCATATGACTGGCGTTGCCTGGGTCATGGACCAGACCTCTTGGGTGCTCTCATTGTCCAGGCCTGGATCAAGCCTCTTGTGGAGGGTGGCGGTGTGTGTGTGTGTGTGTGTTACAGTTCCACCAAGGGATAGTGTGAGTGCTCCTCAGAAGAAGGGAGACAAGACAGACACACAGGTTCACCATTCAACAATCTTCCTGGGTAATGAGCAATTGTGAAAAAAGTTTACCAGCTACATTCTCAATTCCATATAAAATGAAATTAGCTGGGCCGGCCAAGTGGCGCGATGGTTAAGAACTGGCTTGGGACGCCAGAGGGCCCCGGTTCGGATCCCACGTATGAGGGCCAGTGACACTGCCCTCCACAGCTAAGATGGTGAACAACAGCTCAACCTGGAGCTGGGCTGCCGTGAGTCGCGGGCGACGCCATAGGCTGCAGCCCCTGTGGCAGTGGGTTGCCATGGGCTACCGTGTGTAGCCAGCAGCCAGCGTGAGCGGCCAGCAGCCGCAGTGAGCGGCCGTCCAGAAGCCGGCGACTGATCTGCCTCACCCGGGAAGAGCGCAATGATGGTGCCAACTTGGGCCAGTGAAGCAACGTCCTCCTCCACAACTAGACTGAAGAACAAAAACAACAGCAACTTGTCTGTTCCCTTTCCCCCAATTCCCCAGCACTGTTCCCATCCCCCCAATTCCCCAATAAAAATCTTTAAAAAAAAATGAAATTAGCTTTACTGAGCAACAGCTTTTCTTTCCCACAAGCATTTATTGGGGACCTGTGTGCCAGGCCCCTGTGATAAAATGTTTGTTCAACATCACACCAACCTGGAAGGGATTATTCTCCCATTTTGTGGATGCGAAAACTAAGGCCCTCAGGGGTCTAGCGCCCCAAAGTCACGGACTCCCAGCTCTGCGAGACTGAAAACGGGCGAAACAGAGCTTCTGGAGGCTGGAACTGTTAACTGTGCGCGCTGATGGGCTAATAGAGGCCACCTCCGCAGAGGGTTCCCCTGCCGGCACCTCGGGTTCCTCCGAGTCTTAGCTCCACCCCCTCCAGCAGGGGGTGTCGCGTTTCCCAGCTTTGAAGCGAGATAATGGCACACCCCACGGCCTCCACCCGCCCCGGCCCTTATCGGCTGCCCCAAGCCCTGCCTGAGCGTCATTAGGGGTCGCGAGCCCGGGGAGCGAGCACTGAAGCTCTCCAACCCCGATGTAGGCGCGCTTGCGGAGCGGACCAGCCAGGCTAGTGTCCCAGTGCGGCAAGCGAGTGCAGTGACCCGAGCCGAGGGGTGGGGTGGCGCTTGCGTACAAGGGCGAAGCGGGAAGTTTGAAATTGGCAGGCCGAGCAGTGGGTCTGAAGGACCGCGCGGGCATGGGCACGGCTGAGGGCCTGGCGCGACGGCTGCGGACAGCGCTGCGGGAAGAGGAGCCGCGGTGAGGGCGGGGCCCGGGGCGTAAGGGCCGGGAGGCGGGGAGAGGGTTGCGGTCTACTCTGACACCCTGACGGCAGGGCAGTGGAGGAGCTGTTGCGCCACGGCGCGGACCCCAACCTGGTGCTCGCGGATGGCGTGGCGGCTGTGCACCTGGCGGCCGGAGCCCGGCATCCGCACGCTCTGCAATGTCTCGAGGCCCTGCTACGTGGAGGCGGGAATCCAAACGCTCGGTGAGGAGGGCCTGGGCCCGAGGTGGAGTCTCCCGCGCAAAGGTGGGGTCTCGCGAGTCAGAAGGCGAAGCCTGGGAGTCCGGGAGAGGGCGTCCCACGGTCCAAGGGCGGATACTCGATGCCCGAGGGCCGAGGTTGAGGAACCTAGGGAAGGCACCTGAGAACCCAAGGTCGGGGGCGGGGATCCCAGACATTGGGTGGGGTTGCGTTGGGGCCAAAGTGGGGATCAAAGGTTCGGATCTGGGGGTAGAATCTCCAAGGTCAGAGAGCACAGTTTTGGATCCCAGCCTGAGGGAGTAGGATCTGGATTCCGAGGGTGGTTCCTCAGGCTGGAGATTGGAGATGGGTGGCTGAGGCCAAGACTCCTGGGCGGAGATCGAGTTTCCTCCTCTGCTGACCGCTCCTCTGCTTCTGCCCCAGATCCGCCGAGGCGCTGACACCGCTGCACGTGGCCGCCGCCTGGGGCTGTCTCAACGGCCTGGAGCTACTGCTGAGACAGGGAGCGGACCCGGCACTTCGCGATCAGGTAAGGGGCCCTTGCGTCGGGACCGCCAGGGACGGAGGGAAGAGGGCCTCGGGCGCCCCCTGCTGACCATGCTGCCGCAGGACGGACTCCGGCCGCTGGACCTGGCGGATCAGCAGGGACACCAGGACTGTGCACGCGTCCTGAGGGAGCACCAGACGCTGACCAGGTCCCTTACCCGGACCCGGGCGGAGACTCAGGAGCCGGAGCCGAAGCCGGAGCCTGGCCGTGAGTGGGGCCTGCGCAGCCACAGGGGCTTGGCCTCTAGACTAGCTTAGCGTGTCTCTATCACTGATGTCCATTGTCTCCCGCTTGTTCTGTCTCACTTCCAGTGTCTTTGGTCAGCTCTGTCTGCCTTCACTCTCTCTTTCTTCTCTCTTTGACTCCAGCCCCCTCTTTTTGTCTGATCTGACTCCCATTTCTGTCTCTGGCTTTCCCCTCCATTCCTCTCTGACACCCCCTCATCATCTGCTTCAGGCCCAGGCCCCAGGGGAAGGGGGCTGGACGCCAGCCCCTCTGGACCTCCTGATGTGACACTGGACTCTACAGCACTGCGCAGAGGTGATGGCAGGGACAAGCGCCTGGTGGCTGGCCCTGGAACCCCCAGCCTCTTTGCCCATCCTGAGGTTGCTGACAAGGATGGCAGCTTGGATCCCCCCCCAGGGCACTGGGACTGCAGCTCAGATGCCTCCTTTGTCATGGCAGTTGAGGCCTCTGGAGCCAAGGACCCAGCCCCTCCCACTGTCCCCTCGGCCGGGTCATTGCCCCAGGCCAGGCAGCGACTCCTGCCTGGGGTCCGACCATCCCAGAGGGTGCCAAAGTCTCCTGGTACCCCACAGCTGGTGCATGGAGATGTCATGGCAAGCAAGGAGGCTGAACTGAATGCCCATCTGCAGGCCCTGACTCTGTCCTTGCCACAGGCCTCCCCCTCTCCCACATACCAATTAGGTGCAAGCCCAACCCACAGCTCGCCTGGGAAACCACTGCCTGGACCCTCCAATTTCCACTTCCTAAGGGACGACCAGTGGTCCCTCGACAGTGATGTGGCCGCCCTCTGGCTGACAGAGGATGAGGCGAGCTCCACAGGTGACAGGGACCCTGTTCCTTCTTGCTGGTGCCTGCCGGTCCCCGCCATGTCTGACCTGGAGCTGCTGCAAGGGCTTCGGGCACTGGGTCAGAGCCCAGGCCCCATCACGCCCTTCACCCGGCCACACTACCTCCGCCGGCTACAAGAAGCCCATGCTGCTTCCGGTTAGTCCCTCCTGAGTATCCAGAGTTCAAGGAACTTCCAGAAGTCCCTGGAGACTCCTGGCTCTCAGTCCCACTTCTCTTTTCATCTTTGGGAACCACCTCTTCCTGTCTTCCTTGACTCAGTTTCCCCTCCTAGGCCAAGACTTTTCAGGGCACAGTCCAGAGCTGGCTGAAGCCCTGAGGACAGGCCAAATCCCAGATGCCCAGGCAGATGAGGATGCACTTGCTCAGCAGTTTGAGCGTCCAGATCCCAGCAGAAGATGGCGGGAGGGGGTCATGAAGTCCAGCTTCACATATCTGCTGCTGGACCCCAGGTACTCAGGGCAATAGTGGGACCCAGAAGTGAGAGCTGGAAAATTCTGGGATTGGTTCTTATATGCTGTGTGTCTTCAGGAAGGGAACTGGCCCTCTCTGGTCATCAGCTTCTTTATAAAAGACAGCTGGATCTAATTCGGGCTGCTGAGTCTTTGGGAAGCAGCCACCACTCTCTGCCCTATAAAATGGGGGTCACTGGATGTAGGTTCAGTTTGCTCTATGACCTTAGAGACTTTCTCTAGGACAACGCTTGTCACTTTTCCTCTCTGATCCACCCCCTTTCATCCAGGGAGACTCAGGACCTGCCAGGCCGAGCCTTCTCACTGACCCTGACTGAATGCCTTCGGACTTTTGTTCATGCCATCTTCTATGTGGGCAAGGGGACACGAGCCCGGCCGAATGTCCACCTCTGGGAGGCCCTTGGCTACCATGGGCGGCCAGGAAAACAGGTGTGAAAATAAGGACCTGGGTCAGGGCAGAGGCAGCCAGGTTGCGGACAAATAGAGGAAGGAGGGGATTAGGGGGCAGACCCTTGACCCCATCCTGGACCCCCCAGGCCTGCCCCAAGGTGCGCCAGATCTTGGACATTTGGGCCAGCGGTCACGGCGTTGTTTCCCTGCATTGCTTCCAGCATGTGGTCGCTGTGGAGGCTTACACCCGAGAGGCGTGTCTTGTGGATGCTCTAGGTGAGTGCCTAGCTTGCGTGGTGGGGGTTGCAGGAAGGGCACTTGATCTACCAGTTCCCTCACCCCTTCCCCCTTAGGGCTGTTCATTCATTCAGTAAGCAATTATTGAACATCGACTATGTACCTGCACATGCACATATTTGTTCCTTGGTTTATCCCTGCTTGAGGGCAATACAGTGAGTTCACTGGCACATACTTACTTCTACGGGAGTTTGCTGAGGCTGTCCCTGTGACCTCATCCCTAATCTCTCCAGGGATCCGGACACTGACCAACCAGAAACAAGGACACTACTATGGAGTGGTAGCAAGCTGGCCACCTGCCCGGCGCCGCCGCCTGGGAGTGCATCTGCTACACCGCGCCCTCCTTGTCTTTCTGGCTGAGGGTGAGCGAGAGTTGCGACCCCAGGACATCCAGGCCCACAGCTGAGCACTTAGAAATTGGCCATCCAGCCTGGGTAGAGATCACAGTGTTTGAATGGTCCATGTGCCCCGTGCTGAGAGCAGCCCTCCATCTCTAGCTCTAAAAGGCTGGTGGAGGGGACAGCAGGCAGATCTCCCCCTCAGATTAAGGGAGGACTTTGTTACAGATGGAACTGCTGGATAGGTAGTGAGCTCCCCGTCACGGGAGGAGAACAAGTAGACCAGAAGGTTTTTTGGAACATGCCAGTGCTTTTGCAGTTTGGTCCTGCCTGTGTGGGCAAAGTCCACTTTTATCTCCCAGACAAAGGGCACCCACATTGTGGACTGGGAGCTTCTTCAGCCATATGAAGGGAATCTGCCCAGCTCAAGAGCCGGGTTCTGCTGCTAGCCACCTGTGGTATCTCAGACCAGTAATCTGTCTTTCAGAGCCTCAGCTTCCTCAGTTGTACCATGGGGACTTTGAGAGGTCCTAGCCCTGGTGTCATTGTGGGGATCCGATTAAATGAAGTCATGCATTAGGGTGTGGCTCAGAACCCTGCACTGAGCCAGAGGTGGCCCAGGTGGAAAGTCTCCCTGGGGAGGGAGGTGCCCTGATGTTCTTGAAGGGCTGTGTGTGGTGACAGGAGGCGAGGGAAGGGGGGGCGGGGTTGGAGTTGGGTGTGAGACACCAGCTCTCCAGATCACTGTGCAATGCAAGCTTTCTGGTGTTGTTTCCCTGAACCTGTTTCTTCTTCCGCTATAAAAATGAGTTCAAAAACCCCAATTTCTGATGATGCCCTGTGAATTCATACTATCCACATATGCAAAGAGCTTCAGTAAAATACCAGGCCGGGGAGTTGATGAAGTGTTGGCAGGATCATTTAAATTTTCCAGAAGTTGCTTCTTCAAAGCTACCAATGGGTTTAAGCACTGGGGGAGTTCCGTTGACTCATTTGGTTCACCACCTGCCCGTCATTGCGACTCAGCCAACCAGGTCCTGCAGGGGGCGGGCTGTAACCTGGACAGAGGTACACCTGTCCGGGTTCCTCTACTGCGGAGCCCTTGGCTCTCCCTGGGAGGAAATGGCATGTTTTGTAATTAGGTACCCGGCCTCTGGAGGGGGCCTGGGCACTACCACTTCAGTTGAACTGTAGAAATCTCTCTCTCTGAGCTGACACCAAATCTTCACAGACACCAAATCTGATAAAGGGACAGCAATTAACACAGTGTGCCATGTGCCCAGGAATTCACAAACAGGTTGCTGGGAAGTAATCCAGAGACCCCCAAAAGTCCCCAAAGAGGTGGGATTTGTCTAACAGAGTTTTCCAACCTCAGCTCTACTGATAACTTGAGGCCGAATTCTTTTTTGGGTGGGGAGTGTCCTTTGCATTGTAGGGTGTTGGGCTGCTTCCCTGAGCTCCACCCACTAGATGCTGGTGTCACCCTCCCCATCCCAGGTGTGACAAAACTGTCTCCAGAATTTCCCAAGGGACAGCTGTGCCTCTGGTGAGAACCCCTGGACCAAACGAAAGGTGGGCTCACACACCAGTGGGGAATGGTCCCAAAAGGCAGCAACCCAGAGGACAATTGTCTTCTCCCACCATCCACACAAACCACAGGCGTACCTAGATATACATACATTAGGATAAAATATTGAGGACTGAAAGAGCACAGCCGTGGGGAAGGAAATCCTACCAGACAGAAAAAGATTTGGTAGCTTCAAAATGAAAACCATCTTTGTGACAAAAACCACGCTAAATCAAGTTGAAAGATAAAATAGTATGGTACGCACTGATTTGCTGTGTGGCATGGGGTGAAGAGGATTCAGTGAATCTATGGGTGTCAGGCACTCAGCATGGGGCCTTTATAAAGCTGGTACTCAATTATGGCTGCTCTAATCCCATACAACGTCCAGTGACTCTCACCTCAACCTCCACATGGACCTCAGTTGGACCACCTCCTCCCCTCCAGTGACTGGGAGCTCACCCTGATAATCTGCCCTCTGCTCTGCGAATACTGCCAAAGTACCCCTGTGTTCTGAGGAGGAAGAGGACACTCGGGGAAACAAGCCTGGAAGGCCCTGAGTGGGTTGGCACCAGCATCAGCCATTTGCAGATGGGAAAAGTAAGGCTCAGGGTGACACCCCCTTCCCTGAGGTCACGCAGCACAGGTCAGGAGGCTAGGATTGTCACTTTTTATTGACTTACAAGTTGACATGTGCAGGTTTGATGGCGCCAACCCCCTCCAATCCCTCCCACCTTGGGCAACAATAGCTCCCAACGCCCAGGAATGGGGGGAGGGGGGTCTCCGGCAATGGGGTGGGACCCCGAGGGTCCCTGGATCAAGCATGGCAGACACACGGAAGACGAAGAGCTGGGCGAGCGGCCTGCCTCGGCAGTGGCCTTGGGGGGAAGGGGGCTTGTGTACAAGGTCATCCTCCACGGGAGTCCTGGCTGCAGCCAGATGGGTCTTGCAAGGCGCAGGCTGAGAGCAGTGTGCCCACCTGGCTCCCTTGAAAACCACGCCCCGCCCAGCCGGCCTAGGAGCATCTCTGGGCCTGATCCAGCCCACCCGAGAGAACAGCCCGCACAGGAAGTTGAGGCTGCAGACGCGGCCCTGACTGCTGGCTCCAGGCTTCCTCCTCCTCCTGCTCCTTGGCTATGCCCAGCCGGCCCAACAGCTACTTCTTCTCGTCCGGAGATATGGGCAGGGGCTCGGGCAGGACCTTGGGTGAGGGTTCAGGTTCCCAGAGCAGGAATTCATGGAGCAACGTGTTGACTGTCTCCGGACACTCCAGCATCACCATGTGGCTGCCTTCGTCTATAAGCTTCAGGAAAGCCAGGAGCAAGATCTGTGGGGAAAACGGGCTCAGGGCGGCGGGGCCAGGCTACCCTGTGACTCCCCGTCAGCAACGCATGGCCTGCACCATCGAGAAATCCCTCCTGCGGTCTACCCTTCATCCCTCCACTTCCATCCAAAAGGGAGCTGGAGGATGGCCTGATGCCTTGCTGCATCCCAACTCAGTATTCATTCATTCCACATTTACTAAGTTACTACAAAATGTCCAGAACGGGATTTCTCAACCCCAGCACTACTAACATTTTGGGCTGGATCTTTGCTGTGGGGCCATCCAGTTCATTGCAGGGTGTTGAGCAGCATCGCTGGCCTCCACCCACCAGATGCCAGTAGCACCTTCCCCTCTCCCCAGAGTCACGACAACCAAAAAAGTCTGCAGACATTTCCAAGTGTCCCCCGGGGGATGGTAGTGGTGGCAGAATTGTGGGTGGTTTAAAACCGCTGGGCCAAGTGCTAAGGATCCCAAGACCCTTTTCTGACAATCTGATCTGAAGACCCTCTGGCCCACCCTCTCCAAGAATTCTGTAGCCCAATACTGGTCAGTTATACAAACCTCAGCTGTGAAGAGTGCCTTTTTATGTGCAGAATGACAGTGCATAATCCTAACAGCTAGTCAGGGCAGCCCCACTTTCTGGATTCCAGCTTTTACCCTCGATCTAAACTTCCATGTCCCTGGGGCTGGATAACACAGTTGAGTACCCTTGGGCTGCATGCCAGGGATTTGGGGGTGTGGTGGCTGGGTGCCACGCCCCTACCTCAGCCATGCGCTGGTCTTCCTCCACTGGCACAAACTTGTCGTGCATGCCGTGGACGAGCAGGACAGGCACAGTGAGCTCGGCGTGGTAGACCTCATCACCCTCGGGCCAGTACTGGCCACTCATCATGGCTCGCAGCACAAAAGATGACACGTTGAATGCATTGCCCTCCTTCAGTAGCTGCTTCTCTTTGGCCCCTTGGCGGGCAAAGCCGGCCCTGGTGGTGGGGAGGCACCACTGGAGCCCCTCATGCCATCCAGGCCACCCGAGGTGCCCCCATGTCATCCCTAGCTGTACAGCTTCTTATCCCACCCAACTTGGGGACGTGCCAGGATCTGCCAGGGCTGGGGTCACTCACTTCAGAAAGCTCCAAGCCAGACAGGGTGACAGACAGTGCAGGACACACGTGGGCATGTTGAAGATGGAGCAGAAGCTGGGCTCCAGCGCCGTGGGGCCCCCGCCATTGATCATGATCACCTTGTGCACCAGGTCTGGGTACTCGTGCGCCAGGAACGTGCAGAAAGAGACACTGCCCAGTGGGTGGGTGATGGGTGGGGTTGAAGGGTGGTAGTCAGCAGGATACAGACAGTGAAGGGGCTAATACACTCCCTTTACCCCAGAGTCAGGTTCTTGAAGGCCAAGTTTCTTCCCCTGGGGTCCATGGGCACCAGATGGGGGTGAGGGATGGGTGAGGCATCTTGGATGCTCCAAAATTGTGTGTGGATTTTTTTTTTTTTTGAGAGAGGATCTAAATCCAGAACTTTCATCAGATCCTCAAAGTCACCATGACCTTCAAAGTAATAATTACTTTTTGCCAAATGTTGGGAAAACAATCTAATTAAACAAACCCTTTGGCTGCCCAGAGAAAGTCACTGTTTCCTGTGAATCCCTTCTCTTTAAGGATCTCTCACCAGCCTCTAGTGTGGCACATCTGCCTACCTTATACAAGGTGGAAGAGCACAGCCCAAGGGGTCCCCCAGTCTAGCTCTTCATGCTCTCTAAAGCTGGCCACTTGTTTTTGTAAACTAACATTACAATTTTGTAAATTTATAAAATATTCTGTAAATCAAGTTTTACTGGAACACAGCCATATCCACTTGTTTACAATTATAGCTGCTTTCCTGCTATGACATTAATTATGAAGTTCCAAAAGAGGCCAACATATGACCCACAAACCTAAAATATTTACTATCTGGCTCTTTAAGAGTTTTCCAATCTCTGCTGTAAAGAGGAACAATCAGACAGGCGGGAGTCAGGTGGACCTGACTGTGCCAGTGACTCTGTGTGCTCTTGGGCAGATTGCTTAACCTCTCTGAGCCTCCATCTCCACACCTGTGAAAGAGTAACTATGCTGACCTCATAACATTGTTATGGGTGACAGGAACTACCTCAGATGGGTGCTCATTTAGTTAATTGGAGGAAATAATTGAATATAAGCATCCAATTTGGGCATTGTTATATAAACATATAAGAGCTATGTTACCTCCCAATCTTGTTTCTTTTTTTCTTTTTTTTTAGAAAATTTATGTAACACTTCTTTTTCTTGTCTAATTGCATTGGCTACAACTGCTAAAACAGTGGTTCTCAACCTGGCTAGCTGACTGTATCTTGCCTTTCCTTTTGGGTAAAGGAGGGAGTGGTACCACTTGATGGTGATCAGGTGCCCAGGCTGAGAACCTTCCATGGAGTGGATTCTCATCTAAATGCTAGATGGTATTATCTATCACCCCTTTAAGGGAGAGTGAATTACATACAGCAAACTGTGCCTTGTAAACAGAATTTATGAGATTCCAATTAACTCTGCCTTGGAGCCCTTGGGATCTCCAGGGCAACTGATTTTTGAACTTAATTGAAGACAGTGTTTCTCAGCCAGGGGTGATTCTGCCCACCAGGGAACCTTTGGTAGCATCTGAAGACATTTTTATGGTCATGATTATCACTAGACCATTGTGCTAGTGGCATCTAGTGAGTAGAGGTCAGGTGGGGCTACTAAAGATTCTATAGGGCACATGAAAGCCCCTCACAGAAAAGAATTACCTGACCCAAAATGTCAATAGTGAGAAACACTGCTTTAAAACAATGTGAAACAATAGCACTGGTGGTGAGAATGCCTGTCTTGTTGCAGATGTTAATGGTATTTTTCAGGGGGGAAAATTAGCCTTTTGTGACAGATTATCCAGTCCCTGCCAGCCCCCACCCCTGTCCCCATCCCAGCATTGGCTCACCCATAGGAATGCCCAATGAGCACATTTCGCTTCTTGGCATAGCGCTTGAAGATGGCGCGCATGTCCTCTGCCAGCGCATAGAAGGTGTAGGCTGCAGCAACCTGGGGCGCTGAGCTGGCCCCATGGCCGGCCAGATCAGGTGCCACCACCTCATAGCCCAGGCGCACAAAAAAATCCAGCTGCTCCTTCCAGATGGCCAGGGAGCCTCCCACACCGTGGATGAAAAAGAGCACCACGTCCGCCTGGGCCCCCTTGCAGCTGGTGATGTGCTTCTCACAGTCAATGTGGATGGTCCGCTTGGGGCGCCGGGCTCGCCGCCGTCGCCCACCACTGCCACTCCCAGTGCTGCCCGGGCCCGAACGGCCATCGCTGCCTGCTGGGTCGGCTAGCTCCACCTCTAGAGAGGCCGGCGGCTCCCCGGAGCCATTCTGCCCGTGTAGGAGGTCAGCTCGCGGTGCCTGGCCCAGATTCTCCACCAGTAACCGCCCATTGCGGTACACGGTGATTCGGCGCTGGCAGTGGACCAAGCCAGATAGGTCCCCCTGGGCAGCGTCAGGCAGCGGTGGAGGTGGGGTGGGGGCTGGAGCGGGTCCAGCATGTTTCACCCGCAGCACGCGCCCAGGCTTCACCTCCACGAAGGTGTAGCCATCGCTGGACTCGACGCTCTCCAGCGGCCCTACTGCATTGGGTGGCGCACCCAGCAGGCAGCAGAAGATGCCGTCGGTCACCCCGGTCAGCATGGTGTGTCCTGTGAGAGGGGGTGAGAGCCAGCTCAGGGGCCGTGGAAACGGGGAGCCCTCCACCCCCACAGCACCCACTTCCCACACCTGGATCACATGAGCTACTTTGGGAGACCTCTTCTAAGACTCCCGTTTTCAGAGGACCAGAGTCAGCCAAGCACTGAGATGTTCGGTCTGGTCAGTGTCCACGTGGGTGTCATCCACCCTCCTGGGCCAGCCTAGTCTATCCTAGAGATGACCGGGCTATGGCTGACCCCAAGAGGCATCCATAGGGAAGTTGGTGTAGTCAGGGCTTCCTAAAGCGGGGACACTGTGGTAAATGTGGCCTAACCCTGAGGACCTCCCCCAGTTCAGATTTATAGTAGCTATAGTTTCCTAAGCTCATTCATTCATTCATTCATTCACTCATGCATGCACTTTTTCATTAACTCACTGTCACTAAACTAGAATGTCCTGAGGGCCTCTGAAGGCCTCTAAAAATGTGCAGATCCCAATGAGCCCCAATCCCAGGTCTCTGAACCTGGCTTCTGAAAAGTGAGGCCCTGGGAGATGGGGTTTGGGACTGAGATCCAGAGGCCTTGTCCAACTATACAAGACCATGGGCTGTTGGGTCTGTTTCACAGACAGACAAGCTGAGGTCTGGACACTGGATTCTGGGGGTATGGCACACAATCCCCAATGGTGGAGTTGAGGAGGGAGAAAGCAGTGCTCTCGCTGGGGGCCTCCCGGCCTCCATCCTGCTTCCTCAGCCATCGCTCCCCCTCCCCCATGGCAACCACAGGCAGTTACATAACTCGGTGGGATACCCGCGCAGCACCTGCCCCCTCCCCTCATTGTCTAGGGCCTGGAGATGGGACTAACCCCTCCCCTGTCCCAATCTTTGGCGCCGCGGGGATAAGGCACGCGCTAGGCCTTTGGTGACCGGTACTTGCTGATGGAGAGGGAGCAGGCCGCATCCCCCACCTCCGGCGGGGTCCCAACCCCGGATTGCGGAGGGGGACACAGGTGTGCTGCTAGTCCCCCTCCCCAGAGCCAGACTCCTGTCTCCCGGGTGTCTGTCGGCCCTGTGGCGGGGTCAAGGCCACTGGAGTTCCGCGGGTTCCTAACAGCCCCAGCACGGGCTTTGTGGACAACCCGCTTCGCAGAAGTCCCGGGGGCCTCGATGTCCCCCTCCCAGGGTCCACTGCCCGCTCACCTCATCGAGGGCCCTGAGGCCCGGGGCAGGGCGGAGGGGTCCCGGGCGGAGAAGCCAGCGTCCGCGGGGTTCGTTTACATGGTGGCGCGGGGTTGGACCGGGTGCGTCTACGCGGGCCGGCACGGGCCTGGGTCCGTCAGCGAGAGGGCATTCCACCGCTGCTGAGCAAACCGTCCCTTTAAGTCTCTCTGAGGAGAGGGCGGAGCCGCGCTCCGACGGACGGGCACCTCGACCAATTGCAGCTGCGGACTGGCCTGGCCTAGTTCGACTATCAATCAGAAGCGGCATCTCCGGGATAGGGGCGGGCTCTGGAAGCAACGGCCTTGCCCCTTTCAGGGGCTTACCGAGATGGAGGGAGGGATTGGGCCTGGCCCAGGGCCGAGAAGGGGTCGCAGCCTGGGGTTTGCGGAGCTTCTAGGAGACGGCACCCGGAGCCCCCTCGCTGCGAATAGGACCCCCTCGGCCAGCCCCTGCCTCTGAACTGCCCTGTTCCCTACAAATGAAGCCCCCATAACCCCTCTGTGCTGAGCTTTCCAATTAGACTCCCAGATCTTTCCAATTTCAGGTGGGGAAACTGAGGTTCATAAAGGGCACAAGGTCACAAGGCAAGTGGAGGGGGGGTCAGAGATGGGATTTGGAACCACGGCTGTATGATTCAAAGTCCTGGAAATTTATTCGTCAAACTTTAAACAGAAATCTTGGCGCTATGGGCAATTATGGAATTGGAGTTCCCCAGATCGGCAAATTTAACCGATGACTCTGTGGTCCCAGCTGGGGTCAGAGAACCCAGGGTTTAAATCCAGCCTCTGTCCTTTGCAGATATGTGACCTTGGGCAAGTCGCTTTCCTAAGACTTCATTTATTTCTCTATGAAATTAATCCCCTCATGAGTTCCTATGCAGGTAAAACAGCATGGTAAACGTTCGATACTTCATTGGCATTATTGTACTAGTGTAGCATTGTAGTGGTTTGCTAAATGTCGGTGCGAGTAGGATGGACATCAGAGGACAAGGGGTTAACCATTTTTTACCCACTCCCATCTCCTGGAATTTGCTGCGAGGGCTAGATTAAGTCCAGCCACCCACTTCAGCCCACTTAGGGTGCTCCCAGAAGATTATTCTTGCAGCAAACACTCCCCCACTCCCCTAGCTGTGAGATGCTAGGGTGCCTGCAGCAACTGAGCCCCAAGCCTGGCCCTTGAGGGGCCCCTGGGCTTCGGAGAGAGTCTGGGGAGAGACATGTGGGATCAGAGTAGGGCCAGAGAAGACAGAGCTGGAGAACAGACTATTTGAGAAGGGCTTTTAAAAGAGGAATAGGGGAGTACCAGGCAAGGGAGGGTGTGGATGAAATTTAGGGTGTGTGTGTGTGTCTTCACATGCCTGCAGGAGGAGCTGGATATTTTACTTGGGACAATAGGGAGCCATAGAGGGTGTGTAAGAAGGGAAGGGGCTCAGATCTGAGTATTAGAAAAATTCTTCTAGAGCCTGAATCTCCTCCAAGGGCAAGCTTACAACCTAGGAGTTTTACAGATTGAGAAACTAGATCCTGGAGAAAGGAGCAGGGATCACTCCAAGGACATCCTGCCAACTCGAACTCAGGCTTCCTGGGCTCTCCGCCAAGGAGCTGAGACTTGGCTGGGGCCAGAGGAAAGCTGCCAGCCAGCTGCGTGCCACCTGCCCGGCTCCCGCTGGAGGTGGGAGGATCAACCAGCCGTTTCCTGCAGCTGCCACCAGCTGCGCCAGGGCACCCTCTGCCGGCCGACAGAAGGAACTACAACTCCCAGCAGACCTCGGGACATAATGCTTGTACACACGCGGAAGAAGTACCGTTTGCCTGCCCCTGCTGGTCCAAGGGAGGACCTACACTCTCCTGAGGGTATGGCCGCTCACACCTTTGGTGCGCAGGCGTAGACTACAATTCCAGGAGGCCCTTGCGGCAATGCGGGCTCCACTGTAAGAGAAACTACATTTCCCAGAAGTCTCCTTTCTACAGGGGCGGAGCCTATGGGCTTCGGGATGGTTGGCGCGGAGGACGACGTGACCTGCGGCTGGACATGGCCCTCTGGGGCAGATACTTTTGTCGCCTTTTGGGTTCAGTCAGTAGGTCGACGGAGCTACTGGATGTCAGGTGAGTCCTCGGGGGATCCTCCCCCAAATCTGGGAGTTAAGGCGGTGTCAGGGGCTGGCGCCAGCTCTTTACCAACCACATACTTGACCAGTGCCTTGTGCGCTAATGGAGCTCCTTTTGCAGGCAGACTTAGTCCCGGCGCGGATCGGGGAGCCGATGCTCAGAGAGGTTGAGCGGCAAGCCAAAGTCACACAGCGCCCCCTCTGACCTTTCTCGCGGTCTCTCTGCTCCCGCAGGTGGCTCCAGCCCCAGACCGGGCTGAGGCTCCCCAGCGCCTGGGGACTCCCCTCCAAACAGCCAAACCGGGGCAAGGCGCGCGGGAATGAGTACCAGCCGAGCAACATCAAGCGCAAGCACAAGCACGGCTGGATCAAGCGCTTGAGCACGCCGAGCGGCGTCCAGGTCATACTTCGCCGCATGCTCAAGGGCCGCAAATCGCTGAGCCATTGAGCGCGACGCTGCCGGAGGGACCCCCATTCAAGCATCTTTTTCGCCTCATACCTCTCCTGATGCTTTTTGTAGGGAAAAGTTCGGACGACTCAGACATAAGTGTTCCTCCAGTCGGGTTTGCCCAGAACCCAGAAGTCTGTGGTTGGACTGAAAAGGGAGTGGGAAGTCAGACTTTTGCGAAGTCCCATTTTACACTTTTTAATCAGGAAGAATTTAGAACCTAACGGCTACAGTCCATGGAATAGTACAGTGAACTCCTGTACCCACCCAGCTCTGACCACCAATTACCCAGAAACTGTCCTGCCCCCTCCTGTGTTATTTTCAAACAAATTTCAGGCATCCGCTTATTCTTCCGTAAATATTTCAGAATGCATCTCTGCAAGATGAGGGCCCTTTAAAACATAACAAAATTCACACCTAAAAAACTCCACAATTCCTTAATATCATTAAATATCTACTGAATGTTTAAATTTCCACTTGTTTTATATACTTAATCTTCACAGGTCTGGGAAGGCTTGTGAGGAAGTGGGAGGGGTTTGACTCCTCCACCCGCCCCTTGAGGATGGGCTGTGTGACCTTGAGCAAGACTTTAGCCTCCTGAGGCTCCTATAAGTTGAGGTGCTGTTTCTCCTTTGCTGTGTCGTTGGAGTAATAATACTTAGTAGCTTCAACTTAGTAATTTATTCTGTACCTCCTATGTACTGCGTCCTTGTCCTCACCAGGCTGTCACTCGAGGCGGGGGGGATGGGGGGGGGAAGCTTGTGAGGGCTATGGGACAGGCTTTTTTTTTTTTTTTTAAGCTGAGCCATCCTGCCACCTGTTGGCAGCTCAGCGGCAGCTCAGCTCCCGCCAGGCATCAAACCGTTGTTGCTCAGAGCTCAAACTCCTGAGCGAGCTCTTAACCGAGCCACTCAACCGGCCAAGGAACAGGCTTTTTGGAATCAGGGCTGGGAGGAAGATTGTGAGGGCTATGGGAGCCCAGAGGAGGCGCCTGAATTGGCCTTGGGAAGAATGTAGTCAGGGAAGGATACCTGGAGGAGGTATCAGGGCCTGGGAGGGCCCAAAGGGGGAGGGGATTGGACAGAGGTCAGGATAAAAGGTGGACGAGGAAGGCTAGAGGGGCCCAAATTTGGGGCTGAGTAGGTGGGGTTGGATCCTTGGGACACTAGGGAGCCACGGGAGGTGTATGAACAAGAGTGTGATCTGTCAGTTCAAAGATATTCAAAGAGTTACTATAGGAGCAGTTTAGATATGCCGAAAACTAGTGTTGAGATCCCGAGGAGCAGGTGGGGAGTGTTACGGTGACTCCCCGTCTTCCGGGGCTGCTGTGGTAACCGGATGAAACACCATATTAAATAGCAGTAGCGGGGCCGGCCGAGTGGCCTGATGGTTAAGAACTGGCTTGGGACGCCAGAGGGCCCCAGTTTGGATCCCACATATGAGGGCCAGTGACACTGCCCTCCACAGCTAAGATGCTGAACAACAGCTCAACCTGGAGCTGGGCTGCCGTGAGTCGCCGTTGCGTAGGCTGCAGCCCCTGTGGCAGTGGGTTGCCATGGGCTACCGTGTGTAGCCAGCAGCCAGCGTGAGCGGCCAGCAGCCAGCGTGAGCGGCCATCAGCTGCAGTGAGCGGCCGTCCAGAAGCCGGCGACTAATCTGCCTCACCCGGGAAGAGCGCAATGATGGTGCCAACTTGGGCCGGTGAAGCAACGTCCTCCACAACTAGACTGAAGAACAAAAGCATAGCACCTTCTGTTCCCCTTCCCCCAATTCCCCAATAAAAATCTTAAAAAAAAACAAACATCGGTAGCAAACTATAACAGAAGGATCTGCAGCGCCTCCGGGAGCTGGGGACTACAAATTCCAAGAGGCTTCCCGGGCGCGGCCTCCGCCCACTTCCGGGTTTCGCCTCCCTATCCAAATCCAGGGCGGAGTTTTGCTCTCTCAACCAAACTTAACCACGGAGGAGGAGGCGTGGCGGCCAATGGGAGCGTGACTTATCTGGATCTGGCCAGTGGGAGTTCGCAGAACCCGCATATCCTGGGGCGGGGCTACAGCGCGGACCAATGACGGGAGGGTGGCGGCGCCGTCAGGGTGCGCTGTACCGTGGCTGGAAGTTACTGTGCGGCGGCGGCTAAGAAGGCGGCTGTGGTTGCGGCGGCGGTGGCTGAGGCGGTAGCTGAGGCGGCGACGGAGGAAACAGAAGATGGTAAGTGCGGTCGCCGGGCCCGTAATCCCCCTCTGCTCGACAAAATGGCGCCGCGGGCCCACCCATCTCCAGTAATCCCCGAGACCCCCGCCTCTCTGCCCGGCATCCACAGGCCCGACCCCGCCCCTCGCTCTGACCTATGACCTTCGGCTCCCTGGCCCTGCTGTGAGCTTCCTGCTGACCCCGCCCCGGCTCCTCCAACCCCTGACCCCACCTAGGATTCCATGGTCTGACAACTCATTCATTTCCGGGTCGCGACTCCCCCGGAAATCGCCTGGGTTGAGGACGGGGTCCCCCAAGACCCCCAGCTGAGGCTCCGTAGTGGGCGCGCCAGACCTGAGTCTCTCCAGTTCAGGAGGGTTTGGGAGGCCGGTCTAGGCTTCGGGGCGGGGGAGGGGTCTTGACATCGTGACATGCGAGGCTTTGTCGCTGCCAAAGGAAGTGCGACATCTCAGACTGTCCGGTCCCCGAGAGCCCTGACTCCACGCCCACCATTCCGGGTTCCCACTAGTTCCTAAGAGAGAGCAACTTCATCTTTCTGAGCCCCAGGTGTAGTAATCGTCCGGACCTCATAAGGTTGTGACAATTTAGGGAACTGACGTGGTAAAGGGTTTAGGACAGTGAACACTGGACAGATGAACTGGGTTACTCTGGGCCGGTGACATCCTCTCCCACCTGTCTCCTCATCTTGAAATGGAGATAATGTCACGTTGGGAGGTTAAAAATCCCCTTTGGGCCACTTGCTCATTCAGAGATTTGGGTGTGGTGATTGTTTGTGGTTTGGTCCCCCCACCTGTAAAGTGGGACAGGGACCCAGCATAAGTGGGTTGAAGCCTCCGCCACCTCCCATTATTTGGCATTCCCAAGGCTGATGGGTGATGGAAGCTTTTGTCCAGACAAGTCAGAACCCCATGTCCCTGGTCCCAGACCGCAAATCACAGTCCTTGGAATGTGGTGGGAAATAGGCAGAAGATTTCTGGTCAGGAAGGAGATGGGAAAGTGGGCTCTTAGAGTGCGGGTCTCCAGCCTGGGTGTTGTCTTTGATTCGTCACTGCAACCTCATCTTCCACGCCCAGTCCATAAGAGGGTTCTGTTGGGTCTGCCTCCAGAACGCATCCTAAATCCAGCATAGGTCCCCACCCTGGTCTAGGCACTGCCACCTTCTGCCTAGACTCCTGCACCAGCCTCCCTGGTCTCCTTGCCTCTGTCCTGTTCCCCTGTCAGTTTGTTGTTCACCCGGAACCAGAGGGAGCTTTTAAAGATGTAAATCAGATTATAATACTTGCTCATTTATAAAACACTCCAAGGGCTTCTTCTTGTAACCCAGATGAATCCCCAACTTCCCCCCCACCCCCCAAGGACCCAGCCCACCTCTGTGACCTCATCTGCACCCCTTCCTCTGCTCCAGCCACACTGACCTTTTTTGGACCTGCTGCTCCTTCTGCTTAGAGTGCTCTTCCTCCTGTGAGCATCACTTCAGAGGGCCCCTGTGTGACTGTGGGAGGCCCCAGTGTCTCTCCTCTCTTGGCACACCCCTTCTTTTCCTCCTCTTGCTTTGGCTGGTTCACTGGTGGGCTGACTGAAAGGGGACTGGCACACAGATGTTCAGTGAGTGTTTGCTGAGGCAGTGGATGACTTCTGGGCCCAGCTGTGGCTAGGATTTGTCTGGCTGAGGAGAGGATTTCTCCCTGTGTCTGAGGCCTTGTTTTTCTGCTTAGCTGACAGGAAGTATAGGCTGAACCCTGTTTTCATTCATTTATTCAGCACAAACGTGTTGATGCTAACAGCTACCTTCCAAGGAGCTCTGCAAAGCTCTTTCCCTGTGTTACCTCATTGAGACTCAGAACAATCCTGGGAGGGGGCCCTGTCATGACTCCTGGTTCACCAGAGAGGTGGCTGGGCTGGGAGGTTACACAGCCAGGGAGGGGCCCAGCCAGGATTGAATGCAGGTCTGAGGCTCCCAAACATCTCACTCTGTGTGAGCCCCATCAGGGCCCATGGTGGAATTAGCCCTGTCTTGCCCTCAGGGATGTGCCAGTGAGGGAGGTGGACATGATGACCAGCTCTGGTAGAGGCCTCCAAGGTGTGTGGAAAGGGATATGGCTGGGGTGGGGAGGTTGTTGAACTGGATGGAGAGATTAGCAGGTGTTTCCCACATGGAGAAAGGAGGAACATTCCGGGATGGTGGCACAGTATGGGCTGAAGGTGTGTATGAGAGGAGGCGAGCAGGGACCAAGCCCAGCGAGAACTGTGGAGGACTTTGAGCTGGAACAGGGACCCCTCCTCATGCTTCAGGTCTCATAATTGCCTCTCGGCAACCCTCTCTAACCCCCCAGACCAGCAGATGTTCCCCCACTGTCCTGGGCCTCACAGTATCTCAGGGCACCCTGTCCTCAGGGCCACTTTGCATTCACTGTGCAGCTCTTTGATCCACACCTGTGTTCCCTATTCTGGATGCTCTTGGGGCCAAGAGCAGGTCTGCTGTGCCCTCTGCCTCCCGACCCCCCTGGTCCCTGAGTGTTCTGGTGCCTGGCATGGTCCTGCTACATAGTAGAGACCCGAGAAAGCCTGGCTGGCTGTATGAAGCTGGCCCCATTGTCTGGGGCTGAGCTGGGGCAGGGGTCCTAGGAGGTAAGGTTGTGGGACTTTGAGCTGGCTTCGAAGCAGTAGGTCACCCTGGGCAGAAGCAGAAGGCCTGTCCACATTACAACATCCCTGGTTGGCCCATCTCACCGAGGTCTCACTAGGGCTACCCCAGAGGTGAAGACACCTGCTCCCGCCTGCCCCACAGGGTGGTGGCAGATCACCTGAAGAGCGGCTTCCCCATGGGTGCAGTGACCAGGCTCAGGCATGGGGATGGACTCCATCTCCCCGCACCCCTCCCCCCACCCCGCCTCTGCTCTGAAGGGGCGTTAATGTAGCCTGCAGGGGCTCTGAGCCCTTGGATTTCAGACAGGGTAACAGGTGCTAGCATGTCCCGTAGTAGGAGCTTGGCCTCTGAGGTTGGACGCAAACCTTAGTTTAGACCGTTTTCTTGTTGGGGCTGGGTGACTTCAGATGAGTGCTATGTGACCATTCTGCCTCAGTTTCCCCATTTTTATGAGAGGGTGACTCAAGATTGGGAAGCCTCCGGCCCAGAATAGGCTACGTGGGGAACCTTTCCCCGGCTTTCCCACTCCAGGCCTGACAACAGTGTCGAACTCATGCTTTGCTGGGAAATCACTTCCTGCCCCCAGCTCTAGGCCTTTATCCCTCCCCTTGCATTCCTAGGCTTTTGTGCCTCAGTTTCCTGAGGTGGACACATCTCCTGTTGGCCTTTATTTCCCCATCTTGTGACTGAGACTTGCACCCTGCCCTCCAACCCTCCGCCCTGAATCAGGGTTCTCCTGCTCCACAGCCCTTGCACTTGCTCGCCCAGCTGACAGCAGAGTGTCAGGGACAAAGGACTTTCCAAGAGTCAGGCTGTGAGTGAATTCTGTTGCTGGTTCCTGGGCACCTTGTGGACCTGAGACCTCTGGCACTGAGCCCCTGTCCCAGGCAGTGGGTGGCAGGGAGGAGCAGCCTGCTCCCTCTCGGCCTCTGGCCCACACCCTGGGAGGCCTTCTCCCCTCATGGGGCAACCACTGGGTGTGGGGACCCTAGGAGCAGCCCCTGAGCTGACCCTGGTCCACACAGCACTTTATGAAAAGCCCAGCCAACTCGAGAAAACTGATATATTAAACTTGGATTTCTGAGTTTTCTTGGAATTCGGAGGCTCAGTAGACCCTGCACTCCCAGTACTGTGTCTAGGCAGCCCCATGTCCCAGCCATCCTGTCCCCTTCACCCAGGCTGCTCCTCTCCACCCATGTTTATTGTCATGCTGGCCCTCAGGGTTTCTTAGGGTGGACAAGCCTTTCTCTATCCAGGTCTCTGTTAAAAGTAGATGAACAGAGACAAGACAGGGAGTTTAATATTCAACAAGCATCGATGGCAGTTCTGCAGTTGGACAGCCTGGTCTGATCTGACTTCTCTCCCTGCTGCTTGTTCATGGTGTGACTTTAAACAAGTGGCCTGTGCTCTCTAAGTCTCAGTTTCCCCACCTCTTGCTGGGTTACAGGACTGTTGTGATGACCCCAAGGGAGAATGTGCTTTTCCCTTGGGGTTGTTTACTTTTTTTTCTGGTCATAACAGCGCACATATAAGGTGGCCAGCTCAAGCATGTATTCTGGAAAATGAGAGAAGGAACCGGAAGTTGCCTGAAGCCCCGCCCACCATCACAGGTGCTCCAGGGCTAATCCCTACTGGGTTTCTAATTTACCTTATCTTCCCTTTTAGGCAGATTTTTTGAAAGGACTGCCCGTCTACAACAAAAGCAATTTTAGTCGATTTCATGCTGACTCCGTGTGTAAAGCCTCGGTGAGTGTGCAGGTTAAGGGCACTCGTGGGGGAAGGAGGCTGGGGGTAATGTGCATCCCAGATCAGCCTCTTGCTGGGAACAAGGATTCATATTCAAGCCTAGCCCCACCCAAGATCTTCGAGCATCTTCCAATCTACGTTGGAGGGTGGGTACTGAGTCCACTGGTGAGGGGACCCCAGTCATCCTGCACTCCTAACCCACCTCTTCCTGACCCTCCTGCAGAATCGACGCCCCTCAGTCTACCTGCCCACGCGGGAGTACCCATCCGAACAGAGTAAGTGGCCTCTGTCACTCTGTCCCGTCCTGGCTATCAAAGGGGAGGGCCAGAGGGTGGTGCAGGAAGTGACCCGTGGGACACACCGGTCAGCTCCCAGACCTTGGCAGCAGTGGGAAGCCTGGCTTTCTACGTGACCCTTCTCATCCCCACATGCTGGCATCCACATCCAGCCCCACGGGCCCCAGTTGGCCCTGGTCTGCTGCTCACTGGCCCCCTCCCTGTAACCTTGCATCAAGTTAGGTGTCCCCTGCCAGCTCCATGCCACAGACCCCGAGACAAGTACTATGGAGCGGGGACCTAGCCCAGCCTGGGGTGGGCAGCAGGATTTTCTGGGTGGAGAGACCTACAGGGAAAGGCCCGAAGCATGCAGAGTGGGAGGTTGTTTACTGTGGCCATGGTGTTTTATTTTAACCATGAAAAAGAATCCACATGAATTCTGCTGGATGGCTTCTGTGGTTACTGGGGCACAGCTGTCTGGATCTCTGTTCCTGGTTGGCCTGGGAAAACACAGTCATGATCCTGTGTGCCGGGGCTTGTCCCCCGCCCCTGGGTAGAAACCCACATGTGGCAGTAGATTCAGTCTTTCTAAGAAGCAGGGACCTCAAAGCAGCTGGCTTGGGCTCCTGGTGGTGGTCGTGGGCTCAGAAGGGAAAACGCCGGGCTTCCTGAAATCTGGGTTGAGGTGGTGACTTGAGTCCCAGAAAGGCCACTCAAGGCAGAGATGGCCTGGAGGCCAAGGAGGAGTGAACACTGTCCTGAGAAGGGCAGTGCGGGCCAGGTTGGCGTCTGGGCCGCTTGCAGCTGGCTCCCTGCAGCTTCTTCCTACAACTTTGTCTTTCCTCTTCCCTACTTAGTCATTGTGACAGAAAAAACAAACATTCTTTTGCGCTACCTACATCAACAATGGGACAAAAAGGTAAGGCATGTGGGGTTCGGATGCTGGGAATCGGGGTATACAGTGCCCAGCATGGGGGTCTCTGAATGGGGGAAGAACATGGATGGCTGGGAGACCAGGGGTTTGAGTGGGGTGTTGAAGGCTGAATAGGAGTTCACCAGGCAATCCAGGAGAAGGAATAGTGTTCCAGAGGCGGGAATGGCTGTGCAGAGGCTACAGGACTCTGGTGCTCACTGATGGGCAGGGTATTGACCAGTTGTACCAAAGCCTGAGCACCCCCGAGGTGCTTTACAATGTGGTCAGTTTGTTTTTTTCACCTAACATTGAACATCTGACAGCAGCCTCTTCTGGTCAAGGTTGGAGGAGGACCCGTAATAAAGTGACTGCTCAGAATACCCCGAGCCTCTGGCCCATGCTGGCCCCCTCCCCAGCCCCACAGGCCTTGATTCCCACCAGTGGGGAAAGGAGCTTTTCCCAGACCTGAGCCACTTGCCTCTTCTGTGGCAATGTATAGGTTTCCTTGGAGGCTCATGAGGGCCCTTTGTTCTCTGGCAGGGTACATCACTCCTCTGAGCATTTGGGGCTCTGTGTGGGTCATAGTGAGCTGCAGTGACTTCTTGCAGTGTCTGTCACAGGCCCACAGCCCCTGGGGACTGTGACTAGGTGGTGGGAAGGGCTGTCCAGCCAGGGAATCTGAGTTCACTGCGCCACTCCCGGCCCAGCTCTGCGACCCTTGCAATAGGATTTGGGAGCTCACCCAAGTGAAGACTTAATGGCCCCTTTCCTTCTCCTGCCCCCAGAATGCTGCCAAGAAGAGAGACCAGGAACAAGTGGACCTCGAGGGCGAGAGCTCAGCGCCACCCCGCAAGGTTGCACGGACCGACAGCCCAGACATGCACGAGGACACTTAAAACTCACACTCCCCCATAGGTGCCTCCTGTCTTGTCTGCTCCTCACCCACCTGCCGTGTGTAAGCACCCCGCCCACCCCGCCGGCCCACCCACACCCTACCATGCACACCACTTCCATCCTCACAGGAGCCGATGTATTTATTTTCCTTGAGTCTTTATTTATGCTGTAAAATGTACCGAGCGATGGTTAAAGGGGACGTCAGACCCAGTAGTGTGATGTTGGTAGATGCTTCTTAAAAAACAACATTGTTATCACCTCCCTCCAGATCCCCTCCTTCTACCCCCCCAGTCCTCCGGAGAACCAGAGTGTGTCTGCGAGGGTCTAGAGACAGGCCATGCTTCGGCTGGGCGGCAGGGGTGGGACCCTTCTCCCCGTTCCCACTCATCAGTCTGGCCTTAAAGACTTGGCCTTGACTCGCGTTCCACTGAGACCTATTCTGTGCTCAGACCTTGTTCTGAGCTGGCACCAATGGGAGAGAGAAGTCGGCCCTTCTGGATCTTTCTCTTAAGTCATTTTATCATGGACTTGTTCGTGCTCCGTGTCCACCCCAATAAAAGGATCTTTCCTATTTGACTTTGAGTCTTTGCTCCACATGCCTCAGCCCCAGAGGATGGAGCCACTGAAAGTTGTCCCATCATCACCAAGAGGAGCCAAGAGGGGCCCCCCAATTGCTGGGGCCCCAGGAGCAGCTGGATTCTCTTGGGGGCCTGTTGTGGCCACCTAGCTCAGAGCTAAGACCTGCCTGGACCCACCCTTTTGCCTCACCTGTCAAGTGTCCCCGAGGATCATGATGCCCCCAAGAGATGGTTGACACCACCAACAACAGCGCTGTGGTGGACGCCACGCCCAGGACATTGGCGAGCATGGCGGCATGTCCGCAGGCCGCTGGAGACAGCCCAGGTGGCCTGGCTTCATGCCCCCGGTTCCAAGAGGAGGCACGGAGTGCGGCGGGACATAGGGGGTGTTCAGGCTCCAGGCAGAAGGTTCAAGGCCCTGAGCACTGGGCCCAGGGCCCAAGGGAGTACTGCTGCTCTCTGAGCACCCCAAGCTCCCTAGTTGGGGCTGCCCTGAGCAGGGGCTGCCGTGTCAGAGCTGAGGGTGGTGAGGGATTGGACCATGGAGCTGGAGGGGGTGCCTGCCCTAGATTATCCCTGTGAAGGGCCCTTCCTGAGCCAGACTGCTCAGGTTTGGGTTGCCCAGCGCCTCCCATGGTAGAAGGTTCCAGGCTAGGCCATTCAGCTGTGTTATGGGGCCAGAGGCTTCACCTCCCAGTTCAGGTGGTAGCCATGCAATGGGTGCAATGTTGGGTCCCTGTGGTGACAAGGCAGGTGCTCAGGAAAAGGCAGGCTTGACTGTGGTTATGCTGAGGCTCTCAGACTTGCTTGGAATCCCGTCCCAGGGGCTGGTCTGACCCTGGGCAGGCACTTGGCATTGCTGATGGTTAGTAACTGAGAAGTTGGCGGGAATTCAGCTCCAAAGCCACAGGGCAGAGCAAGAGCAGGCAGTACCTGCACTCACCTCCCCAGCCCCTTTGCATCCTGCCAATGCTATCCATGGTGTTGGTGGGTAGGGGTCCCACAGCCATGCCCAACCCAGACTTCCCTGTGGTCTCGGGTGCAGGCCCCGAAGCTGGCCTCCACTCACTCCTGCCCTCGGGGCCCCCCTAACTCCTCTGCTCTCCCAAACACCTAACTCTGCCTTTCCACACCTCTGTGCCTTTGCACAGGCTGCTCTCCTGCCTTCAGTGAACCCGATTTCTTTCACAGTCCCCCCCCCCCTCTCAGTGCCCCTTCCTGACACTGACTACTCCAGCCCTGGGACAGGGCCCCGTCGGGCTCTGAGACTTTGGATGTGGACACATTTGAGGTATGGAGAGCCCCATCCGTTCCTGATCACCCAGGGATGAGACCCAGTGACTGGTCTGACAACCATCCCACAGTGGGGCATCTTAGCCATGCGCCACCACCACCCCATCTGTCAGGGGATCTCTGGAATATTCCCTCAACTTTCCAACTCAGGCACAAGGTGCCTTTCGATTTTCATACTTTTAAGTTCTTCCTATGGCCCCTGGCTCCTCAGATGGCAGCCTGGGAGGCAGATGTGCCAGAAAATGCACCTGAGAGGACTGTGTCACCCTGCAGGGCGGAAGCTGACTCCCAGGCCTGGCACCCAAACTGCCGAGTTCCTTCAGCACTTTGAGATTTCTTCCTTTGTCTAGGAGGTTGAAGACAAGGCCTGAGGCTCTGCTGCTCCTCCCAGGGGCCCCATGCCTGGAGTTGGTCCCCAAATCTGGGCCGTCTCAGAGGCCGCAATCTGTTTTCCATGGCCTGGAGACCCAGTTTTTAGGAGGAGGCACCAAGGTCACAGGACTGGAGGGGCACTCACCCTAGGCCCACTAGGCCCCAAGAGCCAGCACCAACCTCAAGTCACTGGGCCTTCTGAGCCCCAATTCCACTGCTCCATCCCCGGGCACTGTTGAAATATACTTTTTATTGCATTTCTGCCGTTTTACAAAAATATGACAAAATAAATTAAAAACAAATAAATAATCGATTATTCTGTTTTCTGTTGTTTTTTTGGGGGTGTTTCCTTTCATTTCCCCCATCCAGTCAAAAGGAAAACGGCAGATAGGGATGCCCGGGCCTTTGCCCTTTGGAGGGGGCAGCCAATACTGGGGGCCGAGGGGTCAAAGCATTTCCTGGGTGGCGGCCGCCCGTCCTAGGCTGCTATTGCATGTGAACAGGAAGGCAGGAGGCCGGGCGGAGCTAGTGCCAGCCGCTGGGCCAGCAAACGGCCTGGGGGCTGGGGCTGGGGCTGGGGCTGGGCGAGGGCGCCGGAGGCTCGGAGGAAGGCGGTAGCGGCGGAGGCGCGAGGCTGTAGAAGCTGGTGTCCCCCGGCAGGGGCTGGGGGGCAGGTGGGGGCCCGGCCAGGGCACAGGGTGGGCACTCGGTGTTGGCGGTGGGGGCCTGGCGGGGGGCGGCACCCTCACCCCCGCAGCCCCATGGCCCGTCCCACTGCCAGCAGCCGGTGGGCGGCGTCGGGGGCCGGGGCAGCGGCGTTGGTGTTGATGGCGCGGGGCTCCGGCTGCGGTGGGTGTGAAGGGCAGGGGCGCCCGCGTGGGCCAGCGCTGTCCCTGCGGAGGCGAGAGGGGCCGTTCCGGGGGATGCCGCCCTGCCGCCGGGTCCCGCTTGGGACCCTGCCCACGCTCCCTCCCGGCTTCCAGGCACATCAGGGCCTTATTGCTTCTAATCAGTGTTGGGGTGCATCCCCTGCCTAGGCACTGCACCCTTCCCGCTCCGGGAAGAGGCCAGTCTGAGGAAGTCCCTTTGATTTCAAACGTAAGTCCCTGGTCTTGCAGCTGCCACCTCTTGGGCTCCCTGGTAATGGGCAGCTGGACCCTTGGCTAGGGTTGGGACCAGTGAGGTGGGAGAGACTGGGGGTGAGGCCTGCACCTCTGTTCAGCACAAATTTGTGGGTGCAGCCTGAGGCCGGGCACCCCATGCTCCCTAGTTGGGCAGCCCCAGCCTCAGGAAGGCCTCCTCCAACACTAGACGGCAGGGTGGGGACTTGCATAGAGACCGGGGGGTCCAGTCCCCCCAGAGTGAGCTGGGTGTGGGTCTCATAGGGGCAAGAGAGGCTGGGCCAGGTGGTGAAGGGGCCTCCCTCATCTCTGCTGGCACCAGAGCTTGATGGGCAGGGTGCCCTGGGAGGGCACCGGGACAGGGGGCTTTGGCATCCCTCCCCAGGGTGAGGAGGGTGAGGCACGGGGCTCCAGGATCTCGAGGGTCCTGGAGAGATTGAGCAGACTTTGACTGAGAGGCTTCAAGTACCACGGACCCAGGTCCCCAACCAAAACCAGAGACTGGGCCTCCTCTATCCCCTTCAGCCCCTCCCTCCAGACCTGCCCACCCCACCATACCCCCAAAGCCCGGCCCAGAGTCCCCACCCCCGAGTTAAAGCTTGTGACCTGAGCCTTCCTCTTCAGGCCGGGGGACGTCCGGCTCCTCAGCTGCAGCCTCATCCACCGGCCCACTGCACTGAGACCGGCCACTGCCGCTGCCACTGCCACCGCCGGGAGTCCCATCCAGCCGGGCCTGCCCGCCCGCCCCATTGGCCCCGGTCTCAGCCCGGGCCCCGCCAAAGGGGAAGAGCTTGCCGGCGTGGAAGGCCTTGGGTGGTGAGTGGCTGCGTTCGGGGTCTCGCCGAGTCTCTGGCGATTTGAGGAACTTGAAGCTGAGGAAGGCGGGCAGGCGGGTGTCACTGCCTGTGGGCGACTGGGCCGGGGGCAGCCGGGTGGCGGGGCTGGGCCCCGTGCCTGCCAGGGAGGACGCAGCCCCTGACGACAGGAACTTGCCCTGTAGTGGGATGATCTGCTTCAGCTTCATGACATTGTTGGGTGCCAGTAGAGACCCTGGGCGCTTGGGCCGCTCCGGCCCGTGGCCACCTGCCCCACTGCCTTTGGTCTTGGCTGAAGCCTTATCAGGGGCAGTGGGGTCCAGCCCAGAGCCCTCAGCTCGCGCCTCCTCCCGGCCGCTTGTGTCGCGCTCCCGCCGGGCATGGTGCTCTGCGTGGCGCTGGCGTTCCTCCTCTTCCCGCCGTCGCCGCTGCTGCTGCTGGAAGCGGTGCTGGGCCTGGCGCTCATGTCTCTGTGGGCAGAACAGGCTATTACTGGGACTGGGAAGAGAGGGTGTGTGAGCTCTCTGTGGAAGTGGAGAGAGATCGAAACACTTATTGGGCATCAACTGCATCCCTATGCCCATGCCGGTGCTTTCTGAGAATTAAGAACAAAACAAATGTTTACTGGCCACCAACTCTGTCTCACGCCACAGGCCAGACATCATCTTAGGAATTGGAAGAGTATAAAGAAATATTGAGCCTTAGCAGTTCCCTGTTTTCTGGAGAACCGGTGAGAGACAGAGCAGTGACTGGCATAGACCAGAGTCCATACTGACCAGTCTAGTAGCCACATGTAGCTTTGTCAATGCCAATTCAAGTGTGCATTGGCTACCTGTTGTGAGGGGCTACACGGGCAGTGCAGACACAGGACATTTCCATCACCATGGAGAGCTCCGCGGGTTGGAGCCCATGAGCTTGTTGACCCACCCTGAAGCTTTCTGAGGAATGCAGCAAAGGCTGGGCTTCTAGGAAGCATTAGTCATGTCCCTGACCTTGAATGGGATGCTGCTGGGAAGCTGGCGGTGACTGAATGTCCAGAGTGCCAGCCAGCCTGGTGCTGGATGTCTCTGGGGTTCTGGAAGGGACTGGGCCTATTTGGCTAAGGCCATGGCCACCAGTCAGGTGGAGGAGGTGGCCCAGTGAGTGGAGGTGTGAACTGAACCCAGCCCCATCCCACGTACCTTGAAGGCCTCCCGGCGCTGGTACTCAAGCTTAGCCATTTCCTCAGCTACCCAGCCTGGGATGTCAGGGATGGCCACGTGGATAAGGTACTTGAGAAGCAGAGCGAAGTGCTGAGGTGACAAAGGAGGAGGCTGCAGGCTCAGGGATACCTGCTCACGGCCCGGCTCCCCAGCACAGCCGCCAGCCCCACCTCGAGCACCACCACGGACACGATGGCTGCCTCAGGGCTGAGCCAGGGGAAGAGGCGCTGCAGCTGCCCGCACTGGCCAATGAGATAGCAGTTCACTACGATTGCCAGGACACCCATGGCCTCCATCACCTTCTGCAAGAGGACATGGTGGGGCTCAGGCGGGGTCAGCCCTCCTCCCTGGGCCTCAGGCTCCTCCCTGGGCCTCAGGCTCCTCCCCAGTGCACCCTGTCTCCCTGTGCTTCTCAGCTTGGAGCCCTTGTCCCTCCCACACCTGCCACTGGCCGATGCTTTCAACCCGCTGCCCGAAGGGCCGCTGCAGCCCTGTGCACAGCTTGAGGGCATCACTGCGGATCTCAATGAGGTTGTTGATCAGGGCGCACAGTGCAGCCAGGGGGAAGGCGGACGAGAAGAGCACGACATAGCCAAACTGCACGAACATCTCCTGGTAGTCCTGGAACGTGTCCTGCGGACATGTACCTAGGTGTGGCCTCGGGTCCTCCCTCAGACCAGGACACCTCCCCCTTAAGAGTGCCTTCCTCTGTCAAGCCCACCTCCCTTAGATTATCCCAAATGGACCCAAAGCCTCTCCCTCTGGTAGGCTCCTGACCACATCAAGGGCCCCACCGTTATTACCCACACCTCCATCATCACACTGTGCACCTGCCCCTCTGAGGGCCCTGCCTCCATCCTCAGACACCCGCCTTACCTCATACTTCTTCATACAGCTTTCAAGCTCAGCCTGGGTGAGCTGGGGTGAGTGCTCCTCCTCGGGCGGGTCAATCCAAGAGGACCGGTTCTGTCGCCGCTGCTGCCTCCGGGTCGAGTCACCTGAGCCAGGCTCTGGCTCTGGCCCCCCGTATGGCCCCTGGTCACGGCCCTCACCCCCGGCCCGGCGGAGTAGGACAGCTGGGGGCTCCCGCTCAGGGCTGCCAGGAGCCCCCTCCACCTCATCGTCCTCCTCTGCCAGCGTGAACACACCAGGCTCCAGCCCCTTCTCCACCATTGTGGGGCTACCCTCTTCCAGGAGGGCTTCCGGGCTTGGGCCAGGCCGGTGTCGCCCAGCCCCCCGCTCAGCGAAGCTGACCTTCTTCAGACGGAGCCCATAGTCCAGGAGGCCACCCTCTTCACCCTCTTCCTCATCCTCCTCCTCCTCGTCCTCCTCCTCCTCCTCCTCCTCTTCTTCCTCCTTGCCTCCCCGCAGCCTGTCCCCCATCTCCCCTCCTTCCCCTGCTGGCCGCTGCTCTACTGTAGCCTCCTCCTCCTCCTCAGGTGCCCCGCAGCCCCCGCTGAGACACCTGCGGCTCCCTCCACTACCGCTGCCACCACCCTCTTCGGCCTGGGGTTCAAGGCGGTGGGGTGCAGGGTGCCGGAGGCTGAGCAGGCCAAGCAGGGCCCGGGCCAGCTCCCAGGCGGCCTGCAGGCCAAGCTCGCCACGGCCCAGCCTCCGGTACAGGTGTGGCTGCAGGACCTCGCGAACGTTCTGGAGGAACTGGCGGGTGATCAGCAGAGTGGCCAGCATCTGGGGGCAGGAAGGGGGTGGAAAGAGGCCACGTGGGGGGCAGGCGGGGCCCTGGGCACCAGTACAGGATGCTAGGAGGGGGCATCTGCCCTCCCAGAGCACATTTCCAGACACTCACTCTGAATCCAATTCCTACCTACTCCCTCTTGGACGTCCGTGAACAGAGTCCCCAGCCTCTGCTTCTACCACCGTTCACCTGCCACCAACCACAGCCTAGCCAGCCACAGCACTCCTAGCCAACCTTGCTGCAGGCTTGGGGCTGCCCTGCTTGCAGCACTGCCCACGAACTCAGCCAGTGCCTGGGGCCTTGAGGGGCCCCTGCCATCTGAATCCCACCAGTGGAGTCCCAGCCCTTCATAGCATGCACCCTCGGCTTGGCGTGAAGCCCCCAGCATAGTCACATTGCCCGCCCCAGCGAAGCCCCTTGGGCTCGCCACCTGCCCATACTTTGGCCCGGGCCAGGCGCAGGAGGCCCCGGAGGGAGAGGAGGAGCAGGCGGAAACGCAGGGCCGCGAGCGGGACCAGCACCGCCCGAAGCTGCCGCTCGAGGCTCTGGGACAGGGACAGGACGAGCAGGAGCTGTGAAGGGACCGACGGACAGGTGGACGGACAAATGGGGGGTGACAGGCAGAGAGAGGACACACAGATGGACGGACGGACAGAGAGGAGAAAAGGATGGAGGAGGGGGGGGAGAGGCTGGAGAGCCCGTGGACCCCTTGGGCCAGGCGTGGCCCCCCACTGGCTGCCATGGGGAGCACTGCCTCAGGTCAGGGTCTCACCTCTTTCAGGCGCTCCATGTCCTTGAGGTAGAAGCCAATGTAGAAGAGGCTCAGGTAGGAATTGACGAACTGAAACTGAGGGAAGCAGGTGGGCGTTCACCCTGCCGTCCCATCCCCAGAAGTCCCCACTGTGCCCCACCTGCTTGCTGCCACTCACCAAGACGACCTTGATGATGAGGTGCTTCTCATAGGCGCTTTCCAGCCGGTAATTTTCTGGGGGCCAAGGGAGTGAGTGAGGGTGCAGCCCAGGCTTCCCATGGGCACTGGGGATCTCCCTCCCCAGGGGCTGGGCAGTAAAGATCCTCCCCTAAAGGGCATACCCATGTCGTTGAGCCAGACAGCAAGCTTCTTATAGCCCTCTGCGCTTACACTGACCAACAGGGCCAGCACAACCTTGGGCAGGAAACGGGCAAGACGGGGCAGCCCTTTCACACTCAGCACCAGCTCCTGCAGGGGCAGGGAGTTCACAGGTCACCTCAGGCTGGACCTAGGCAGGTGGTTGCAAGGTCAGGGCTGGGGCCAGGGCTGGGGGCCGGAGGTCACCTGCAGCTGGAAGCAGCCGAGCATGAGCAGAAACACGCAGGCCAGGCAGGTGAGACACAAGGGAACACTCACAAACAGCTGGAAGAATAGCCGCTTCCAGGGTGGATAGTAGAATTCCTCGGCCCTCGTCACAGGGCTGATGCGTCGCACGCCCTGGCAGAGGGCAGGGGCCGGGCCCAGCATGAGGCTGAGGGGCTGCCCCTGCCCCACACAACCTTCCCAATCCTCTGAAGTCAATTTCCTTCCACTATGCCTTTGCTTGCACAGTGCCCCCACCTGGTGCACCCTTCCCGGTCTCTCAAATCCAATTTCCCACCCTCTCCTCTGAGACTGCAGGAGCCACCCCCCGCCACACACACACACCCTTTTTGATACTGCAGCTTGGTTTCACACCTCCTGTCTTTCATCCCTGCCTCCACCCACATTCTCAGAGTCTTTGGACTCAGCATCCCCTTACTGACCCTGAACTGGGGTCGTGGTTCTTCCACGGCTTCCCCGGGTGAGTCCAGCGTCCCCCACTTGTAGGCTAGCTCTGCCCCTCTCCGTTTCCACTCCTCCAAGAATAGCGTCGACCAGACCACGTTGAACAGGGCAAAGACCACACAGGATACATCCCGGCTTGTCTGGGAATGGTGGAGGAGGTCTCAGCTGTTGGCCAGGCTGGCCCGGGGGAGAGGGTGTCTCCAGCAACCCAGCCCCTGCCCGGCCCACACCCAGCACCTGATCAGCCTCTGTGAATGTATAGAGTACAGAGCCGAAGACAGCTGGGTACACCATTGCCGATGTGTAGAAGCCCAGCCAGGCAAAATACATGGCAATCTTCACACCGAAGTAGTCACAGATCTCGTCTGCCAGGGGTACAGGGGTTTCTGGTCAGCCCTGTCTGCCTCCTGAGACCCCTACGCACCCCTGGCCCAGGCTGCACGCACCTAGAGGCTGGTTTTCACACACAGCCTGCACCCATGACTTCATGAGGCGGTTCAAGATGCGCTGCTCGTGGACCGGAAACACTTGCTGGATAATCCCACGGGCTGCCAGCTCAGGGACTGGTGGGGAACAAGAATGGGTGACCCCTCGCCTGTGCCTGGCCAGACCACCTTGGCTGAAACCAAGTCACAAATTTTTGTCTGCTCTTAAACCTACAGAGGCTTTTCCTAGGGGATGAGTTCTGGGTAGATGGAATATCTGGTTCTCATTCAGAATTTAAGAGGTGTAGGCACAGGTGCAGGTAGGAACGGGTGCAAGAAAACTAGAAGGGTGGTGTTCAAGTAGAGAACCATGTTTTTGAATAAAGCCATTGGCCTCAGTTCATTGCTCTGAATGTCTGAGGAATGATACAAATTTGGTGTCAGAAGGTGAACTTGCAGCAACTGGTTTCCTGGAAGGGAAACTGAGGCTCAGGGCCGCCCAGCACAACATACATGGAGTGCTGTCCATGGTCCTGCCCCTTCCTTATCCCAGACCCAGAAAAGGTTCTCTTGGATATGCCTCCTGGGGAATAAGCCCCACCCTTTGTTAAGGCCACGCCCCTTCAGTTCATTGATTGCTCTGGTCCAGGCCCCGCCCAACTATTCACTAGCCCCTGACTGGTTGGATCTAGGCCCAATTCCCCACATGTGATTGGAGGGTTGGGCCCGCCTCACTCACTAATTGGCTGGTCCTCCAGAAACCGCACGTTGTGCAGCGCCTCACCCTGCTTGGCACGCAGATTCTGAAGCCAGAAGCGGATGATGCTCTGGCGCTCCTGCAGGGGACAGGGTGTGAGTACAGCAAGTAGCAGCTTGGGGGTTAGGAATATGCATTGGGGCTGAGCTGGCGCACCTGGGAGGTGAAAAAGCGCAGCTCACTCTCCACATTTTCATAGATAAAGTCCTCTTCGCAGGAGAAGCCACGGGTACCCCCGCCAAACTCAGCCTTAACTGCTTTGCGCAGACCCAGCTCGTCGGCCCCTCGGAGTAGGCTGTGGGAGGGCAGGAGAGGTGGGATCACGGGGAGACCCTGGTTCACCATCCTGGAGCTAGGGATGGTCCCACTGGCGGCCGCCTGGGAGAAACACAGAGCGGCTGGACCTCGTAATTGGTGCTTGGAAGGGTGGGGAGCTGCGCGGCAGCTCAGCGAGAGGCCAGGGACAGAGACTCACCTCTCATACGTGGCGGTAACGAAGAAGGCATAGGCACGCGTGTGGCGGTGGTGGCGGACTTGCACGATGAGCTCGGGGATGCCCACGCGGATGTGGTTCAGCAGCCACAGCAGCGTGTGGTCATCCGTCGTATCTGCCAAGGGGCACAGGGACTGATGACTCTTGCCACGGAGGGTCCGAGGCCTCCTACAGTCAGACTCCCACTCAGGGGAGCCCAGTTCAGGGGAGCCTCGTCTGGGCACTGGGCGGGTGGGCACAGGTACCTGGGAAGGTCATCAGCACGTCGCAGTTCTCCGTGGGCACAGTCTTCATCCACGCTTTGTGGGACACCAGGTATCGACCAGCTTGCAGGAGCCGCTTTCCAAAAAGTTTATCTGGAGGGCAGGTGGGCCACCCGGGGTCAGGCCACTCCTGGACGGAGAGAGCTTGACCTCCAGCCTTTGTCCCTGCTCACACCCCCGCCAGGACTCCTGGGCACTCAGCCTGGCATTCAAGGCCCTGTGAGCTCTAGCCTTGGTTTGTTTCCATTCCTTCATGTCCTTGCAACCAGAGGGCCCTGCTTCAGGCATGCCCTTCCCCCAGGCTCTCCCTTACAAATCTTACTCATTCTAGAGGCCCAGCTCCGCCTCCAAAACCACAATCGATGAAGTGCTCACTCGCAGCACTGAGCACTTCACCACAGTATGTCAGCGCGTCCTCACAGCTGGGTGCGGTTCTTACCCCCATTTCACAGGTGGGGAAACTGAAGCCCAAAGCTTTTAAGTCATGCGCCCAAGGTCACACAGCCAAGCTGGGATTCGAACCCAGGACTATGATTCTGTACCCTCTGCGGAGAGGAACTCTGAAGCGCATCCCTGCCCGGACGCGATCCGGTAGCCCAAGGGGTGACGGGGCTCAACCTAGAGCCTGTGTTCTCCGAGGGGCGTGTCCGTGTCTCTGCTCTGAGACCCCCCCCCCCATCCCCGCTGCACCTTCCCGCCCGCGCTCTCACGGTCGTAGCCGCAATGTCGGGAGGAGCCGGCCCCTCCGCTGGACTTCAGGACGGAGACGGCTGACCCCAAACCCCCTCCTCGTCCAAGAGCCGCGAACACCCCAGGCACCTGCAACCCTGACAGATCCAGTCGCCGCACACCTACCCAGAACTCCGGACGCCGGGGCTGCAGGCTCGCCCTCTGGCGGGGGCCTCTTGCCGCGCTCGCCCTCCAGGGACGTGCCCCCGGGGCCAGAGGCGGCTTCGGCCATGGTGAGGGCAGGGCAGGTCAGGGGCAGCGGGCGGCCGGGGCTCCGAGGGATCGCGGGAGCATGGGGCGGGTGCAGCCGCGGAGCGCGCCGTAGGTGGAGACAAAGGCCGCACCCGCCCGCGCGGGCCGCCGTCCCCGCGTGCCGGAGCGCTGCTTCTCGTCCCCGCCCGCGCCGAACCTCGAGTCTCCAGCTTGGCCCTGCGCACGTCGCTCTGGGGTTCTCGACTCCGCCCGTATTGTTTTCTGGGTTTCGTTCTCGCCCGCCCACGTCACTTTCTGGTGCTCGTACCCGCCCGCACCGCATTCCCCAGGTTGTTCCCGCCCGCGCCGAATTCTGGGTCTCGTTTCCGCCCGTTCCGGATTCCCCGCCTGAGTTTCCCCTCTGAAAAGACGCGTTTGGAATCTGATATGGGCGTGATTTGACTACAACTAGGCATGAACAGGGGAGGCCTGGTCTGGGAAGATTCTGGGTAACAACGACTTCAACCACCACAGCTGAAATGTGAATAATTATAGCAGGTTCTGCCTCAGGGCCTTAGCATATGCCCTAGGACACTGCCAAGGACACCTTTCAGCCCCCCCTTTGTTCAGTTCAACCTGGCATCCTTCAGCATGTAACCTCAGAGAGGACCGGATAGGATAGAGTTGCCAACTTAGCAAAAATAAAAAATAAAAAATTAAAAGTCTTTTCAAAGTGAGAAAAAGTATTTATTTGAGATCAATAAAAACAGCTATGCTGGGTGGACTGATTAGAGCAGAAGCCCAAATAATGTTGCAAAAAAAATAGGAAACAAAGGCAATGGATGTTTATAAGAAAGGGAAAAACAATTACGTCAATAGAAGGAAGGCATTTCTATTGGTGCAGGTTAACATAACAGTGATGTTAATTCTAAACAATGTTTTAAATTTTCAGTCCAGTTGTCATAATTTCTGCTTTCTTGTTACCTTTGCAAACAGTTCTTTGGGAAACAAGTTTGCTTAGGCCCAGTCTAAAGGTTGTTTCACCCTGTTTTAACATCTCAGAGGTTTGAGGCATAAGACATGCCAGGCAGTTCCTCTGAGATGGCAGCTCCGTCCGACTCCATTTTAAAATGGCTCAGTTTATATTATTTTTTACAAATATAAATTTCAGACAAACGAATAAATTTTTAGTATGTCCCAAATATTATGTGGGACAAAACAGTTATTCATTATTTATCTGAAATTCACATTTGACTGGGCATCTTGTATTTTAAGTGGAACCTGGACACCTGCCCATCCTGAGATGCCTCCTCCATTAGAGCCCAGCCAGGACGGGGGCTGGTCTGGTTCTCAGAATGCACACAGTAGGCTCTTGATGTATACTTGTGACAAATGGAGCAACTCGGAGACGGCCAATGTCATTGTTCCTCCCTGTTCTACAAATTTAAAAGCTGAGCAGAGCAGGGCAGTAGGGGGTGGGGATGGGGAGGGGGATCAGAACTCTAGCCCGCCGAACAAATTCCTCCCAAAGTGCAAGTACGAGGGCCGGCCGAGTGGCTCAGTTGGTTAAGAGCTCGCTCAAGAGTTTGAGCTCTGAGCAACAGCGGTTCGAGTCCAGCCCGAGCTGAGCAGCCGCTGAGCTGCCAACAGGTAGCAGGATGGCTCAGCTAAAAAAAAAAAAAAAAATCCAAAGTGCAAGTACCCTGCCAGCCCTCCCGCTCCGTCCAAGAACCAGAGAATTGGCCATGAGAAAGCGCCACTGAGACCCCGCCCAAGCTGTGCCTGGAATTCCACTGTCAACGCTTGGTTTCGCCTAGATCCAGCTCTCTCCTGGGTTAACCTGAAACTAATGTCCTAGACTCCCCTTTTTTTGCGGGGTGGGCAGAGACAGACGACATTCAGCTTTGCAGGAGCAGGCCTAGGCCAGAGAGGACCAGAGGGGAGACAGGGCTGTGCTGAGGGTTCCAGGAAGGGTTTCTGGCGGAGGGGGCCTTGAGCTAGGCCCTGAGGATGAGTTTGTCAAGTCAGGAAAGGTTTTCAAGGCCGAGGAAACAGCGGAAGGGAAAGCTGAAGAGGGGCGAAAACCTGGAGAGTTCCGGGAAAACAGGCATCTTCGCAGAAGTTTGGACAGGATTTTCCCAGCGCCACTATATGGGTTCTCCGGGACTCATTCCGCCGAGCCACTGAAATGCTCTTGCTTCGCCTAAGGCTATGGATGGCTAGCTCGAACCCTCGCCTCACTATTTCCCACCGCCCAGTGCCTGCATTTTTTTTTTCTACTCTTCGTTTCCGGTACTCGGATCCCGACAGCTCTAGGATCCTAAAAATTCGGTCTAATGTTGCCTCGGGGAACGCTATTTCACTGCACCCCCCGCATGCAGGCCCCTGCCTCTTTCCCTGGACACAGCCAATAGAAATGAAGGTCTTCAGTGGGTGGGTGGTACGTCTTTTGGGGGCCCAATGGTAGTCGAGAACCGCTGAGCACTTTGCCAGTCACGCTGCGGAGTAGGCGGGGCATCCTACTTGGACTTGAAGCCTCGGGTGAAGGGTACTCCGACGAGCGGCTGGCAGGGAACCCATGTGGCGGGGGCTCTGGACCCTGGTAGCCCGGGCGGCACGTGGGCCTCGCAGGTGGGGTGACCCTCGGAAGGGCTGTGACAGCGTGGGGCGCTACTTGGGCCCCAAACCCTCTCTCTGGGGCCTGGGCGCCCAGTTCCCTGCGGCAGAGCCAGCCACCTTTCTAGTTCTTCCAAGCCCCAATCTCTTCATTCCCAGAGCCTACATCTAGGTTACCTGCCTCAGTCCTCAATCCGGTCACCCTCTGGCCTCAGGACCTCCAGTCTGCCCACTCCCCAGCTGCAGAGCCTCCACTTAGGGTCATTTCCCGACCATCGAACCCCTTATCCAACTGCTACTCTACAGCGGAGCCTCCCAAATGCACTGACTTTCCGCTCCTGTCCCAGACCGTGCACGCGCCAGGGCAGCAGCACCCCGGTCCCCGGATCCGGGGCCACCATTTTCGCGCTGAGTTCCGGCCAAGGCCGCTGCGGCATCGCTGTGATTCGGTCCAGCGGCCCCGCCAGCGGCCACGCCCTGCGAAGCCTCACGGCGCCCCGGGACTTGCCCCAGGCTCGCAGGGCCTGCCTGCGCCTGCTCAGCGACCCCCGCTCCGGGGAGCCGTTGGACCGCGCACTAGTGCTATGGTTCCCAGGTGAGGGGCTCCAGATCCCGAACCTCCTGTAGCTCCCACGACTCAGTTGACACCCTCCAAGCGTTTGCCCAGACTATGCCCTATTGACTCCTGGCCACACCAGGTCCCCAGAGTTTCACGGGTGAGGACTGCGCGGAGTTCCACGTGCACGGAGGCCCGGCCGTGGTGAGTGGCGTCCTGCAGGCCCTGGGTGAGTCTGCAGCCCTGGGTTCGAGGTATGGCTCTACCAGCGGGCCTGGGTGGGGGCCAACAGCTCAGTACTTGGGACCATCCCCCAGGCAGTGTGCCAGGGCTGCGGCCAGCGGAGGCAGGCGAGTTCACCAGGCGAGCCTTCGCCCACGGGAAGCTGAGCCTGACTGAGGTGGAGGGGCTGGCGGATCTGATCCATGCGGAAACTGAGGCACAGCGGCGGCAGGCCCTGAGGCAGCTGGACGGGGAACTGAGTCACCTCTGCCAGGGCTGGGCGGACACCCTCACTAAGGCAAGTCTCCATTTGCACAGTCTCTGTCTCAGAGACCCCCACCCTGTCCATCCCCTGCGTGAGAGCTTCTGGTCTATGAGCCTCCAATCTGGCCCCTTAGGTCAGGCTGGACCTGGGCAAATTGGGGAGCTAGGTTCCTGGGTGATCACAGCACCTACCACCCCTCCCCTAGGCTCTGGCCTATGTAGAGGCCTATATCGACTTTGGGGAAGATGACAACCTGGAGGAGGGCGTCCTGGAGCGAGGTGGGTCCACCTGGGGGTAGGGGGGTAGGGACATCTGACATCTCAGCCCTAGAAGACCCCTCACTCGCTCTCCTCTGCTTTCCTCCATCCACAGCTGACAGCCAAGTGCGGGAGCTGGAGGTGGCACTGGGCGCACATCTTCGAGATGCCAGGCGTGGGCAGAGGCTCCGCTTAGGGGCACACGTGGTGGTTGCGGGACCCCCCAACGCCGGCAAGAGCAGCCTAGTGAACCTGCTCAGTGCGTGGGAGGTGGGCGGGGGGCGGGGCCTAGTGCCAGAGCAGGGTCAGGTACTGCGGAATGAGCTGAGCTGTTCAAATGTGGGTAAGGGGCTAGGGCGGAAGAAAGCTGTGTTCAGCCAGGGGCGGGAGCTTGGAGGAGGTGCTCCTTCACCTTTACTGATCTTCCCTCCTTTCTCTGACCCTCTCCCCGTTTCCAGGCCGGAAGCCTGTGTCTATCGTGTCCCCAGAGCCGGGGACCACCCGAGACGTGCTGGAGACCCCTGTGGACCTGGCCGGGTTCCCTGCACTCCTGAGCGACACAGCAGGGTTGCGGGAGGCCGTTGGGCTGGTGGAGCAGGAGGGTGTGCGGCGCGCCCACGAGAGGTGGGTGGGCAGACAGGGCGGTGGGAGGAGGAAATGGGGGCCTTCCTCTCCCTTTCTCCCTGTTGCATTTATTTTTCTTTCTTTCTGAATCACAAGACTGAGTGGGGATTCTGTGATTTGTGTAGGGAGCCCTTAGATTTTGTCCTCTGCCCACATGTTCTGCCCCATCTCTCACGCTCTGCCCCGCCCCTCATGCACTGCTTTGTCCCCAGTGCTCTGTTTGGCCCCCTCACTCTCCATTCTGCCTTTAATTGCTGTACTCTGGGGTCACTGCTCAGTTGGTTCTCCCTTATTCCCAAGGCTGGAGCAGGCTGACCTCATCCTGGCGGTGCTGGATGCCTCTGACCTAGCCTCTCCATCCAGCTGCAACTTCCTGGACATGATTGTCAACCCCGGGGGAGCCTGGACATCCAATGGGAACAGCCAGCGTCTCCTGTTGGTGCTGAACAAGTCAGACCTGCTGCCCCCTGGGGGCTCAGACCCAAGTTCTGACCTGCCCCCGCACCTGCTGCTGTCCTGCCTTACGGGGGAAGGGCTGGACGGCCTCCTTGAGGCGCTGAGGAAGGAGCTGGCTGAAATGTGAGCCCACCCTACAGCCTCCCTCCACCCAAGTTCAAGTGAGGGTTGAGTCATACCTGCCCACAGGCTCAGTTTCTATATCTGCAGAGTGGGTATGATCATCCTCCCTTTGAGTGGTGGTTGCAAAGGTTAAGAGAGACCATGTTCTTTGTCCTTTCCAGATGTGGAGATCCGTCCACAGGCCCTCCGCTTCTGACGCGTGCAAGGCACCAGCATCACCTCCAGGGCTGCCTGGACGCCCTTGGCCATTACAAGCAAGCTAAAGATGTATCCCTGGCAGCCGAGGCACTGCGGGTCGCCCGGGGGCACCTGGCCCACCTCACCAGTGGAGGGGGCACCGAGGAGATCCTGGACATTATCTTTCGGGACTTCTGTGTGGGCAAATGAGGGGACTGCTGAAGCTCAGACCAGGCTGGGTGGATGCCCAGAAGCCTTGAGGCATCTGGGAACAGCTTAGGCCAAGTGAGATTCTTATGTCCTTGGGGAAGAACTTGACCCCAAAACAGTGAGTGAACTCCCTGTTGCTGGTGGTGACCAAGCTCTAGCTGGCCAGGTTCCCTTGCAGGAACTTGCTGGGAGTTCAGGCCCTGGCGTGGTCGGAACAGAGATCCCTTGGAGCTCCTTATACTAGGGGATAGCAATGGAGGGTTGGAAGGGAGATGGGAGGGTCTCAGGGGTCTTTGTTTAATAGTTTTTAATTTATTTTGCAAATACCAAAGGAATATAAAAATCTCAGGTGATTCAGAAATGTTTAACTGTAGAAATCTCCCTCCCCCTACCACCAGGGTCACGGCTTAACTGTATCCTTTTAGAACTTATCTCTGAGTGTTTGCATACTTGTGGATGCACCTGTAAAATAATGTTTTGTCTTGTATTTTCTATGTACATTGTGTGTTTATTGCTCATTCCTTTTTTATTATTAATCTCGAAACTTTGCCTCATATTTTAAAAGTGACTTGCAAAATCCTGGGGCCCTACTCTCTTTCCACTTAGTCTTCATTGATACATTCATTCACTCACTCACTCAGTGAATATTTGTTAAGGACCTTCTATGGATTAGAACTGTACATGTCATTTTACTGGATTTTCATAACAGCACGACGTAGTGGGCATTTTGTTACAGTTCTACAGATGAGGAAACAAGCTCAGAGTAGTAATTGGTTGTTGAAGGTTCCTGGCTTTGGGATTTGCACATAGGCCTGTTTAACTCTAATTTGAGTTCACTGTGAGCCTTCTGTGCAACAGGCCAAGTTCAGGGTGCTGGAGACGTGGAAAGGAACAAGCAGCCATCACCCCTGCCTTTGTGAGGTCTGATGGCTGCTGTGCAAACCTACAGTGAGGAAACCTGACCTGGTCAGCGACTTGGCTGGCTGCTCTGCAGAGGTGGCATTTGTACTGACATCTGAATGGTGAGAAGGCGGAAACCAGATGGAGGAGGCTTGTGAGAGTGTCCCAGGCAGAGGGCACAGCATATGCAAAGGTCCTGAGGTGGGAGCATCACATTATGTTCAAGGAAGAACAAGGTGGTCAGTGTGTCTGGAGCAGAGTGAGTGAAGGGAAGAGAAGAGGGAGGTGAGTTCAAGGAGAAGAAGGACCTGATGATAGTGAGGCCTTTGATTCTGAGACCAATGGGGAGGCCGGCTATAGTGGTGATGAACCAGCAGAGGGCGCCATGCCCTAACAAGGGAGATTCCTGATTGTCCATCAGAGCTCCAGCCCTGAGGGTGCCAGGGATCCAGGCTTCCACACCCACCTGGCAGCTTATGAGTGGTCAACTCCCCTTGCCAGAGGCGGAAACTGAGTCTCAAATAGGGTCAGGATCTTTTCCAGAATTAGAAAAAGGTCCCCACCTCCAATGGTAGTGCTTTTGGGTTCCAGGGGACACATGAGCAGAGGCAGGGATGTGTCCAGGGCCCAAAAAGGGTATGAAAGGGTCTTCAGGAGGCACCCACCACCCAACTAAAGGGGACCCCCAAACTTGGGTTTTCACAGACTTCATTGCAATATGTCACTATTTGTTGATTTCTTTGCTTATTCAACAGCTGTGGTCGCCCCTGAGTGGTGAGCTCCTGGAAGGAAAAGGTCACTCTTTGAGATGAGTCCATGGATATTACTATCACGCCCATTTTGCAGAAAAGCAAACTGATGCTCAGAGAAGAAAAGCAATAATATGGGTCTAGTGGAGATGGGTGTCCAGATGTCATGCCATGGGGAGAGCCCAGACAGCTCCCAGGACGGGTGTGCGGGGTCCGGGTGGGGAGGGAGACACTGTTGAGGCAGGATGCCTGGGCCTCCACCTACCTTCCCCTGGGCCCTGGCACAGGTCTGGACCGAGGTCCTTGGCTACAGTCCTTTTTTTCCAAGAAGGGTGAGGCAGTTTGTGGGAAGCAGCCATGGGGGTTATTTATAGAGGTCACAGGAAATCTCCAGAGTCAGAACCTCACCCAGTGACTGGATCACAGGGTTGCCAATTGCTCCCAAATGGTACTCAGTCCCCCTCCATTCTCCACCCCCAGGGGAACCACCAAGTCTGGGTGAGTCAGAGCTACAGGATCAGGGCTGCAAAGTGAGGGATGGGGCTGGGGAAACAAGGGCTAGACCTGGGGCATCCAGGAGGGCTGCCTGGAGGAGGGATCTCTAGGGCTGGGCCTTGGAGGAAGAATTTATCAGGCCAGAAAAAGGTATTCTAATCTGAGGGCATAGCACAAATTAAAATTGAGAGTCAGTGAGTCTTAAAAATAATTTAAAAAATAGAGCTGGTGAGTCTTTAGTCAGAGAATTAAACATCCAAGACAGCTGGAGGCCAGGGCTTCCCTATGCAAGGGGGTAGGGGGTACAAGAGAGACAAGGAACTGGACTGTGTGTCCAGGGTAATGGGGAGCCATGGAGGGTGTGTGAGACAGAGAGGGACGTGGTTGGATCCCATGATGGAAGGATCTATCTGGACCAGCATGGGGGCCATACTAGAGGCAGAGGCTGAGGTCTAGGTGTTAGAGGACTGAACCAGGGCTGGGCATTAGGGCTGGTTGGAGGGATGACATCCTGGGATTCTCTGGATGGGAGAGACCAACTAAGAGCTACAGACCTGTGCCCATGTGTCCAGAGAGTTTAGAACAATTATTATCACATGCATTTCTCAGATGAGGAAATGGAGGCTGAGATGGATTGAGCCAAGATTTGAACCCAAAAATATCTGGCTCCAGAACCCAAACTCAGGCGTCCTGTGTTTGCTGAGACTGGCCAGATTCTGTGTTTTCTCCAGGACTTAAGGTTTCTCCAGGACTTAAGGTTTCTCCAGGACTTAAGGCTGCCCCGGCAGTAGGCTTAGGGTTAGGGACGTCCCCGCTTCCTTGGGGCCTCCAGACTGGCCCCTCTGGGCAGCCTGGCCTTGCTGACCCCCCTGCCCTGGCTTGGCGGGGCCCCAGCCAAGTGTTTCCTGCAGCAGCGGTCTCTCACCCGCATTTCCTTATCCAGGAAGTATCGCTCCTTTGTCCCTCCAGACTTGCCTGCCCTAAGCTAGTGTTGCCAGCCTCATCCTCATGATTCATCCCTCTCCCTGGGGACGGACTGGGAGGGAATCAAGGGTAAGGGTTGGGGAGGAGGAGGGGAGACAAGCTAATATTCTAGATCACAATTTTTAGGTTTTTTGGTCTGTGGCTATTTGCTGTTCTTTTTTCTTTTTTTTTTTTTTTTTTCCTGGAGTTTTCAGGGATAAAGTCCCAGGAACAGTGTGGCTGATTCAAAGAGTTGGTACATCTTTACTTTTATTAAATATCACCAAACTAATTTCCAGAAGGGCCATGATGAGATATTCATTTCTACAAGTCCTGTAAAAAAAAATGCTCTTTTCTCTATATCTTTACCAGCAGTAGGTATAACAACTTTTTAACTCACCCCCCCTAGTCTGCTGGGTATAATGTGATTTCCCTGTGTTTCTCTAATGTGCTTTTCCCCTGCTACCTGCTAAGTTAGTGACAGGGGTTGAAACGCTCCAAAATTGGATGCAGGTGCCCTGACATCCCATCTTGCTACAAACAACAAAATAAAACAAACAGCCTGAGACTTTTGTGATATTGTTCCTGGAATAATTTTGGCGAGGAGGAGTTCCTGCAATTGACGACAGGCTGTAGTAACCTCAACAATTGTTGTCAAGACCTGGGGGAATCTTTGCAAATCTAGAAAAATGAAAACTACAAATGGATAATTTGCTTTTTAAGAAACTGCCTTGTAGGGCTGTCCAAGTGGTGAGTTGGTTAAGAGCTGGCTTGGGACGCCAGCTCTGAGCAGCAGGGTCCCGGTTCGGATCCCACATGGGGGCCAGTGACACTGCCCTCTACAGCTAAGATGGTGAACAACAGCTCGACCTGGAGCTGGGCTGCCGTGAGTCGCTGGCAATGGCTAGGCTGCAGCCCCTGCTGCAGTGGGCTGCCATAAGCTACCGTGTTTTGCTAGTTGGCAGCCAGTGTGAGCTGCCAAGACCCGCCATGAGCGGCCGTCCAGAGACAGGCGACTGATCTGCCTCACCTGGGAAGAGCGCAATGATAATACCAACATGGGCCAGTGAAGCAACGTCCTCCACAACTAGACTGAAGAACAAGACGACAGCAACTTGTCTGTTCCCTTTCCCCCGATTCCCCAGCACTGTTCCCCTCCCCCAATTCCCCAATAAAATCTTTAAAAATGGTTAAGAGCTGGCTTGGGACGCCAGCTCTGAGCAGCAGGGCCCCAGTTCGGATCCCACATGAGGGCCAGTGACACTGCCCTTTACAGCTAAGATGGTGAACAACAGCTTGACCAGGAGCTGGCCTGTCGTGAGTCGCTGGCGACGGTGTAGGCTACAGTGGGGCTGGCCGGCAGCTGGCATGTGCTTTCGTGAGCTACTGTGAACCACCATGAGAGGCCATCCAATGGCCGGCGAGCAACTGCCTCACCCGGGAAGAGTGCAATGATAATACCAACATGGGCTAGTGAAGCGACATCCTCCACAACTAGACTGAAGAACAAAAGGACAGCAACTTGTTTGTTCCCCTTCCCCGATTCCTTAGCGCTGTTCCGCTCCCCCAATTTCCCAATAGAATCTTTAAAAAAAAAAAAAAAGAAAAGGAAAGAAACTGCCTTGTAAATGTCTGCTGTTTTAAAGAAACAAGAAATCGACAACAATGCCGTCTCTTCCCACATGGAGATGCCCAGATCTTGGGGGAAGCTGGTGTTCCCCATTTGTTCTGGGTCGAAGGGTCTTCTGTCCTGGGGATGTTGGGGAGGGGGTTCTCCAGCTTTTATATTTCTAGTCTTACCTCGCTCAAGGCCAAGTGGTGCCTTTTCAAAGCAAAAATCACAACTCTGGTGTGGTGTCTTTGAAAGGATCGATAATATTTATTTAGTGCCTAACACTTATAGGGATCATAGGCAGGGCTGGGTATGGGGGAGAGAGGGAGTGAAGGGTCAGTGGGCTACATCCACCCTTGCACCAGAGGCTCCCTGATGCAACAGATGGGCCTGGAAACTCCCAGGGATACAGGTGAATGTCTTTCTGTTCTCATTTCCCAGGCCATTTAGCACTGGAGGTGAGGAAGCGTCCAGAGGTAAGGGAATCAGAGGAGGGGGGTGGCAGCATTGGTGTGAGAGGATGCTGTGGGTGCCTTGGCCTGTGTGTAGAGGGGTGTGACATTGGGCGAGGGTTGGGCAGAAGTGTGTGTGTCATGCTGTCACCATGTCTGTGTGACATCATTTCTGTGTGTCTGTGGGGTGTCATTGCAGCCTTTGTGGGTGAGGGATTGTGTGGTGCGAGTGTGGGCCTGTGAGAGTATTAGGAGGCATGGGTAGGGTGTGTGGTGGATGAGCATGGGGCGCAGGCCAAGGGTGCCCACTGTGGTACATGTGCGGGACATCGCCTGAATGCTGCCCTGGCTGCCTGCTGTGCTGTGGGCGTGTTGCTGCACCAGGTCTGCAGATCAGCAAGTCGGGGTCACCCCTCAGTCCTCCGGGCTCAGAGCCTCCTCAGCCGCTAAGGCAGGAAGGAGATGGGAATACAATAGTCGATCAGACAGACGGAAAGGACAAAACTTCCTTGGGTCTGCCTCCTCCTACCCCAACCCCTTGTTGTTACCAAGGACTTGCTCCTTTGGGGTTCACCCTCCCCAGTAGACTCCTACTTGAGCTTCTTTGGAATGGTGGGACTGAGATGTGTGCTTCCTCATTATACAGAAGAAAAGTCCGAGGTTCAGAGAGGCCACCTCCTATGCTGCAGGCCCCTGCTGCAGTCTTTCTAAAGGCCCTGGGGATCCTGGGAGTTTGCCCGCAAACCCTTGTCCATCTCTACCCCCCACACATTCATTCCCAGGAGGGTTTTTCGAATGAGCTGGCCCCTACTCCCTTGCTCTCCGTGGCCCCCCAGCACCCTCATGACAAAGCCAGATCCTCTCGACCTGGTTCCACCCACTCTGCCCCACTAAGCCTTCTCTTCAGGGACTCAAACCCCAGCACAGTCCCCCCAAATTCCAAGAACCATCACTTCGCTTCCCCCCACCCCCTCCCGCCCCTTTGCAGGAGCCATCCTGCTGCGGTCGGGAATGCCCTTCCCCCTCCTTGGCCTGGCAAAGGTTCTCATGAGGGGTCAGGGGTTGGCGCAGAGGCTATTTCCTGGTCAGGGAAGAGGGGGCTGTCGCCAAGTCCCGCTTCCGCTGGCCCCCTCCCTTCCTTCCCTGGCTCTTCCCTGGGGCCCGAGCCTCACATTCTTTGGCTGGCTCTGGTCCGCCCTCCCTGGCTCCAGCCTCTCTGTCTGACATACATGCTTCACCCCCTCCTGCCCACCAGCTTACAAGGGAGGACCACCTTTCACCATTTTCCCACAGACTGAGGCTCCTAAGACCCCATTGCTGGCCTGGACCAGTGCCATCGCTGGTCCCTGGTCCCTGGCTCCCACCTTCACCCCCAACCACAACCAGAGTGTGCCTGTGAACACCTGATTAGCGTCACATCCTCCTCTGCTCACAGCCTGCCCAGGGCTCCCAAAGTCCTCACCGCAGCCTGATCTGTCCCTATCATCTTCTTGACCTCACCTCCTTCCACTCTTCCCCCTTGATCACTCCCTTCCAGCCATACCAGCTTCCTCACTCAAATTCACCAGTCATAGTCCTGCCTCAGGGCCTTTGCATGGGCTGTCCTCTCTGCCTGGTGCACCCTTCCCAGGAACCTCCTTCCCCCCAACCCCACGGCTCCTCCCACACCTCCTTTAGTTCCCTGCTCAAATGTCACCTCCTCAGGGAATCCTGCCCTGGCCTCCTGTGAAAAATTCTAACCTCACACTCCCTCATCCCTTCTCCGTCTTGCCCATCACTAAGGGGCCTATAATGACTCATTCATCTGGTTTATCATCTGTCTCCCCACGAGACTGTGAGCCCCACAAGAGTAAGAATTTCTCTGTCTTATTCCTGCCTGTGTCCTCAGCACCCAGCAGTGGCTCAAGAAATACAAGCTGAATGAACAAAAAAATCATAATAGTGATGGCAATGAACTTGAGTGACGCTCACTGTGTGCCCGGCTCAGAGCCAGGGCTGCACTCCCATCTTCAACCTTCCACAGTGCAACTCCAGCCACATAGCCGCTAAACCAATTATTTACTTTATATAATATATATATAATAAATATTTATATATATAATAAATATATATTTTATATATATATATATAAACCAAATATTTACTTAATATTTGTCTTCACCTCAATTGTGGTTTTTAAAATATTACTTAAATTGATCTCCAAAGGACAACCAATCTTACCAGATAAAGGTGCACTTGCCATCAATAGAAAATGACTTACAAATGTGCAATTAAGAAGTAAGACCTTGTGCTCAAGTCCTGGTGACACTAGGCCCTGAGTCTGCCCTCGTTTTGTGAATATGGGACAGCGGCATGTGTGTGGGAGGCATTAGGGCGAGTTAGCACCAGTGGAGACTTTCTCAAGGCACAGAGAAATGAGTGGAAAGAAAATCAGCTCCTCGATAGTGAAGTGGGCAATGCTGGACCTCAGACCTGGCCCCTTTCTAAGGTTCATCTAAAATTTGAATGTTGTGATTCTCTGGCCAGTGATTTGCCCACGGTTGCCCACTAAGTGGCTGGCTGAGCCAAGATTCAAGCCCATAGTTGATGGCCCGGGCCTGCTCATCCCTGGCCCCTTTCTCAGGGGAAGGCTAATTAAGGCTGGAGCCCAGAAGCCCTTCCTGCAACCCTGCAGAGAGAAGCAGGAGGGGCCCAGGCTTAAGTGCGCATTGTTTTCTTGGCAGGTCAATGTTGTTTGGGGTAAACAATGTCAAGAGCTTTCCCGTTCTCAGCTGGGACCCAGACAGGTCTGGCTCTGGCCTTGATTTGCTGACGCATGACCTGGGCTGATCACTTCCCTGGGGCCTCAGTTCTCTCTCTGAGAAATGGGGATAATAATAGAACCTCCTTCCTTGCCATGATGGCTTCAGGCCAAGATGGAGAGAGGAAAACTGTTTACTTGGAGCAGGGGCTTCGCCCTACCCTCTACCACTACCCTCTTCCCTTTTTGAGGGCTGCCCAAGGCTGAGGGATTTCACTGAGGCAGAGCCATCCAGAGCAAGGGGACCAGTTCCGCAAGGGGGTGAGCTCCCGTTGGAAGGGGTATATAAGAAGATGGAGAAGGATGTGGAGAACCCCAAGGCGTTGGCGACAGACCTCTGGAAGTCTGGACCCAAGGCCTGAACTTAGCACCCTGAAGCTGAAATAGACCCAGGTGGACAATAGTCTGGTGGCAAAGCCATTCAAGGAAGCCACAGGCTTTGGCGTCAGAGGGAATCTCACTTAAAATCTCAGGTCACCCTCTGGGCCTCAGATCCTAAACCGCAAATGGGACTGACAATCCTCAGGTGCTAGGCCAGCGGTATGTTCCTGAATGGGGAGTGTGGCTTCGAACAAGGAGGGAGCACAGGGTGTTCTCGGAGCGGTGGCCTGAGTCACCTTCCCCGTGACGCACAGGGTGTTGTTGGACAAATGACCAGGCCCCAGAGGTGGCAAGGGGGGCACAGGCATCAAGCCATGACCTGGGCATGTGCCAAGCACCCTGAGGCTCCCTGGACCCTTGCTCCAGACATCGGTGGACAAAGTGCTTCCATGCCCTTAATTTCAGAGGCCCCCATTTTTGTAGAATTAGAAAGTGAGGCTCACAGGGGTGGAGCGAGAGGCCCAGGGTCACTATCGGACGCTGTTCTCTCTCCTTCCCTTCCCCCACTCCAGCCACTCTCACCCACCCTAGTCCAGGCTACCTGGGTCTTGGATCTAGCTGTTCATGTACCTGGAGCACTGTTCTCTCTGCCCTCCGCAGGCCAGCTCCTGCCCATCCTCCAGCTCAAAGGTCCCCTCCTCAATGAGACCCTCCCTTTTCTGTCTGGAGTCTGATTGCCTGGGTTCATGTCCAAGCTCACCCCTTCCTGGCTGCGTTACCTGGAGCACGATGTATACCCTTTCTGTGCCTCACTCTCTTCATCCGGAAAGTGGGAATAACTGTAGCTCACCAACTGATAGGTTGTGAGGATTCAATGGGTTAATAGTGCAGAGTGCCCAATACTGTGCTGAGCTCACACTAAGCTCACACTAGGCACCTAATAATTGTAGGCTTTTGGTCACTCTTCTTATCATGGGTCCATCATTATCTCTCTCACCCACTACTCAGGGAGTTTCATGAATGCAACTGCATGTGTCTTGGTCACTCCTGTGTCTCCAGGGCTCAGCATAGGGCCTGGTACACAGCAGGTGCTCAATTAAGGAAGCAGCAAGTGTGAGACGAGCCTCCCTCCACCCCCAATCTTGAAGCCAAAGCCCTGGGACTGAACTATCTCAGCCTGCCTAGCTCTTCACCTGGATAGGGCTGAGTTGCTTGCAGGCGGCCGCTGGGACTCTAGGATCCTCTTCTTGAACTCCTCCAGGCTAGCTGTGTCTACCAAGAGAGGGAGGGGTTAGGCCCAACCTATCGCCTTAGTAGCCCCTTCACCTGGGCTAGGGATAGGCTGGCAGTCCCGGATACAAGAGGAGAGGACCCTCCCCATTCCTGGCTCTGCCCTCACTCACCAATGGGCTGGGTATTGGGAGCAGGGCCGACAGGTCTTGGCACAAGCATCGGCTGTGACTGTGGGAAGAAGGATAGAAGAAGATTGGCATAAGCTGGGATCCCTGAACCAGAGTGCCAGGGAGGTTCCTGCCTTTCCATGCTCTTGGAGATGTGACTCTGAGGTCATTCCAGGGTGGAGAAACAGACAGGTACTCATGGAGAGGGACACATGTGTTAGTGGATGTATAATCATCACCCGTACCCATCTTCCCTCAAATGACTGGGAACCGCAGGGACTGGCTTCCCTTGGCAGTCGCCACAGAGAACCTATTCTGCAGGGCCAGCCTGCCTTGGTTTCCATTACAGTCTCAGTGCCAACCTGCCCCAATCCATGACCCCACTGAATCCATCCACCCAACCCAGCCCCTCTCCAGACTGAAGCTGACCCACACTGTAAACCACTGGACCCCAATTCTCAATGCCATGCCTCGAACAAACCTGAGCCAATCCCTCCCAACCCTGAAACCCAAAACCAGTCTGAAAGCAATCACCTAAAATCCGATCCCAACATGAAAACAGAGACTTCCTCAGAATCAAACACTCACCTAAACCCAATCCCAAAGATACACCTGATCTGATCGTAACTTTCGATCTAACTCTGACCCCAACCCATGCCCTAGACTCAGCTACTATGAAAAACCCGCTCCTCAACCCTATTCTCCCAGCCCCAGCCCTGCGCTCCACCATGGCCACCCACAAACACCTTCCCAAAGCCACGATTAACCCCACCTCAACCTTAGACCCCAGCCTCTACCTGAAACAGAACCCCAACCCAGGCCCACCCCAAGATCAGCATCCACACAGCTTCTACTCTAGACCCAGCCTTGAGCCTCACCACAACCCCCATATATCCCCTCTCTAACCCAGTCACCTAATCCCTCACCTCAAATATATCCCAATGCCAGCCCAATTCAACCCCCACCCAGCCACCCTAACACCAACCCACCTCAAATCCTAACCCATGGTCAATGCCAACCCCTGCCCTTCCCAATGCCCAAGAAATCCTAAGTCCACTCTTGGCCCCAAACTTCTAATCATCTCTGGACCACTAGCCACCTACATCCACCAAAGCCTCAACTCCAATTTCAGTGCCTCAATTCAACCCAATCCCAAAGCCACTGACATCCTAGATTCACTCCTTATCCAATCCTAGACCTAACAACCACCCTGCATGCAACACCCAACTGAACTTTTAATCTTTTCTCACAACCTAAAGGGTGAACTCAACCCCAATTCTAAGACCAATGAGATGGAATATTAGCCCAAACCAACTCTAGACAGAGCAGTCACTAAGAACTCCTCTGGACCCAAATCTAAACACAAATTCAATGTCTACATCCAGCCTTCCTCTAGACCTGCCTTAACCCTCACTGTAATCAAATGTCACTCCCAGTCCTAACCCATTGTCCCCTGATTCTTCAACTCAATTCAAATAACTCCCAACCCTGACACCAACGCTTAATGAATCCCTAGTCCACACCCTAAACCAATTCTGAGGCCCATCCAGCTGCCTCTAAACTCAACCTCAATCCTTAACCCAATTTAGTGTCATTCCCAATTTCAAACAACCCCAACTCTAATGCCAATAAAAGTCTACATGAATAGATAACCAAGTTAAATCCTTAAACCAACTCTAGACTCAACTTCTTATGTGTGACCCCAGATTCAATTCTAAATCTACCTTCAAAGCCTCAACTTAGCCTGACATTCTCAATTCGCCCCTCACTCAACCCTGGATCCAAAATCTACCCTACCTCTGACTCCAGTCTTAATCCTATACTCTTCCTGGAATGCTAATCCCATTCCAAACTTGGCCCCAATCCTAATGTCAATGGAACTCTCAAGTGAGTCCTAACGAACTCAACCTCAAACCGACCTCAAACCCAAGTTCAACATCACAACTAACTTGGCCAACTCCAGTGCCACCTGAATCTGGGGCTGCCACCCACCTTGGCCTTGATGCAGGCTTCCATGGCTGAGTTGCTGACAGCTAGCTGCATCTTGAGCTGCTCGGCCTCCCGCTTCTTCTCCTCCAGCTCCTTGGCCAAGCTGTCTCGCTCTTTCCGCAGTGCTGCCTTGTCCTCCAGCACTAGCTGGGTCTGCCGGGCACAGTCGCCCTGGAGCTTAGCCTCCCGGGCATGGGCTTCCTTCTCCGCCTTCTCCTTGGCCTCCTGACTGGCCCGCAGGCTCTGCTCAACCTCCAGCTTTTGGCGCTGGAGGTTTGAGTTCTCACTGGCCACACGATCGATGTCAGCCCGCAGTCTCCGGGCCAGCTCCTCCACCTTGGTGCTCATGACGGTAGCCAGGTTGTCACAGACTCTCCGGATGGAGGTCACATCCATGCCAATGGGATGGTACGAGTTGTACCTCAAGGTATCGAGGACGCGATTCCAGAGGCTGTATATTTCCATCTCCATCTTGTCCTTGTCCAGTGGGAGGCAGAGGGCTTTCACCTTCTGCAGTTGATCCTCCGCCAGCTGTCGCTCCTGCCGCTGCTGATCCCGGGCCTTGCCACACGCGGCCAGCTCCTCCTCCACCATCCGCCTTTTCATCTCCAGACCCTCCTTTTCTTTGGTGCATACTGCCTTTTCCTTGGCCAACTCCACCTCTAGGGTCCTGGCCTTCTGGTTCAGCGTGAGAAGCAAGGCTACAGGTACAAGACAATAAGACTCAGGAAAGTTGGGGGGCTTCCAAAGAACTGGGCAGGGAGGCCCCCATCCTGGCTCCCGGCTGCCCAGACCACTCACCATTGGAGCTCTTGTTAGTCTCCTTGAGTTGTTCTTGGCATTGTTTCTCGGTCAGGATGATGGCAGCCATGTACCTCTGGTTGTTCAAGTAGACTGCCTGCCCAGATGGAACATAGGACAGAGCTTCTGATGATGCTCTGGCTACCCAGACACTCAGGGCTGGGGCCCCAGACCCAGCACCCAGAGGGCCCGGGTTCACAAGGGCATGACTTCTTTATAGGAAAAGTTGGTTTGATCGTCAAAAGTTGTTACGGTTAACACAATTTGGCAGTAAAAAGCAAGGCAGCACTGATACCTACTACAATGTGGATGAACCTTGAAAACATGATGATGAGTGAGAGAAGTCAGTCATAAAAGGCCACATAGTGCCCGATTCTATTTAGATAAAATGTCTAGAATAAGTAAATCCATAGAGACAGAAAGCAGCTTTGTGGTTCCCAGGGGCTGCTGAGGGAGAGAGAGTCGGGGTTGACTGCTAATGGGGACGAGGTTTCCTTTGGGGTGATAAGAAATGGTCCAAAATGAATTGTCATGATGGTTGCACAACTCTGTGAATGTACTAAAGAACTATTGAACTGTACATTTCAAATGGGTTAATTGTATGGCACGTGAATTAAGTTTTTATGATTCAACAAAGGCTGTGGACCATTACCCTCCACAGAAATATAACAAGTAAAGATATGAAGAGTTCAGAGGGTTTGTCTTTCTGCCACTCTCTGTCCTTACTGCTCAGGAAGCGGGATCTGTGCCAACGCCCTGGGATTAGGGAGAGCACAGATATAGCTTGGGAAGTTTCAGGGACTTCTGCTTTCAAAAGCCTGAGCCACAGAACGGGAAGGTGGGCAGATGAAGACAAAGTAAGCTGAATCCAAACATGAAGTGAGAAAGAGTTTATCTGCCAGTTAGAGCAAGTGTCAAAAGGGGGCCCCAGGATGTCTAGCCACATCCTGAGTCAGGGTTCTGGTGCCTTGACATGGGTAGCTGTGGGGCAGACCTTAAAAAAAAAATCAAGGCTTTCAACTCTCCTTTCCTTTCCAGGATCTCAGGGCCAGAAATGCAGTTTCATTGACAGAAATTTTAAGAAAAATCATGTTTCTTAGCACTGCCAGAACCAGGGAAAGACCAAGATTCACATCCATTACTATCAGACAGTGGGGCTGCTGCAATGGGGGCTAGGGCTGGGGCGGGTCTGTTGGACACTTTCCAGCCATCAGTACCCTCCTCCTGAAGTGGGGGATGTGGGACCCAGGGTCCCCTCAACAGAAAACCCTGAGGGGTTCCAGCCCAGAGGAATTTGTCAACTCACAGGGGGGAAAAAAGGCATGATTTTCAAATTTGAAGTTATTCTTAGATTTCTAACCTTCTATGATGGGGAGTCAGGATACCGAGATGCGTGTGAGTGTCTAACACTTTATGACCCTGATTCCTTCCTATGGCTCCTGGGCCGGATGGTGGTGCGTGTCCTGGATGATTCAATGGGCTAATTCCCAGGAAGTGAGATGACTGAAGGGGGCCGCTGTACCCTGGAAGTCTGAGATGGTAGACAGCCCGGCCCTGGGAATCTGAGGGGGGATCCGCCCTGCTCTGGTGTCTGAGGAGGGATCTCTCCCCATTCTGGGGATCTAGTGAGGACCCATACTCCCCTGGGACCAGAGCGGGGAGACCCCCATTTTGGGGGCCTGAGGCCAGACCCACTCTGCTCTGGAGTCTGATGGAGGAACTTACCCCATTTGGGGTCTGATGGGGATTCATTCTTCTCCGGGGGTCTGAGGGGAGAGTTTCCCCATTCTGGGAGCCTGACGGGGGACCCACACTGCTCTGGGGTTTAAGGGGGACTTGCTCTGCTCTGGGAGTGTGAGGGGAACTAGCCTGCTCTGAGGAGGAGCTGCCCCCATTTGGGGGTCTGAGAGGGACTTACGCTGGGGCAGGTCTGAGAGGGGCCTTTCGGCCCAGTGAGGAGAGCTGGGTGGTCCGAGGATCCGCCCCCCCCAACAAAGACCCCTCCTGTGGGAGAAACCAAAGCTGTCCTCACCCAGCTTCCTTCCCTGTCCCAGCTGAGATCAGAGAGGGGGGGCCCTCTTTAGTGTCTCTGGCACCAAGACCTCCACAGTGGAAGCATGTGTGTGTGAGGGAACATGAGCGATTGCCCAGTGAGCTTGACACAAGCTGGGAGTGCTAGAGGGGTGACAGTCTCCACAAGAAACCCCCATGTGTGCCACTGTGACTTTCCCCTTGGGGCCATCTGCTTCTGCCCCCTTGTGAAAGCCGCCTCCTTCTCAAGCCTCCATTTCCCCATCTCCCTACCTGCTGGGCTTCAGTGATGAGATTCTATTTCTAAACCAGATGCCAGCATAAGGCAAATATAAGCCATTCATACTTATTACTAAGTAAGAACCAAACGCTCTGAGTTTTTATGTAGCCAGTTCTTATTTGCAGTTGGCACAGTTTAGGTGCTTCATGCATATTAAGTCATGGGCCCAAGGCTGCTGCCCAGTTACACTTGAATTCCAGATAGATAATGAATACATTTCTTTTTAGTATAAGTATATCCCAAATATCGCATGAGATATACTAACAAAATACGCACTGCTGATCTACATGGGCTCCTCATGCAAAATGTAGGGTCTGTGACTGTCCCCGTTTTATGGATGGGGCAACTGAAGCTCAGAGAGGTGAAGTGACTTTCTCAGGGTCCCCAGGATCAGTGTCAGGCCCTTCGCCTTACCCGTTCGGCGTGGCACTGGCGGAAGCTAGCGTTGATCCGGTCCAGGTCGCGGCGGGCACTCAGCAGCATCTGCATGATGGAGTCCTTGGCGCGGGCAGTGAGGTTGAGCTCCTTGGACAGGTTGGCCTGGCTGGCGGAGAGCCCCACAACTTGGCTGTACAGGCCCTCGGCCCGACGCTCAGTGGCTTGCAGGTTGGACTCGGTGCTCACGTGCACGTTGCCGTAGACCATGAAGAGGACAAGGCCCAGGATGATGAGGAACTGGATAAGCGAGAGGAAGAGAAAGAAGTAACGCAGATAATACCAGCAGCCATGCGGGCTGCCCCCTGCCCTGGAGTAGGAGCTCCCGTGCTCCATTGCCAGGCCCATCTCCTCCTGGACACTACTCAGCTGGCTGGTCTGCTCTGGGTGGTGGCTGTGCCCCTTCTGGACCTTGCGGCCCTCAGGGGGGAGTGTTTATATTACTTCTCTTAATACTTCCCGTGCCTGGCTCCTTCCTGGCCAGGAGGAAACGGGGGCGGTAGGTTATCTCAACACTCCCACCCGGGCTGTGAAGGGAAGGGGGGTAGGCCAAGGCCCAGCCGACCTCCCTGATTAACACTTGGTGGGGCACCAGCTGGGTGACTAGGCTTTCTCAGCCTCTCTGAGCCTCAGTTTCCCACCTGCCCCTGCTCTGTTCCAGGCGCTGTTCTCAGTCCTTGCTGCATCATCCCTGTTGTGTGGAGGAGGAAACTGAGGCACAGGGAGAGGAAGGGACTGCCCCCGGGTCTCACACTGTTGGTTCACTGAACTGGGCTTACCTCTCAGTGTGTTAACTACAGATGTGTGCCCACCTCATGGGGCAGTGTTGATTAAATGAGCAAAATTGTGTGGCGCGCTTAGCCCAGGGCTCAGTAATTGGCACATCAGAGCTTCACTGAGGGCTGATCCTCGGATGGTGGTGGCGTGGACTTCCCAAGTTGTCATCCCACCCAATGCCTGGCTCATGTAGGTGCTTAATAAGTGCTCTGGGAGCAGCAGAACAAGCAAGAATGAACTTGGAGCCAAGGAGAGCTGGCTTGGCTTGTGTGGGCTCAGGGGAGGGGCTTCGCCTCTCTGTGTCTCAGTTTCCCCCTCTGTGAGATAGGGTATGCACGATGCCCAGTCACAGGGCTGTGGTGGTGGTGGGAAGCTGTTGTTATTATTACTATCATTTCCTGCTGGAAGCATTATTTGGGGGCTCCATGAGTTGGTGAACAGGAAGTGTCAGATAGGTGGGGGCTGAGCCTTACTAGGGGTCACCCCCAGGGAATGGAGGAGATTTTGGAAGAAAGGAGCAAAGGGTTCTGGGTCCGCCCTCCTGCCTGTTCCCCCCAGAACCAGGAGCTCCAGGAAAACCCTCCATGCTGAGTGATGCCAGGGCGCCACAAGAGGCATCAGTCCCAGCCAGGCCCACCTGGGAGGGGCCCTCAGGCTTGGGGAGACAGGGTGGACATAGCTCCTAGCCTCATGGGGTAAAAAGTGGCAGGAAGGAGGGACGGGGACTGAAGGGAAAGAGACAAGGAGATGGAAAGGGGTCTGGACCCTGCATGGGTGACAGTAACACAATTGCTATCCACTGCCTGCTGGGGGCACAGCAGGGTAAAGGCTTCAGCAGGGGGACCCATCCTCCCATTAACCAGTGTATTGGAGTGGGGGGTAGTTGACAGCGGGAAGGGGTCCTCCAGAGTGGTGCTCATCAAGGAGGCAGGAGTTGGGTCAGGAAGGAGGAAGTTCCCAGGGGTGGGCAGGAAACCCCTGTCTGACCTTTGGTCCTTGCAGCTACCGGTAATTCCTGATTCCAGACCCTTCCCAGTGGTTAAGGGAGGAGGGTTGGGGGCTGCAAGTGGTGCCCAACCAGCTATTCCTCTAGGTTGGCCAGGCCCATCAGAGTCCCCCCCCACCATCCCAGCGGGTGGGAGGACACCTTCCATTTTCTGCAATGGGGGCCATATTGGCAGAGTGAATTCATGGTTACAATTTAGAGCTCTGGAGTTAAGTTCTGGCTGTGCCACCTACCACTGTGTGACCTCACGCAAGTGACTTCTCCTTGAGCCTCAGTTTTCTCCTGTCTAAAGTGGAGGCAGGGGTGGCTAGTTAGCTCAGATGGTTAGAGCACGGTGCTTGAAACACCAAGGCTGCCGGTTTGATTCCCACATGGGCCAGTGAGCTGCGCCCTCCACAATTGTATTGAAAACAATGACTTGACTTGGAGCTGATGGGTCCTGGAAAAATACACTGTTCCCCAATAAAGTTTAAAAAAATAAATAAATAAAAATAAAAAATAAAGTGGAGGCAACATAACCAGTTGTGAAACACTTGTTACAGTGCCTGGCACACATTCAGCCTTAATAAATGGTTACATTTTTTTAAGGTGGGAGGGGCTGGATCATGTGCAGCCTCTGATGCCAGGCTGAAAAACTGAAACACAGGGGAGAAGCGCTACCTCCAGGTACTGTTGTCCTGAGCCTGTGGGAGCACAGGGGAAAGGGGGCATGACAGGGGTAGAGTCTGAGTGACAAAGGTCCAGTGGAGGAGCTCAGGTATGGGGGCAGTGCCTGGGCCAACGCCAAGATGTGTGACAGTCTTGGTGTATACTTAAGATCCTGACTATTCTTCATGATATATTGAAGGTGTTGCATATATGTATACATGAACATGATGTGTGTTGTCAAGGAAAAAGAAAGCACCCATAAACTCCTAGAAAAGTAAAAAGCCACCCTAGATGTGATGATACCAGTGTGCTACAATTTTGAGCAATTGTTACAATGTCAGAACAACTTTTAATATACACACTGATGTCTTCAAGTTCAAAAATAACGTTCTGGGGTGGTTTTTTTTTTTTTTTTTTACACTGTTGCATACTCTGTGTGTGGGGTGTTTTTTTTTTTGGCAATTCGATCTCACTTTTTTCACTTGCAATGTTTCTTTTTGGAATAACTTGTTTTAATAGCTAGATTTTTTTTTAATTGAAAAAGTATTGATGTAACTTTCTCTATTTGCTCAACATTATGTCTTCAGGATCTGTTGATTCATTTTGCCTGATGGTAAGGTTTTCACCATATACATTACCATAATAATTATCAATGGACATTTAGACTGTTTTGAAATTTTTTTGTTCCAATGAATAAAATAAAATTTGATATCCAATCCCCACAAATGAAATGACTGCTTCTCCAAGCAGTCATATTTTACATTTCGACAGCTGTCACCAATTTGTCCTCCAAAGCGCTTGTTTTCACTGACCCCCGTCAACAGTGCCTAAAACCTCTAAAAACAGACTTTCTGAACACATTTTGCCTGTGTCTCTGGCCAGAAAAACTCCAAAGGGAGGAGGCGAGTGACTGGCCCTCGGATTCACATGAGGCCAACTGCATTGGCCCTGATGTATGTTCAGTGTTTTTCCTGAAAACAATTTGTTATGTTCACAGGAAATTTTGTGCATGAACCACTCTGAATTGTCCTCAGAAGTTCGTCCCAAAATTAGACTTCGATTTTAAATCTTTTTTTTCCCCTAAATTAAAAACAATCAATGTGGTTTTATTTGTTTATTTGGGCAGAGAAGGGAAAACTGTCATTAGGAAGTCAACTCCATGTCACTATCTGAAAATGGACACTGAAGCCCTCCTGGAGGCAGGAGGTTTTTCAAAAACTCTCACAGAACTTCTGGGAAGTGTTTGAGGAAGTGGTATTTCTGGTGAAGAAAAATTTCAGCAAAGTTCAGAAAATCCTCCACATTTGCGCCAATGTGTTTGGTTCTTCGTAAAATTCAAATGAAATTAAGTTTTGTGTTTTGGAGGTGACAGAGGAGGCAGAGAACACTTTGGAAAGGAACAGCCTGTTCTTTCTGGGCCTCCGTGTTCCCGGCTAAAAAAAAAAGGGTGACCCACTTTCTTAACTGGGGGGCCAGCGAGTTCAGGCTGCTGATGTCCCAGGTGCCCTCCACTCACAGCTACGCCAGGGTTTCGCATTCAGTCCCCCCATTCCTGTCTCTACAGCAGCAGCAGAGGTTGGCTCCAGGGTGATGATGGATAGAGGAGGCCAGGGCAGGGACCCAGGAGGGTGAACTGGGACAGGGGTGGGGATACAGAGATATGGAGAGACTCAGACAGAGAGTTAGAGATGGTGAGTGGTAATTAGACAGGCGGAGAGACAGAGGCAGAACAAAGCAAGGTCAGGCCAGGGGCTGGCCCTGTGGGGTGGGAGGCAGGTGGGGTCTAGAAGGCAGGACCCACCAAGAAGTGCTATTTGTTCCCCTGGGCAGCTGGGGAGCCTTGGTGCAGCTGGGGGCCTGGGCCTGTTCTCCCCAAGTCACTCCCAATCCTATGGGCCTCCCCAGGCGTTCAAAGTCCCCAACCTCTGCCCTCTCTCCCATCCCAACTCTCTGACACCAGATCTGACTGCACCTTTCCTGCTCACACACCTCCCATGGTTCCCCATTTCCCTCCATCTCCGGAGCTGAGTTTCAGAGGTACCGCGGATATGGTCAAGATAGAGCCAGCAGAATAAGTGAATAATAATGATAATGTTTTAGGTCCCATGTGTAGCTCTGAGCCTGGCCCTTCATGGGGATCAGCTCTTGGACCCCACAGCTGCATAGTGAGGGGGTCTTAAGTTAGACAAAGGCTTGCCTCCTGGTCTTCATCTCTGGCTGACTCCAAGGGGAGAAACCATTTCCTGCTTATTTCTGAATTTACGCCAGGGTTGCGGGGTTCTCAGGCCCACCCTAAGCCTGAAACTGCACCCCTAACGGATGGCTAAAGGGCCGCAGACTGGGGCGACCCCTGGCGGCCAACAACAGAACATGGAAGCTAGATCCTCGTAGTCCTCCCTTCAGCCTCACCTCTTCCTGGGGTGCGGGGCCCTCCAGTTCCCCAACAAGGTGGGCCCCTCACTGGTAAAGGCCCTGATCAGGCACCTCCAAACCCCAAGTGAGTGGAGGGGATAATGAGCAAGACTGGCTGAGGGGGGATCAGAGTTCCAAGGGCTCCCACTCTCCTCCTTACACACCAGCCTCAAGAATTTTTCAAAACAAAATTTAATTTTTTAAAGGTAATACATATGCATACTTTTTAAAATGCAAACTTTATAAAAAGATATACAGAGAAACATACAGAAACTGCCTCTAGCACCAACCCCCATCTCCCTGGTTCCCGACCCCGAGGCCACAGCTGTGACCAGTGTCTCCTTTAGAAATATTTGGAGAAAAATCTCGGCCCTGCATTAAAAAAAAAAATGTACATGAATTATTGCTCTTCTGCTTTTTAGATTTATGTGTCTTCAAGAAGATCTGCTTAGGCTTTTTAAATAGTTGTATAGTATTCCACCTTGTGGATGGACAGACACTCATTCAAAGTCCCCTATTGGCCAACATTGAGGTTTCCAATTTTTTGCACTTACCAAGAATGTGGTAATAATGTCCTCATCCCCTCTCTCCTTTATAAAAGTACATTTTAAATTTTGGAATAGTTTTAGGTTTACAGAAAATTTGCAGAGATAATACAGAGAGTCCCTGACTAGCCCTCCCCCAGCTTTGTCCATTGTTAACATCTTAACATATACCATGATTTCTTTGTCAAAACTAACAAATTAGGGCTAGCCGAGTGGCGTATTGGTTAAGAGTTGGTTTGGGACGCCAGTTCTGAGCAGCAGGGCGCCGGTTCGGATCCCACATGAGGGCCAGTGACTCTGCGCCCTCTACAGCTAAAATGGTGAACAACAGCTCGATCTGGAGCTGGGCTGCCGTGAGTCTCTGGCATCAGCGTAGGCTGCAGTGGGGCTGACCAGCAGTGGGCGTGAGCTTTAGTGAGCTGTTGTGAACTGCTGGGAGTAGACAGCCAATGGCCAGCGATCGACTGTCTCATCCAGGAAGAGCACAATAATACCAACATGGGCCAGTGGAGTGACGTCCTCCACAACTAGACTGAAGAACAAAACGACAGCAACTTCTCTGTTCCTTTTCCCTGATTTCCCAATGCTGGTTCCCCTCCCCCCTCCCCAATTTCTCAAAATCTTAAAAAAAAAAAACTAACAAATTAACCTTTGTATATTACTATTAACTAAACTCTAGACTTTCTTTGATTTACCCACCAAGTGTTTTTTTGTTCCAGATTTCAACTCAGGATTCTGTATTGCATTTAGTCCATCATTTTGTACCAATGTAAATATAGTTGTAGAAAATTGCTAGAAGGGGAACTATGGGTCAAACAGTATGTGCACTTCTAATTTTGAAAGATTCAGAAAACTGTCCTCTCAGGTGGTCATAACAATGAGCATTCCCACCAGCACTGTGTGAGTCTGCTTATTTCCGCACAGCAGTGCTAACATAATGCATTCACAAACTTTTAATTTGTTTTTATTTTTATTTTTGCCAAATGAATTGGTAGAAAATGTTACCACATTATTGCTTCAATTTGCATCTCTTATCTAGGAGTGAGGTTGGGCACCTTTTTGGTATATTTCTATGAACTGATTGTCCATTTTTCTACTGAGTTGTTTTTTGAAATTTTAATTTATAAGAGCTCCTTACATAATATGGAAATCAGTTATTCCTGGGTATAAAAAACTATTTGAAATGGATCTTTCTTTTCTTTCAAAGGATTTTCTAGCTAGTTATAATATTTATGTATAGGAAAGTTTCAGCTAATTCTCTTGTGTTTTCTACATATAAAATCATACCACCAGCAAGTAATATTATTAGGTTGAATTGTTTCTGATGCATTCCTGCCCAAAATGCCAACCTAAAATTAATCATAGGGAAACATCACACAAACTCAAACTCAGACTCCACAAAATGACTGACCTTGGCTTTTCAAAAATGCCAATATCATGAAAAACAAAGATAGGCTGAGGAATGTTCCAGATGAAAGATACTTGACAAATATAATGTGTGAGCCAGTACGCTCTTTTGTTATAAAGGACATTATCAGAACAGTTGGAAAAAGCTGTTTAAAGTCTGCAGATTAGATAACAGTATTTTATCAGTGTCCATTTCTGATTTTCATAATTGTGCCATGATAATGTGAGAGAATTCCTTGTTTTTAGGAAATGCAGCATACTCAAGTATTTGTGGATAAAGAGACATCATTTCTGCAAGTTTTTCATAAAGAAGAAAGAGAGAGAGAGAGAGAGAGAGAGAGAGAGAGAGAGAGAGAGAGAGAGAGGTACCCAGGAGTTCTCTGTATTCACCTTCCAATTTCTCTGTAAGTCTGAAGTTATATCAAATATAAAGGTAAATGATAAAGATAATATGAAATTGAGCCACATGAAAGTGTTATTTCAATTATTTTTTATCTGTATAAACAGTGCTTTTATGTGGTCCAACCTATAAATTCTCTTCCTCTTTTCTAATATTTGTACCTCATTTCTTTTTCTTGTCTAATTGGCTAGTACCTCCAGAACAATATTAAATACTTGACAGTGGTCCTCTTCACCTTGGCCCCAATTTTGATGGCCTTTTCAGAACTTTTCTCATTTGATCCATTAATACAGTGAATTTTGTTAACAAACTTCTGAATGCTGAACCATCCCTGCATTTCAGGCATACATTTCTTTTGTCGTGGTGTATTTTTTAAAGAATGTGTAACTTGGTCCTCTTTGCTAAAATTCCATTTGGGAGTTTTATACCATCCTCACAGGAATGTAGTTTCCCACTGTGCCATCTTTGTCAGTTTTTGGTGTCAAGGATAAGCCAAATCTCTAAACATGATTCCAAGCATTCATTTTACAGACAAGGTAAACTGAGGCCCAGAGAGAAGTGACCTCTCTAGGTCACTTCTTAGCCAGGGCTGGACCCTAAGTCCTCATGTCTGTGGGATGAAGACAAAACTACCATTAGAGGGGACTTAAGTCCCAGATCAGCACTATCTCACTGGATGACCAAATGGGCCTCAGTTTCTCCATCTGTAGTCTGCAGAATAAACCACTAGATGGTCGGGGCGAGAGGGTCGAGTCTCCTTTCTGCACAGTTTCCTTTCAGAGTGGCTCCTGGGTCTAAAGCTGAGCGTTGATGGATGTCGACTGGGCATCTCAACCAGCACGGGCACTTCTATACACGTTCCCACAGGGTCTGTCCTCCTGGCCTGGAACCTCCATCCTGAGGGAGGGCTGACTCACCTCATGTGCGCCTCGCCGGTCGTCGGCAGCCCCCCGAGGGTCTGGGGCGAGAACGAGAGCGGGGGTTGGGCCGGGATCGGGACCCGGAGCGGGGCCGGGGGTGCGGCACTCTGCGCTGGGGGTCCATCTCGGCTTCCAGGGCTTTACTGCCAGGGAGGAGAGGCCTGTCAGCACCTGGACTTCCGATCCCGGAGAACCCCCAGCACTCTTCCGTCCTTCCTGGGAACTACACTCTCCAGAAATCCCCATCCTTTCTCCACCGCTGGCCATTCCCAGGAACCCTCCCCAGGGACTCCCAGCCCCTTCCCCAGAAGCTCCGCTCTAGACTCTTAGCCCCCCTTTCAATACTCCCTTTTCCTAGCACTCTTCAACCACCCTCCCAGGGCCCCCCATAGGCACCTGTCCCAGGGACCCACGCTTCTAGAGTGCCAGCCCCAAACTGGGGATTCCCTCTCCCAGAGTGCGCACCTGGCTCGCCAACCCTAGGTTCCAATTACAGGTCCCTCACTACGATCCTCCTGTCACGAATCTTCCCAAGGCCCCGCCCACATGATTCCGCCCCCCCTCCCTCCAGGGATTGTTTACCACGCCCCCATGTGACGATTGGGCAAAAGAACGAAGCCTTGCTCAGCCATTGGCCGTGCACTTTGCCCGTCCACAGCCCTGGGCCCGCTCCTGACTCACACGCGCTCGCGCAGCACCGCCTCCCGGGTTGCGCAGGCTCCGCCCTCGGCCTCGGTTGTGCGTGCTCGCTGCTGCGCCTCTTCCAGCAGCCTGGCGGATTCCGCGGCTGTCGCTTCCCAGCGCGCCAAGGCTTCTGCGGGCGCAGCGGGCGCGGTCAGGCGGGAGCCCAGGCTCCCAACCCCGCGCGCGCCGGCGTCCTATTTTATAGTCTGCCTATTATTTGCGTGCTTTGCTTTATTTGGATTAAATTTGTGTGCTGTTTACATGACCTTTGCGTGTCATTTGCATAGCCTTTCATAGGTTTGCATTGCTTTTGGAAGTCGTTTATATAGCGTTTGCATATTTTGTTGCATTTGTGTTTTTGTGACCTTTTCAATGTTATATACATTTCTTTCATAAGTTTTCGCATTCACTTGCACGTTGTTTGCATTACTTTTGCACCTGTACATTATTTGCATAGCCAGGAACCTTCTAAACTCCTCTTACTTCTAGCCCTGCCCAGCACCCTTGCGCACCAACATACCTGTGAGCGCCCCGTTCTCAGCCCCCATCTGGGTCCCCTGTGCCTTGGCTTCGTCCATCTCAGTCTTCAGTGTCATCAGTTGAGTCTGAAGCCGGCTCTGTGGAGTGGAGGGGAGGTGAGGAGGATTCCGGGGAAGGAAGGAGTGAATTAGCCCCACCCTTTCTAGGGGAGACTGAGATGACACTCGTGTACCCTGAGCTTTGTTAAATGCCCTTTGGGGTCCTGTAGTTGTAAAACACAGAAGTGGTTGCTGAAGTCTGGGGCACTGCGTGGTTACAGCTACCTGCGTGGAAGGAAGTCTCTGCCCAGGTCCACCCGCCCCCATCCCCAAGCCATCAGGATGTGGAGACGGTTTAGCTCTGCAGTCAGACTTCGGTTCCAATTCCAGCTACATCTAGACTCGTTGGCTGGGGTTTCAAACCAATACAAGCCCATTTAGTGGTTGACAGCGATTGGGTTTGTGGGGTAAGCCTGTCACCTCTGTGAGATATTCTGCAAAACAACTGACCTGGCCTCAGAGCATCTTCCACCAGGAGGCAGCATCAGAATTTGAACCCAGGGCAGGCTGCTCTGTTTTTTATTTATTTTTTTTAGATTTTTATTGGGGGAGGGGAACAGCGCTGGGGAATCAGGGGAAGGGGAACAAACAAGTTGCTGTCCTTTAGTTCTTCAGTCTAGTTGTGGAGGACGTTGCTTCACTGGCCCATGTTGGTATCGTCATGGCGTTCTTTCCAGATGAGGCAGATTGATCGCGGGCCTCTGGACGGCTGCTCACGGCAGCTCTTGGCAGCTCACGCCGGCTGCCGGCAGCTCACGCCGGCTGCCGGCAACTCACGCTGGCTGCCGGCAACTCACGCTGGCTGCCAGCCACACATGATAGCTTATGGCAGCCCACTGCAGCTTCACTGCAGCCTACGCTGTCATCAGGGACTCTCGGCAGCCCAGCTCCAGGTCGAGCTGTTGTTCACCATCTTAGCTGTAGAGGGCGCAGAGTCACTGGCCCTCATGTGGGATCCGATCCGGGACCCTGATGCTCAGAGCCGGCGTCCCAAGCCAGCTCTTAACCAACACGCCACTCGGCAGGGCAGGCTGCTCTTAACCTCGGCTGCCCCAGACCCTTCCCTTAGGAAGGCGTAAGGGGTAAAGGGTCTGTTTTGATTTCTAAAATTCACACACTGCTCAACCTTTGCTGGGCCAGTTCAGAGGGGCACACAGTAGTTACTCAATAAATGTGAGTGGGTTGGGACTTTGAGGATGATTCTTCTGCAAGGGTCAGGGCTGGGAAGGGTTAAGGAAGAGCTTGAAGGGGTTGGCCAGAAGAAAAGGGAGGACCTGGCATGTACCTCCTCCAAGAAGCCAACTTTAGCCTCCTAATTACAGGTGACATGAATGTCCCTATCCCGAAATAGGGCTGCTGGACACTGGCTGAGGGGGGAGGGTTGAGTGGATACCTGGGGGAAAGGATAAAATGGGGCCTTCCCAGGTGGGCTCAGGGGTCTGGGGCTTCTCTAGTCACCACCATTTGTTTAGCAAATAGCAGAGGACAGTGGGGCCTTCTAGATCAGAAGATGGACTCTGATGAACTGGCATTGTAGGAAAGAGTTGGAAGGGATTATGGTGCTATTCTCATTGTTATTGAAGAGCTGGAGAAACCAAGGCATGGAGGGGTGTGTGCAACCCTTGGGGGGAGACGGGTGTGCAGGCCCTCTCCCCCCATATTCTGGATACCCTAGCATCCAATCCTGCCCACCTACCTGGCGGCCCTCACAGGCCCTTAGCGCCTCCTCCAGCTCCTGACGGACACTCTCAGCTTGGTCCAGCTGCCTAGCCAGAGCCTGTTCGCGTTTGGCAGCCTCTGCCAGCTGGCGCAACAGCTCCTCGACCTCTGGCGCCGGATCCCCTGGAGGCGCTGTGGCATTGGCGCCCGGCCCCTGCTCTGGGCAGCGAGACCCCCGGGAGGCCGCAGCAGCCAGATTCCAGGCCAGCAGGGCTGCCCCGGCCGCAGCCGCCGCCAGGAACACTGCGGCTCCGCACAGGGCAAGCACCCGCCAGGCGCGCCCTGGTTCTGGCCCCGGCTCGGCCATGCCGCCGTCCACAGCTCTGTCCCCAGACGGCCACGAGCATTTAATTGGCACCTTGGGGATCCAGGGACACCCACGGTTCCGCCCAGCCTGGCCGTGGCTTCCCAAGTCCGTTGGGAGGGGCTTGGTTCCCGCCTGGGGCCAGACCAGGCTACCCAAGCTAAGGACAGGACTGGGAGGCCCTGGGTTCCATTCCGGCCTCTGCCTCCTGCGTGCTGTCCTTTGAGCCTCAGTTTGCCCCTTTGTCAAGTGGGGATGGCAGTAGGTCCTGCCCCATAGGGCATAGTGACACACACATGAGCATATCCACACAAAGCGCCCATCTACACGGGAGTGCTTGGTGAGGGGCTAGGGACATATTGTCCCCATTCTGTTCATGGAGAAACCGAGGCTGTTAGATGAAAGGCTACTCGACCTCGGCTGGGCTCTGGCTGTCACACTTTCTGTGACCAGCTGTGAGGGCCAGAGGGTAGATGCAAGGGTGGACCGGCCCCATCTCTGCTCGTTCTCCACTGGGCCGCCAGGGGGCGATCTTACAACGTGAATCAGATCCAGGCCAGTTTACGTCCCTCTCAGAAGCAAATCTCTTCCTCCTCCCTTCTACCGACTCTATCTCTCCCTCCTCCCCCTCCTTCCCCATCAAGTCCTCTATCGCGTCTTTGACGTCATTTCCTCCCCCAGAGCCCCCTTCAACTTTCCTCAATGCACTTGGGGGCAAGCACATTCCCACCCCAGGGCCTTTGCATTGGCTGTTCCCTCTGCCAGAGTGCCCTCTCCTTCTGTGCCCAACTCTCCCCTTTTCCCCCCATCCATCCATGTGACTCCTCCTCCAAAATTCCCCCCCTCTCCCACTACCTCAGGCCCCTTCTGATGAGTTCTTTCGGCTCTGATGTAATTTTCCATTTTTTTAATTGATTTCCAGCTGCCTGCCCTAGCAGGCTGAGTGAGCCACTAAAAAGCAAAGCCCATATCAACCTCGCTCCCACTGTCCCTGCCTGGGCCTGGCACCCAGTTGTTATGCAGGAAATGTGAGCTGAGTGAACACTGTTAACCAGAATCTCAGCGTTGTTTCCTCCCCCGATTCCACACGAATAAATAGGAGGAGCCCAGAGAGGCCAAGTCTCAGGCCAGGGACACACAGCAGCTGCTGGTCACTGCCTGATTCCTGCTGAAGCTGGAACCCCCACAGACCTGCAGGACTCCTCAGTCCTGACTTCTCAACCCCTGGCTCTGTTGGTCACAGCCAACAAAGGAAGTGGGGCATTTTTAGAAAGGAGAGAAGTTTATACCTGGGCCATAGTATGGGGGGTTGGGGGAAGAAATTACCCAATCCATCTTATTGGGCAAACCTACACCCCCTTCATCAGTGAAACACAGCCCAGGCATGGGAGCAGGCAGCACTGTTTCAGAACATTCTGGTAGCCCAAGATGGGAGTGGGAGTGGAGGATGGTGATGGGTGGAGCGAGTGAGTTAAGGATGAGGTCACTTGGTCATGTGCAAAGCGTTTGCTTCCTGAAAATCGCAGGAACCTGCTGGAAGCCAAAGGTTCAAATGCCTGAGCAGCTGAGAACTCTGAACAAATCCAGGCATTTCTCTGGACCTGTTCCCTCATTTATTAGATGGGGCTGTTGGTGGGGAGTGAAATGACTCAGTCATAGTAAAAGGGACTCCATGAGCTCCTAATGACCCCTCCTACAAGCTGGGGACATAGAAATGAGGGGCACTTGAACCTTGCCCTCTATAGCAGAGGTTCTCACCCAAGGTGATTCTGCCCCGCAGAGGACACTTGGTAATGTCTGAAGGCGTTTTATGTTGTCACAACCTGGGGACAGGGGGTGACAGGCATCTGGTGGGTGGAAACCAGGGATGCTGTGTAACAGCGGTTCTCAACCTTCCTAATGCCGCGACCCCTTAATACAGTTCATCATGTTGTGGTGACCCCCAACCATAAAATTATTTTTGTTGCTACTTTATAACTGTAATTTTGCTACTGTTATGAATCGTAATGTAAATATCTTTTTGTTTTCCGATGGTCTTAGGCGACCCCTGTGAAAGGGTCGTTCGACCCCCAAAGGGGTTGCAACCCACAGGTTGAGAACCACTGCTGTGTAATATCCTACCCACTCAGGGCAGCACCCAGCGAAGAGAGCACTTCAGCCCAAACGTCAACAGTGCTGAGGCTGAGAAACCCTGCCCTAGAAGGTCAGAGTGAGGCAGGAAGGAAATTGACAAGGCCATGCACAGAGAAATGGCCAGGGAGAGTGAAACGTGATGAGCAAGGGACAAGAGGGCCAGAGGAGCCTGTGGCAGGGATGGTCCTTGGGGATCCCTGGGTGGGCCGCAGGACCCATGGAGGGGGAGTCTGCTGACCATCTGGGCTGGGGACCTTGGAACCTGAAGGCAGTGCTGAATTCTGGGCAGATGCAAGGATCCTGGCCGCAGGGCCAGGGCCAGGAAATTGCCTGGACAATAGTTGGGATTCCAGGAGAACTTGCAGGAAGGAAGATAACAGAGGAGGAAGGGATTATAGGGCGTGGAAAAATCCAAGAGAGTGGGTGAAGGTACTATCGGGATAGTGGCCCCCCATTTTGGAGCAGAGAGACTCTCTGGAAGAGGGGTTCCCAGAGCTGGGTACTGCAGGATGAATAAGAGTTTAGGGAATGGAGGACAGGGTTACATCCTGACAAAGGCCTGACCTGGGTGTGTCTGCAGATCCAGGTTTGAATTCCAGCCCTGCACTCTCCATGGGAGGGGATTGGGAACCAGGACAAGGTATCCCTCTCATGGTAGCCTCTGTTTCCTCATTGGAGCCATGGGCATCAGAAGATTGGTGAGGAAATCAGAGTAGGACGCTGAGCATTCAATGAGCATTGACAAGAATGTACAGTCCTTTAAGATGATCCTAGCGGAAAAGAAGGCAGGGTAGGCAATGGGGTGGTGCCTGCCTAAACCCTGGGGGCTCCTGGGAACATTCTGGAATGGGGAAAGCTGGGTGTAGATGTCAAGGGGTCCCAGATGCATGAGGGTGACACAATGACACTCTAGGAACTTCAGAGTAAGGTCTTGCCCCCCAAAAGGGGTGTTTACTTTTTGGAGCCCGCCCAAAAAGAAAGTGGCCTTCCAGAAACTGTGAAAGCAATACACAGATGCCCTTTACCACATGACCTTCCCAGGTTGGGGGGGTGGGTCAACTCTGATACTTCTCCACCCCCAAGGCTGCCACATTGACTCCCTCAGAGCAGTCCCATGAACCATCCCATCACCCAGCCCCCACCTCTCCCCCTACTGTCCCCTCCCCCCAACCGTGACATCGTGTGGCTCCCTCTGAACTGGGCAGGACAGGGAAGCCGAGCCGGAACCGGACCAGTCCAGGTGTGGCCTAGGAGACATCATAAAAGGGACTCAGGACAGACTCGAGGCAGACAACACACGGGCCCGCCACCTCCCTAAACCCCGCCCCATTCCAGGGCCCCTCCCTCCTCACCGTGGTTCCTCTACCTCCCAAGACCCTTCTCTGCGCCAGCCCTCCACCCAGGAAGCAGGCCACCTCCCCAGACCCTGACTATCCCTGACTTCCTCCCTCCCCTTCCAGGCGCCCCCTCCTTACCAGCCAGCCTCCTGGGACCTCAGGCCAGCAGAGCCCCGAGGCTCAGGGTCAGAAGCACAGAGACTACGAAGAGGTTGATGGTGTCCCCGAAGCTGGTGGAGCCATTTCCTGTGGTGGAGCCATTTCCTGTGTCCGAGGTTTCAGTCTCTTTCCTGGAATGAAGACGGGGACAGCTCAGGCAGCTGCCAGACCTGGCTCCACCAGGGGCCCCTCAGAATCTCTCCTCCTCCACCAAGTCGCTGGAGAGGAGAGTGGGCAGCTGCCATCCACGACTGGGTGACACGAAAGACAAGGCTGGGACTTCAACTTTGTCCCCAGAGCAATGGGAATTTTCCGAGCCCAGTGGGTCTTGAGGGTGAAGGGGCCATGGCTGGGGGTGGGGGTGGGGGGGTTCCCGACCTTAGTCGGTCCAGCTCTTTGGAAGTGTCCTGCAGCTTCTGCTTCAATTCTGCGATCTCCCCTAAGATGGGACAGAATAAGCGGGAGTGTCGGCACCGTGGCCAAGCCCCTCACTTGGCACCATCCTAGGACAGGACCCCCAGCTCTAGCCCCGCCCTCATCCGGGCCCACCGTGGAAACTTGGCATGTCTCCTCTCACCTCCACTGGATTCTGGCCGGGTCCCTTCTGACCGCAACTTTGGGACCCTCTCTCCTACCTCCTCTTCAACACCTAACCCACCCCTCCAAACCTACTCCACAGAACCCGGGCCTTGTGTGTTTCTCACCTTGAAGCTTCTGCACTAGTTCCTGCTGCTTGTGGCCCCGAGCCTTCTCCATCTCCAGGGAAGCCGTCAGAGTCTCCTGGAATGCGAGGGGTGGTGGTGGGGTGGTTCTGAAACGGGTTTTGTCCCTGGCGGGGGGTGGCTACTGTCCCTTGGCCCTGGACCCCCTCCCAGGCTGTGGGGTCAGAGGAGCTCAGTTCCAAACCCCTTTCAGGGTTCCTTCCAACCCTTTCTCCACCTCAGTCTACCACTTTGAAGAATGGCCATAACCTCCCACCCTCCCAGGATCACCCATAAGGATGTGATCCTTGAAATGGGAGTTTCAAGTCCCCTCACATGGGAATTTGGAGGCTCCCCCATGCCCAAACCCTAGGAGAAATGTCCAGATCCCTTGAGTTATTGCCCAAGAAGATTTCAAGGCTCCCGCAAACTCAGAATACAGGGGGATTTCTGAACCCAAGTTAGATATCCAGTGGGAATTTCAAGGACCCTCTATCAAGACCCAAATAAAAGTTTCAGTCTCTTAGGGGTGCAGTGTATCAAGAGCCCCTACCTTCTTCAGGGCCTGGTGAGGTCCCCATACCAGCCCCTAGAGGGGATTTCTGCAACCCCAGACCAACATCCTGGAGTTGGAGAATCGTCCACATTCTAGTGGGGATACTGAGGCCCCTGATTTGGGTGCTCTGGGGAGTTTTAAGGCCCCGCACCACACCGGCATCCTAGAGAGAGTTTAAAGGTCCTCAAACCCTAATAGAGAAATTCAGGCTTCCAATATAGGGGCCCAGGGGCAGGTTCAAGGACTATCTCCATCTCTACCTAGACCTTCACCCCACCCTCCCGAGGACAGGGCCCTCTCTAGGAGTGGCAGTAGCTTACCACAGTCTTGTTGCAAGTGGCAGCCCAGATCTCGGCGTCTAGTAATACTTTGTTGGCTTGGGTCAGCTGGTGCTCCAGAAGGTGGGTGAAGTTTCGACACTCCTGCTCTGCTTGGAGGCCATCCTTGCAGGCCTTGCTGTTGGCCCTGACAGCAAAGAAGATCGTGAGCACAATGAGAATCAGCACCAGCATCAGCACCACGGCCAGAAGGATCCACAGCCACCACGGCAGCTTGCGGCTCTGCAATGGACTCAAGTTGTCATCCATGGACACAGGACAATACTTGTACGAAATGGGTGCCATCCAGATATGACTTGGTATGTAGGGAGCTTGGGTGGGAGTCAGGGGAGGAAACGAACGTTCTACAGGCTGAAGCTGCCACCTTATTAGCATAGAAGCCAGCCTGACCAATGACAAGTTCTGAGAGATTTCACCCCCATGCTCCTTCACCTAGAGGTTCTTGAATGGAATATCCGGAAGAAGAGAGAGAAAGAACAGTTTAGCTTTCAGTTTCAGTTTCCCAGAAAAGAGGTGCGTTGTTTCTGCCAAATTATGGACTGGCCCTTCTGGGCTGGGTGCTGGCCTATGAGCTCTTGTGGGATACCCAGTGCAAGTTCCTGCCCTTCTCCTTTGTTCCTGAGGGTGACAGTTGCAGTTACTGAACACCTAGGGCATGCCAGCCTTTCTCTCTACTACGACCTGAAGAGGCAGAGGCCGTCATTGGTCCAGTCCCCAGCTGGGAAAACTTAGGCTGAGAAGTGGACTGGGGGCAGGCAGGGCCTGAGTCTGAGCCAAGAGGCTGGGTTTTGTGTGTAGGGCTCTCCGTGGTGACCCAGCAGAAGTTCATTTAGCATCCCTGCCATCGCTGAGGGGACCATAGGGAGCCATGGAGTGTGTCAGAGGAGGGACTGTAGCCTGCCTGCCCAAGCTGCGAGACACACAGGATGGGCCCACGTGACCAGGGCTGCAGTTCTCCATTTGGTCACCACCAGGGGTCACCCCAGCCAACAAACACTTGTCCTGGCTCCTGCTCCCACCTCTAGAATCTGCCCCTGCCATACCAGGAGGCCAAGTAAACCCTCTGAACCTCATTTTCCTCATCTGCAATGTAGCGCACTAACAGGAGCAGCCTCATGAGAAGGGGCCAGTGAGGAGTTGTGAGTAAAATGCGACACATCCAGTAGGCACTCAATGGATGTGTAGTCAGGGCCTGTGGCTCAAGGCAGGAAGAGAGGCAGAAAACGCAGAAACTTGGCCACGGAGCAAGACGCACATTTTGAGGAAAGACCATTGGGTCCATCTAGGCCATGTTGAACCCAAAGGGCCTTGGGGTGCATCCCAGGAGAGGCCCCTAAAGAGGGCTGGACCCTGGATGAAGGCTGGAGGGGACTCATGCCACACTGACTTTCATGCCATGTGGCCAAGGAAGCCTGAACTACAGGCTCCCTGCTGCTGCTGCTGCTGCTGCTGCTGCCGATTACAGTCAGAAGGCAGCTGTGTCCTTTCCATGTGACTTCCTCAGCCATGGCCTGACCACAACCTGGATTGAGACCCAGATTCTGTTGGGTGGGCCATTTCCAGTGTTTGTGGTCTACTGGGTCAAGGTCTGGTTCAGGACTCCCAGAAGACCTGTAGAAGCACCCTCAGGTTCCCTCCCCAGTTGGACATCCCTCTACACAGATGCTCCCCCGCTCCCCCTCCCCCTCTCCCGCCACCATTAAAGCCACTCAGCAGCCAAATGACAAGGGATGGGGGACAATCTTACGGAAGAGGCCTGGAGGAGCTTGTGTGTCCCATAAGCAGGGGACTCCCTCCTCAACCAGGATCCCAGATGCAAAGACACAACAGACACAACCCTTGGTAAAGCTGACTTACTTGAGCTGCACTGTGCTGACCTTCAAACTTCAGGGTAAACATGGGACCACAATTGAGGGTCAGAGGCCAAGGCTGTGTGTGAATACCCTGCCTCCCTGTGGGACTCTAGGCAAGCAATTTATTCTCAGTCTCAGTTCCCATAGCTGTAAAATGGGGATGATAACAACAGAAACTTTTGGTGTCCCCTAAATTTTGCATCCAAAGCAAATGCTTTACTCACTTTATTTTACTCATTTTACTTCACTTTACTTTACTCACTTTACTTTATTCTAGGCCCGGCCCTTCAAATAGAAAGTTTGTGGTTTTTCCCTCTAAAACAGTTATGACACCATTCTGGGTTTAGCTTAGATTAAGGTCTGAGTGCTTTTGACAAAGCCTGATTAGAAGGTTAGGAGGTGGTATTCCTGGGAAGGTGATGATGAGAGTAAACAGGAGGGTGTTGTGACCATTGGTAAGGAAATAGATGAGGCACCCAAGCCATTGGACCCCTTAATACCACAAAAGCACAGAGTGTTTTTTTTGGTTTTCTGCTTTATTTTTTGTTTCCGGTGTACAAAACAATGTGATAGTTAGACATTTACACTCTTCACAAAGTGATAACCCCCCCAATCTACTACCCCCCTGACATCAAATAGAGCTGTTATAATTCCATTGACTATATTATATTCCCTATGCTGTACTCCATATCCCATGAATGTATATGTATATATATATATATATACATATATATATATATATATATATTTAATTATAGTTTGATGAGGCATAAAAGGGTTGATAAAAGTGGCCCTAAAGGGGGCCTGCCCTGGCCTGCATTCCCTCCCCAAGAACTGCCCAAGCAGTTCATCCCCTATAAATCATTCTAAGATGTCTAAACCCCTCTAGAAAGAGGAGATAAGACCCAACTGGTGTTAACTGGTTCTTCATACATGCACAAACTGCCAAAATCTGTCCATTAGTTGAACTCTAGTCTAATTATAATGCAATTAAAATGGAATGAACATAAAGGCTTGCCCCCCCTGCCCACCCGTGGGTTTTTCTGTATGTGTTCTGGGTAAGAGCATGCACAGAAAGAAACTAGTTATATAACCAACATATGTCAATCAAATAACCTCAGTCTGTACATCACATCTCCTGCTGTAAGGAAATTTACCTACCCTTTCCTATATGAAAAAAAGCTAACCTAAAGTTAGGTGCAGTTGTCTGCCCCGGCAACTTCTATGCCGGCATCTTTCTTCTTGAATAAACTTCCTTCCTTGCTCTCCACATGTCAGGCTGAGTCCGTGAATTTTTTCACCTTTTGTGAACAACCAGGGGTTAATTCCAATGACACAACATAGTTGACATTCAGTATTATTCTACTTCAGCTTCAGGTGTACTGCGCAATGGTCAGGCATCTACACAGTCTATGAAATGTTCTCCCTAATCAATCCAGTGCCTATCTGGCACCCTACATACCATATTTCCCCATGTATAAGATGCACCCTTTAATGAAAAATTTGGGGTCTAAAAACTGGGTGCGTCTTATACAGTGGTTGTATGAGCACAAAAATAAGCGCCAAAAAAAGCGGGAAATGCAAGTAAAAAAGAATCTACAACCACTGTTTAAGACACACCCAGTTTTTAGACCCCGAATTTTTCGAAAAAGGGTGTGTCTTATACATGGGGAAATATGGTAATCTTTACAACATTACTGATTATATTCCCCAAACTGTATTTCGTATTCCCGTAGCTATATTGTGACTATTAATTTGTATTTTCTAACCCCTTAACCTTCTCCCTCATCCCCACCGCTGTCCCATCTAGCAACTATCAGTTTTTTTCCCTGTATCTCTGAGCCTATTTCTGTTTTGTTTGTTTATTCTGTTCTTTAGATTCCACATATAAATGAGATCATATGGTATTTGTCTTTCTCAGTCTGACTTATTTCACTTAGCATAATATTCTCTAGGTCCATTCATGTCGTTGCAAATGGTAAGATTTCATTCTTCTTTATGGCTGAGTAATACTCCATGATATAAATGTACCACAGTTTCTTTATCCAATTGTCTATCGATGGGCATTTCGGTTGTTTCCATATCTTGACTGTTGTGAATAGCATTGCAATAAACATAGGGGTGCATATATTTCTTTGAATTAGTGTTTTGAATTTCTTTGGATAGATACCCAGGAATGGAATTGCTGGGCCCTAAGGTAGTTCTATTTTTTATTTTTTGAGGTACCTCCGTACTTTTTTCCATAGTGGCTACACCAATCTGCAATCCCACCAACAGTGCACGAGGGTTCCCTTTTCTCTGCATCCTCACCAGCACTTGTTTGTTGATTTATTTATTTTATTTTTATATTTTTCAAAGATTTTATTGGGGAATTGGGGAAGGGGAACAGTGTTGGGGAATTGGGGAAGGGGAACAGCCAAGTTGTTGTCCTTCAATCTTGTGTCCTTCTAGCTGTGGAGGGCACAGCTAGCTCAGCTCTCAAGTCCAGTTGCCATCCAGTCGGCCGTTGGGAGCTCGCAGCCGCTCAGCTCAAGGTGCCATGTTCAATCTTAGCTGTGGGTGGGTGTAGCCCACCATTTCATGCAGGAGTCAAACCGGCAACCTTGTTGTTAGGAGTACATGCTCTCACCAGCTGAGCCATCCTGCCACTCAGCAGCAGCTCAGCAGCAGCTCAGCTCTGGTGCAGCTCACTGTGGGAATCGAACTGGCGACCGTGTTGCTCAGAGCTCTAACCAACTGCTACCCAGCTGGCCCATGGATTTTGATTCTAACTCTGGAAGGGGGCATAAACCTGATATACCCCATAGAGCCAAAGTTCCTATCGGTGTACACAGCACTCTTGCAGGTAGAGCCTCTCACAAAAGAGCAGCATATCATGGTAAGAACTTCCCTTCCTATCAAGGGGTGGGTTAAGAATATGTTTTTCCCTGGGCACAGGGAAGAGTCCACCTCCTGGTAGTAAAAGTTGCCAATCTCCCTCTCCTCAAGGTCAGATGGGCATGTTCTGTCTCCCACTGGTACAATTATTTGGCTGCCATCTTTGTTCCCTCCATTGGCCTGGAGGACATTATAGCACACTTAGAAGTCCTTACTTCATTCACTCAGCAAGACTTATATGATAGCCAACAAAGCCTGTCCTTTCTGAACACTGAAATATCGCTAAGGAAAAAAGCTGTCTTCCGAAATAGGATGGCCTTGGACATTATTACTGCCTTGCAAGTAGGCACCTCTACCATTATCTCATCAGAATGTTGTGTGTTCACGTCTAATGAGTCTGCTAATGTATCACTTTTATTAAATCGCATGACGACACAAGTGAACAAAAACCCTGAGTGATCTGACCCCCAACCTAGGGGACTTAATGAATCAGTGGTGGTCTGCCTCCAGTGCAGCCACATAGCCGCCAAATGAGCCATCTCCATGCTGATGAAGCCCCTTGCTGACCACTCAGGGCACATTGCAGATGAGGGAGAACATGTAAGATTGTAAGAGATGGTCACAAGGGGTGGGGATTGGAGGTCATCAAAAGGATGTGGTTGCCAGTTGACCTTCGAGATGGACCAGGGCAATCGGAGGTCCCTCCCCGCAGCCCTTTTCCCCTGTCTTTGGAATGCGCACCTTGCCCACTTTTTTTCACACTAGGAGCCACTTCAAGGCACAACCTTGAGAGAGTAATGTGTTGTTGAGGCCATGCGGGTAGTATACATGACTGAACCCAGTTAAAGCCTCTATATGAACTTTTAAGGGGAGGCCAGTTAGCTCAGGTGGTTAAAGCGCAGGCTCATAACACCAAGGTTGCCAGTTCAGTTCCCGCATGGGCCACTGATATGCAGCCTCCACAACTAGATTGAAGACAACTACTTGACTTGGAGCTGATGGGTCCTGGAAAAATACACTGTTCCCCAATAAAATTTATTTTAAAAAAATTCTAGCAGGTGGTGTGGAAATCTAGTCATCTTGTGGTGCCCAAGACAAGCCTCGTGTCTAAGTTCCCTTGCTTATTAAACCGCCACCTACCAATCTGGAGGGGTCTGCTTCTTCCTTCTATCTCTCCTTGCCCTCTGTGGGTAGGGTCCAGTTTCAGCTTTCACTTGGGGAACTCCTGAGGATGTGAATCAACATTTCTCCTAAGCAATGGGACTAATGGGGTACTTCAAGGGGAACTCATGGCTTGTTCACTTCTGTATCATTATTGGGTCATCTTTTCAAGAATGTTTCTTTGGGCACTGACATTTGAAATTCATATAATTTTCACATGTAACGAAATATTCTTCTTCTTTTGATCAATCACCCCACCACTTACAAATATTAAAAATATCCTTAGCTCACAGGTTGAATAAAAAACTGGCAGTGGGCCAACCCATGATATTGTAGAAAACTGGAAAATATAGAAGAGTAGGTAATATTAATTTCCCAATTTTTCCATATTTCCCCCCGAGGGATGTAAAAGCATATTTCTATATTAAATACTTTTACATCTCATTAAAAAACTAATTGTATCTGTCAACAAGTCCTCAAGTTGTCATGGCGTGGAATTAACCCCTCCCTGGCAAAAGGTGAAAGTATTCACAGACTCTATAAAGCAGAAGAGTGAAGAAAGGTTTTATTAAAGTTAGGAAGAGAGAGAATGCCCATGGCAGTGTCCAAAGATGACAGCTGCCACCGGTTGTAAGGAAAGAAACACCGGCAGGAAGTGAGGGGCAGAGTCCAGTCTGCGAGTGGACAGCTGCACTAGCTTTTTCTTATATAGGAAAGGGGCAGTTGGTCAGGCAGGCTTGAGGGCTGACATCCTTCCTGGGGTCTGGTCTGTTTGAAGATGATGTAATCACTGGACTCTGGACTCGGACTCAGCCATAACAGCCTGGGACTTTAATGTGTTACTAGTAAATACTGCAAGGGAGTTGTAAATTGGATTCCAGTGTCTGGGCACCTGAGGATTAAGAAATTGCTCTTTTCCAGGTTAGGATGTTGCTAATTAATGAAGTATGGGTAGCCTTGAGAAAGGGAACAAACAGATCTTCAGCTAATCAGTGAGAGGAGAAACAAAGAGAAAACAGATGAATATCAGGATGGACCAAACTGCAAACAAACTAAGTCTAATTACAGGTGGCTAGATAGAGAGCTATACGATGAATCAAACTGAAACAGGGCCCGGTTGGGACCCCCACAAAAGAGACCTTGCGTCTCCCTGCCCTAGAGCTTAAAAATTGATCAACCCCCTCCCTGCAGTTTGAGCTTGGAATGTCCCTTGTCCCAGTTCCTGAGCTTAGGCTGTCCCCTGAGCCAGTTCCCTGCTTTAGATAATTATCCTGAAACTTATGCTTGCTTATTAGTCATGATGCCACCCCCTGACAACCCCCCCCGCCCCCGCTTGCCGATTACAATCTTTATGGCCTAGCATTCTTTTCAGGTACTGCCATCACTGCTCTCCTGGGTTGATGACCACATTAGAGAGCCACATCACCAGATGGGAGGCTCCATGCAGAGCCCCCAGGACCATTACATAGCCTCTGGAGGAATGCCCAGATTTTCCCTTAAATATCCCAGGCTAGTCTGACAATGTTAAAGCAGTTTTTGGAGGTGTTAATCTGCCTTCTCAGACCACCGGTACTCTGATAATAAACGCTTATTCTATGGCCCAACTCCTGTGTTGGTCTATTGGCTAAGCAGTGCAGGCAGCACGAGCCCCAGACTCATTTGGCCTCCGGTTTCAAAACTGCAAACTAGCTAAGTCTAATTACATTACTGATTCCCTGAATTTCACCCTTACCCAAGTTATACAAAGATTTCATGGCTGCGCCAGCTCTGAGCAGTGGGACCCCGGTTTGGATCCCACATGAGGGTCAGGGATGCTGCACCCTCTACAGCTAAGATGGTGAACAGCAGCTCAACCTTGAGCTGGTCAGCCGTGAGTGGCTGGCAACAGCTTAAGGCTGCAGTGAGGCTGCTGTAAGCTACCATGAGTGGCTGGCAGCTGGCGTGAGCCACTGTGATTGGCTGATCAATGGCTGGCGACTGATCTGCCTCACCCGGGAAAGAGCTCCCAGCGCAATGATAATATACCAACATGAGCCAGTGAAGCGACATCCTCCACAACTAGACTGAAGAACAAAAGGACAGCAACTTGTCTGTTCTCCTTCCCAATTCCCCAATAAAATCTTAAAAAAAAAAAAATTTCATGGCTTACGGTGGTATGCATTTTTTATTGAAGCTAATCGTTGCTTAACACATGAAAGGTTCTTTTGATATGACTTCCCAGAACTAGAATTGTAAGATTTTCACATTTCTCCCTAAAACCTCTGGGAAACTCAGAGCGTGCATCTATAGAAGATGTTAACAAAGCCAGGCATTCTGGGGAACGTAGTTCTGGTTTGTACGGAGCGGGACCCCTGGCGCTGAGCAGTCACATTTCCGGCGGAAGTTGCTGGGCGTGAGAAGAAAAGAGACAGTTTTCCGCATACGTCTCTGCTCACAGGCGCACCTGAGCGACGCATGAAGGGCGTGGCTCCGTGTCCCCACAAGGTTGGCCGGCGGCTTTCCGGGCAGGCGCAAACGGCGCTTCATGCGCTCCGCCCTCGCAAGGCCGTCTGGGAGTTGTAGTTCGGACTCTTACCCCAACCCGGCCGTGGGACATTGGCTCAGAAGTCCGAGGCGGTCCACTGCCTTTGGCGCTTCGCTCGGAGGATGGATCCCGGGCACGACGCGGCGCCGTTGGCTGGCCTGGCCTGGTCGTCGGCCTCGGCGCCTCCGCCGCGGGGATTCAGTGCAGTGAGTGGCGTTGGGGAGCGGGGATTGAACAGGGGCTTGGGAGGCTGCGGCAGGGCAGGAGCCTGGCGCTGACCCGCTTCCCGCCGTAGATCTCTTGTACCGTGGAGGGGGCGCCCGCAAGCTTCGGCAAGAGCTTCGCGCAGAAATCTGGCTATTTCCTGTGCCTCAGTACCTTGGGCAGCTTGGAGGTAAGGGGCGTCCACCTCCAGGATCCTTGGGGTCCGCCCACTCCCCCAGTCATTTCGCCGGGCCGTACGCCAGGCGCGCGGTCCCGGCTGCTGAGTGACTCTCGCTCTATTCTCCCCAATCCAGAACCCTCAGGAGAACGTGGTGGCAGATATCCAGGTCCTGGTGGACAAGAGCCCCCTCCCACCGGGCTTCTCCCCGGTCTGCGACCCCTTGGATTCCAGTGAGGACCGCGTCGGAGCCTGGGGGTGGGGGGCGCGTCCGCGTCCCTGCGTGGAGGTTTTGGGAGGCGGGGGGATGTGAAGGGACAACAGGCGCGCGATTGCTGAGCTTTGGCCGCCCCCTTATTGCACTGGTGTATGACAGGGTTGGCTGAGGACTCGGTGCCCTGTTCTAGGGCGGGGTGGCGGACCCGGCCCTGCGTAAAAATGTGCAGTTGGCACAACCTCAGCCCTAGAGTCACAATTGCAACCTGTTTTATTGCTGTCACTTCTACATCTCCTTACACCGTAGCCAGGCTGAACCACGAGCAGTTCTCTTTCATTTCCAGGCTTTTGCACACTCCGATTCCTCTGCCTGGAGCACCCTTTCCCCACTCTTCTGGTTAACTAATACTTCTCTCTCCCCACCCCTCTTCTGTCCTGCGCAACTCTGGCGCTGCCCTCCCAGCCATGACCGCTCTGCTTTCTAACCACCCGGCTCTCTCCCGCTCACGGTGTCTTGTTATTTTTATTTGATTCTCAGGGTAGATTTATTGATAGTGGAGTTAACAAACTTTTTCTGTAAAGGGCCAGGTAGTAAATATAATATTTAAGGCTTTGTAGACCAGGTGGTGTCTGTTGCATATTCTTTTTTTTTTTTTCTTCACAACCCTTTAAAAATGTAAAAACCATCCTTAGCTCATGTGCCCTACAAAAACAGATGTTGGGTGGGACTTGGCTCATGAGCACCCAGTTCTGTCTGATTCCACAGTTACCCATTCTAGCTGTGGTGCACATGGTCACCCATGCATGCTCCTCCATGTCACCAAAGATAAGCCATCCCCAATGGCTCCATGAATGGAATGTCTATACCATTCATGATTTAACCACTGCCCTCACACCATCCAGGTGACTGCCTTAAACAGCGCCCTGGCTAGTGTCACCTTTGAGCTATCTTTGGGTCCCTTCCCTGCTTTTCCATCTTCTTACTCCCCTGCCCTCTACTCCCAGAGGCCTCCGTGTCCAAGAAGAAACGCATGTGTGTGAAGTTGATGCCCCTGGGGGCCGCGGACACAGCTGTGTTTGACATCCGGCTGAGTGGGAAGACCAAGACTGTGCCTGGATACCTGCGAGTAGGGTAGGGCTGCCACCCAGCCTCTAGCCTCCTTCCTTGCCCTCCAACTCCCATATGTACACCTCTGACCCTAAGGGACTCCCCAGAGGCCTCCTGTCCCTTCTGTCACCTCTCTGGGCCTCAGTTTCCACATGTTAAAATGGTCTCATGGGGCCATCATAAGGAATAATTGAGTTGGTGTGTTTGAAGCGCACAGTATGGTGATGGGACCCAGCATTGCTTAGGATGTGGGCTGAGATGCTGAAAGGAAAACTCTCCAAAAGGCAGGAGTCACCCAGAGGCCCGGGTTCCCCTTTCCTTCTCCTGGCACCTATTCTTATCCCTGGCTGCACCTTGCGCCAGAACCCCTCCTTTCTTCCCTCCCCTTCTAGGGACATGGGTGGCTTTGCCATCTGGTGCAAGAAGGCAAAGGCCCCTCGGCCAGTGCCCAAGCCCCGAACTCTCAGCCGGGATATGCAGGGCCTCTCCTTGGACCCACCTGGCCAGCCCAGGTGAGTCCTGGGCTCGGGGATGGGGGCCACAAAAGGGGGATCAGGCCTAACCTGGGCTGTCTGGTCTCCACCAGCAAGGGCAGCTTCCCAGAGCGGACGCTGTCCAGACTGGGCTCACGGGCCTCCACCCTGCGGAGGAATGATTCCATATACGAGGCCTCCAACCTCTATGGCATCTCAGGTGAGTGCAGAGTGGGAAACTGAGGCACGGGGGTGGGGCAAGACTGCTTGAAGGTTATGCAGCCTGGAAGGGGCACGGCCAACGTTGGAACCAGGACTGGCTCCATGCTTATTCTGTAAAGACTGGGGAAGGTAAGGGAGCCTTTGGGGCAGGCTTCTGGGGTTGTGTGGGCAGCAGTGAGGCCCCCAGCCCTATTCCTTTCAGCTTTTTACCTCACTCCCTGTGCTTCCCTCAGCCATGGATGGGGTTCCCTTCACGCTGCACCCCCGATTCGAAGGCAAGAGCTGCGGCCCCCTGGTGAGTCTGGGCCCTGGGGAGCCTGGGCCGGTCCTTTCCCATCACTTTTCTAGCACTGGAATGCAGTGAGCATCATCCGTGCATTCCGTCCTCAGCACAGAGGCCCATGTTCCTGGGTTTAGGGAGGCTAGAAGCCAAGGGGTAAGGGCCGGAGGGTCTTAGTCTGAACAGGGGAGTCAGGAGGGTCAGCTGGATGCTGGTGGCTAGAGGCTGTAGCAGGAAGAGGGAGGGGATGTTCAGGCAAATACTAAGGGGGGGCCCATCCTTGAAGATAAGGAAATGGGGGTTCCAGGTAGGGGTCTGGGCCCCAAACTGACCTGACCTTGCCCACCAGGCCTTCTCTGCCTTTGCTGATCTGACCATCAAGTCTCTGGCGGACATTGAGGAGGAGGTGGGTGCGGGGTGGGTGGGTGCGGGGTGGGGAGGGGCTGGGAAGGGGGTGCTGGGCCCCCACCATCTCTCGGGGCTGGAGATCACTCAGTCCCTAAATGTCCCCCTATTCCTTGGACATCCCGATGGCCCCTCCCTCACTCTGAGCTCTCTTCCCCCAGTACAACTATGGCTTCGTGGTGGAGAAAACAGCAGCTGCGCGCCTGCCTCCCAGCGTGTCATAGCCCTTTGCCAACCCTAGGGAAGAGCCCCCTGCCTGACACTCCCTGAACCGGCGGCTGCCCGCCCCACCTTATGTTGGGAACCTTGGTGACACAGGGCATGCTGGACCCTCATATGCAGAGCTGCTATCCTGAAGGAGGGGGTAGACCTGGCTGCTTGGTGATGACGTCGCCTGCCCTGGGCCCTGCAGGGCAGGGGTGGGGGTTGGATGGAAACCAGTGCCTTTAAGTCATTTGTGTCAAAACTCTGGTGCCTGGAGGCCCCATGGGCATCCTCCTGGAAATAAACATGCACGTCGTCTGGGGTCCTTATCATGACCCTGGGTCCTCTGTGGCTTCTGGTCTTCACCTCGCACTTGGAGCACAAGCCAGATTTCACCTGCTGGGTTAGAAATCCTAGCAGGTGAAACCCTAGAGGGGAGGTGGCACTATTGCAACTCCTGTTCCACAGAATGGGGAACAGAGGCTCAGCAAGGGCCTGCGCCAGGACTCTGGATCACAGCGAAGACCCTTCCCGCCCCTCTACCCTTGAGCATAACAGTAATAACAGTAACAGCTACCGTTTGTCACAGAACCATGTCCCCAACACCTGAGGCACAGTATCTCACTTAATCCTCCTACAGCCCAGTGGGGAGACCTTATTTTGTCACCATTTTACAGTTAGGAGAACTGAGGCAGGGAGTGGCTAAGGTCACAGCTGGGAGTAGAACCCAGAGCCCACTCTTACCCAGCAAGCTTTTCCTCCTTTTATGCATCCCTTTTCCTCCACTGTACTGTGGATACAAATGGTGAACTCTTCCCTTTTTTTTTTTTTTTTAGCTGAGCCATCCTGCCACCTGTTGGCAGCTCAGCTTGGGCCGGGACTCGAACCGCTGTTGCTCGGAGCTCGCACTCTTGAGCGAGCTCTTAACCAACCGAGCCACTCGGCAGGCCCCAAATGGTGAACTCTTATTTGCAGTAATTAAATTTTATAAAGTCACCATAAAAATTGAATTAGGGAATACTGGACTCCTCAGGAAAATGGGTAGTTTCCTATGAGACTCTGGTCATATTTTTGTCAAGTGATCAATAGATAACCTTGTTTTGTGTGTGTTTCAAGACACCTTGTTTATTATATATACTGTTGACTTGTTAACATTGAACTTGCTGCCAATTGTAACTCAGGCCTAAACAAAGCCCACCTAACACGTGTTTTCTCTGAAAGGCACATCCCAGCCTCCTTGAGCTTAGCAACACCAGACAGCACTTCCGCTCTACGGTTGGGGGCTTTTTAAAAACAGAAATGCCAAGGAAAAGCGTAAAATTGTGCCACTAAATAGACTGCAAGAAGGACTTGTTTACAGCCTTTGAACTGGAACAAGACGGCAGAGTATCACTTTTCCACCTCCTCTGGGAACAATCACTTCCTGCGACTCAAAAATGTACTGCTCTGTGCATGTCCTCCAATGACTACAAAAGCACCAGAAGTATTAATTTGGGGGGGGGGGATTACAAATTTTAGCCAGTAGGATAATTCACAAATAAGGAAGCTGAATAATGAGGGTAGACTATGTGTGAAATTATATAGTTGCCCCAGGCTCACGCTGTTTTTCTGCCACTTGCATGCTTCTCCCTTTTCTGCTGTCTTCCACACCCCTGTAGCATCAGGGTGGCCCAGGTTCTGCCACCGTCAGGAACATCCCCAGATCTCTGTGGCTCAAAGTCTAAGGCCTATTTAGTGTTCACACCATGTGCCCACAGCAAGGCAGCAGCAAACTGCTGGTTGTAGCTGTGCAGAAATCTCAGACAGTGGGGACAGACTCACAAAGGTCTCACAGTGTAAATTAAATGCCATAGTCTAGAAGTGCCTTCTTCAAGTTCTGCTTACAGTTCATTGGCCAGAATGGGTCCCATGGGACCTAGAAGGGATAGATCACCCACCTGGGCCGTTGTGTCTAACAACACTTCTCCTAGAGTCTGCAGGGGAGACTGCCTTGCACAGGGGTCTGAGGGAAAAGGGTTCCCTGCTCTGTGATCTGAGCGGGGGTGGGGTGAGGGGGAGGCAAGCCTCTGCTTTGGAGTCTGAGGGAGGAGGCAAATCCCTGCTCTGGGGTCTGAGTGGGGAGACAGCTGTCCTGGAGAGGTGGGTGTGGGGAGACCATGCAAAAGGTACCCCCTCCCCCACACTCAGTTTGGGAAAACTAGGCCTTGAGTGCTAAGATATCTCCCGCATCTCCCCCTCTGGGCACAGCCAGCCCCTGCCAGGTCCCGCCCAGGCTGCTCTGGCGCCGGCTTAGGAATCCGATGCCATGTGCTAGCAAAGCTCATTTGTTCTCCCTGGTTTCCTTCTCAGCCTCCCCCAAACCAGCCCTGGATCACTTTCCAAGGTGTCTGTGTGTGATGGGGCCCCTGCATGACCTGTGCTAGCCTCAGATCTAACTGGACCGTCATATGACCGTGCAAAATTCCAAACCCCTGAACCCTGCTGGGCCTGGATCCTCACAGCCTCCCAAAGTGACCAGAGCCACATCAATCTTAACAGCCCCAGGCCGAGCTGACATCATCTTGGGCTACCAAGGAGGGAGCTGGGAGCTGAAGTCGTACCTTTCCCTTCTTTTGCTCCTGGGTACCAAGAGGGACATTTCTGGAGATACGCTGTCCCAGCTCCACTGCTCACTAGCTAGTGACCCTGAGCAGTGACTCAACCTCTCTGTATTTATAGAACTTTTCCATCACCCCAAAAGGAGACCCTGTCCCCACAGCAGTCACTCCCCTACTCCCCCACCCCCCATCCCCTGGCAACCACCAATCTGCTCTGTGTCTGTATGGATTTGCCTGTTCTGGAGATTTCATATAAATGAAATCCTACACTACGTGACCTTTCATATCTGACATCTTTCACTCAATGTGATGGTTTCAAGGTTCATCCAGGTTGTAGCATGTGTCAGTGCTTCATTCTTTTTTATGGCTGAGTAACCTTCCATTGTGTGGATGGACAACATTTTATTCATCCTTTCATCAGTTGATGGACACTTGGGCTGTTTCCACCTTTGGAGATTGTGACTAGTGCCGCTATGAACATGCATGTTCAAGGATTTGTTTGAACACCTGTTTTCAATTCTTTTAGGCCTCCTCAAATGTTATATCCCCACCCTAGTCCTGTTCCTGGGGATGAGGCCAAGGCGTCCAGCTTCTAGTTCCTCTGACCAATCCAGAAGATGAGGCCCTCTGCACCAGCATCCAGCCAGGGGTGCTTCCTCCTCGCTCTACTCTCTCCCCCACCCTGAGACCCCGGGACCTGCCCCATTCCAGGTAGTTCTCAGAAACTAGAGTCTCCAGTACTCCTCAGGCACCTGCTCTCTCCTGGATCCCTATGTGATGGGGTTTCAGCCACCGCTGCTGTGTGGCCTCACTTCTTGGGCCTCAGTTTCCCCATCTGTGAGTGGGGCTTTCCTGAAGATTAACTGAGGCCAGGAAAGCACCTGGCCTGTGCCTGCAATACCAGGCATTTGATAAAGACGTGACATTTATGTATTCTTATTTTATCTTCTTTGTTTTGTTTTGTTTTTCTTTTAGCTGAGCCATCCTGCCATCTGTTGGCAGCTCAACAGCAGCTCAGCTCGGGCCGGGCATCGAACCGCTGTTGCTCAGAGCTCGCACTCTTGAGCGAGCTCTTAACCAACTGAGCCACTCGGCCGGCCTTATCTTCTTTGTTGATATCCATCATGCTTGCCAAGAGCCGATGCTTACTGGGCACCCACGTGTCAGGCGCCACAAGGGACACTCATGTACATTATTCCTTGGCCCTACTCCACCGGCGAGGAGAAAGTCTGTATAGCTTCCCAGGGGCCAGGGAGGAGATGGCCAAGGCTGGTGAGGCACCCAGATCTGTGATCAGCTGAGTCCTTACCTGGGGTCAAACTTGGGAACCAGCTACCCTGCTGATTGCTGTCATTTCTCTGCCCATTGGGAAGGGTCTCAGGGGGTCTTCAAGCCACTGTGTGGCTGAGACTCCTCTGCTCCCTGGGTCCTGGAGTCCAGTGGCCTAGGAAGGGACAGGCTGGGAGACTTCAAAGGACATCTGTCCAATTGGGGTGGGGGTGGGGGGTCAGGCTATCCCCACTCCCAGTGAAATTTGTGGGAGATGGGTGCCAGACTGGGGTCTACAAGGGGCACATCTCCTGCCTCCCATTCCTGTCACCCCACCCCTCACCCCAAACTTGGACTTGGCCATGCAGCACGTCAGGTGTGGCTCAAGTGACACACAAATGAGGGTTGAAGTTTATTTGCGGGTTCTGCAAGAAGGGAGTGGGGCCAGGGCCCCTGGAGAACCCTGGGGCACCAAGCTATCTACTCCAAGCCCTGTCAATTCCGTGAGCCCCAGAAACTGGCCGTCAACCCCTCCTTTTCCTGCCATCAGGCACTCTGACTGACAGCAGCACAGCCTGACACAAATTGAGGCCATACTGTGCACAGGCTCCCTGAATGGCTTACATTGAGTCTCACAGGAGCCCTAGGCAGAGGGACCGCTTCTATTCCCATTTTATAGACAAGGAAACTGAGACACAGAGTGGTGAAGCCCTCAGCCATGGACCCACAGCCAGGAGTCTCGGTGCAGCCCTCCAGGGGTGCTGTGGCCCTGGGATGCTCTAAGCTCTGCCACACGTTTCAAACGCTCACAGCCTGGAAGGAGTTGCAGGGACTTGCACTGTTCGAATCCTGGCTCTGACGCTCAGTACTGGCCGGGGGACCCCTGGTGAGTCACTGCCCCTCTCTGGGCCTCGGTTTCCTCATCTGTAAAACGGATGGAGACATTTAGAGAACTACCGCCTAAATCCCACCATCCCCTCCTGCCTATCACAGAACCTCATTTCTCTGCACAGCTACATTTCCCAGCCTCCCCTGCAGCAAGGTGTGGCCATATGTCTCTGTTCTGGTCAGTGAGATATAAGCAGAAGGGTCCCAAGACCTCCCAGGAAGACTTCCAAAAGATGGTGAGCCAGCCCTGACCTCTGCCTTTCCCTCCAAGTGAGGAGGTGAAGGCTGGAGCTATGGCAGCCATCTTGTGCCATATGGCAAACTTGAGGACAAAAGCCAAGGATGCTGTGAACTCAGGGAGAAATCAAGTTGTACTGCTACTGTATCTGACCCTGGATCTATCTCTACAGAGTCCTATTCCTGCTGCCTGACACCAGCTCTCTATCCCTGATCCCTGGGCTCATACCAGTGTGGAGTCTTTTCCCGAACTCCCTGGTTTGTGGCTCAGCATGCTGCGCATCTCATGGGTGACCCCTTCCCAGTGCCCCCCACTGGCTGATAGTGACCGGTGCATTCGGGATGCAGGCAGGCCGCTCTCCCAGCCTCCCTCCATGGCTGCAGGTCCTGTGGCAGTGACCGTGGGTCTGAGGGGGTCCCCAGGTTCTGGGTGAAATGAGTAGGGGGTTCGGTGGTGGGTACCCTGTTGGGGCTGAGCCTCAGGGCTGGCCTTGGAGACTCCAGTGTGGCGGACAGGGTCATCTTCAAAGTGCGGTGGGGACAGCTCATGGAGGCCACGGCGGGTGGCCCGGGCGGCCCGGAGCAGAGTGTGGGTCAGCACAGCCACCAGGGCCAGGGCACCCAAGCCAAGGATGGAGGCAGCTGCTGCTCCTGTCTCGATCTCGAAGAGCAGCAGGGCGTAGATGGACAGTGCTGAGGAAGGAAATGTTTCCCATTTATTCAGTCAACAAATATTTGCTCCCCAAGCCCTGGAAGAGGTCCCCAAACAGGGGCAGTTATTCAAAACCATATGATAGGCACATGGGTTAACTTATTTAATCCTCTCACACCCCACAAATACATCATCATGATGTCAATTTTACCATAAATGGGTAAATTTTAGATTATGTGTACTTTACCACAATTAAAACAACCCAGGTCTCAGGTTTTCTGAATCTCTGCGATTGGCCTTGAGTGAGTCACAGCTCCTGTCTGGCCTCCTTTTGCTGATCTGAACAAGATGGCTGGTGACCAGACCTTAAGAACCTGTACTTGTTCTCTGTCACCCTGTCCAGCATCAAATTAGCACCAGTCTTTACCGTGGGGACTGTCCTATGCATTGTAGGACATTTAGCAGTGTCCACCTACTAGACACCAGTAGCACCCTCCCCCTGCCCTGTTGTTACAACCAAAAATGTCTCCAGATATTGCCAACTGTCTCCCGGGGCACAGAATCAGCCCCCACCGAGGACTGCCAGTCCAGTTCCTACCCTAACCCTGGCTACTGATCTAGGAGCTCTGACCCACCCCTGTGGCATCAGTGATGTGTATGGTACTAGACTTGGTCAATCAGCATTGCTTTCCCTGGATGTAGGGATTGCTACAGGGCTATCACATGACCCAAGCTCAGCCAATCAGATTCAGCCTTGGGATGTTTGCTTGGGATATGGGGAGGGAGGAATTTTCTTACTGCATCTCCTGGGAAACTGGTAGAACAGAAGCCCAGAGCTGACGGAGGACTTACTGGCTCCTTGTGGGCTGTTTTGGTGCTTTCTCTGGCTCTGCATTCTTGCTTTTGAAAATGCCACACTGTATCATGTCTGACATTTTAAAGTGAGGCCAAGGACTTTTTTTGCTCTAAACATTTTTGAAAAGGTCTTTAGAATTATTCTTTTGGCTCTGGTTAGCAACGAATGGAGGATTGGCTGGACATGCTAGGGAATTTTTGCCTAGTGAGGTCACCTAACCTCAAAAAGAATCTAAATGAGAGCTGAATGAATTCTTAATTTAACACTTAATGAGGCTCAGATAGTTACTTTTTTTGCCCTTTTCTCGTATTTTAGAATGAGGATATTTTATTCTCCAAGTTGCCAACAGTTTTGTCAGCTCATGAAAAGGCTGGAGGCTGGAGGCATTATGTTGAAAGTGCTGACAGATACAGGTGTCCTCCTCAGGGGACAGCAGGTGAAGAGGTGAAGCAAGAGCCATTTCTGATGACCTCATTTGAGCACCTAGATCCAGCCACACCTGAAGCCAACCACCCCTGATCTTTTCTGACACGCAAGTCACCCCATCCACTCTCTTTTTTAGAAAAAAACCCCACATCTGGAGCATTTTATTAAGTTCAACAACAAAAGTTATGCAAAGTTTCCTGCACTTTATATACAAATTCCCACAATGAGCTGTAGGCTCACATCTCATAAGCACATATTTTAAAAATATCTTCTAAACTTCTACTTCTCTATTTTGAGACTAATAAAAAAACAGTGATAGCAAATCCCTATTTTTCATTCGGTTGAATAATTTTTCTTCCAGTAAAACAGATTGTTTATTGGGCTGCCAGGGATTAGTGTGTGACTCAGCACGGAGTATGCAGACCATCAACAAATTTTTCAAGATTATGACAAAACATAAGATGTCAGGAGTCTCTTTAAAGAAACTTGATGAAACTTGGTGACTTGATGCCTTTACCAGCAGGTATGGGTAAAAGTTGATCTAAGAAAAGTTATTACAAGTCAGAAAAGGAAAGACAGGGTGGTGGGTCCTCTGGAACCCAGCTAATTAATTATTTTTACTCTGTTTTATGTTTTGGGATTTTAAATTGTACTTATAGTTTATAAAGCACATTTCCCCCTCCTTAAGCCATTCTTGAGCTGAAAGTTCTAATATTTGTAACTAAAACAGTTTTTGCTAAGGCTAACTAACCTCTGAAACACTATCTCCAGAAACCACCAAGGACATAGAAACTTTTGTTTAAACCAAAAGTTTCCGTAGAAAACTGATGAATCAGGTGTTCTGAAGACAAGTACCATTTATGAACTCCGCCCCCCCCCCAATGGGGCCAGATGTCATCTGTGGCTTTTACAGGGATTAACTCAGCAATTCTCTGAGGCAATAAACAGTTATCATCCCACTGTACAGACAAGGAACCTGAGGCACAGAGAGAATTTTCCCAAGGCCTCAGAGTGAGAAAGTGTCAGAGCCAGGAGTTGAACACGGGCAGGGCGGCTCCAGAGCTGACTCCATTTATGGGGCCATTACCCTTGGTCACCCAACCCAGGGCCCTATACCCCACATCCTGTCCCCGAGCACACACCTGCCAAGTAGACGGAGACCCCGCAGCAGAAGAGACCAAGGGCCACATGTCTGAGGAGGCGGCAGTCGTACAGAAACCAGTCAGACCTGGGAGGGAGGAAGGCAGGAAGGAAAAGGGCTCAGGGGGTAAAGCTGGTGGGGGAAGGCCAGAGGAGGGAGGGAATGATCCAGCTTTGGGGAACATGAGATCTATGTGAGGACCCAATCATCTATCCACCTCTCCATCCATCCACCCACCTATCCATTCTTCCAGTTAAATGTTTACCACCATTTACCATCCATCCATTCATCTCCACCAATTACTCAATCATACAGCCACGCATCCATTTAACCATGCTCTGTGAATGCATCTACCCATTCATTCATTCATTACTTATCCATCCATGTATCCATCATCCCCCTCCTATTCACTATCCATCAATCCAACCAAACATCCATCTGTCCTGCTATCCAACCACCATCCCTTCCCCTCCCTCATAACCCATCCATGTGAGTCAGTCCGTTCAAACATCCAACACTCACAAAGTAGCTATTATGTACGGACACTTGCTAGTCACCTGACTTCCATTATTTTACAGGCCATAAGCTTATTTGGGAGATGAGGAAACTGGTTAACGCTACCAATGATGATAGAAACAGAGTCCCAAGAGCTGACACTGACTGAGGACCTAGTTTTGGTACCTGGCACCCGTGCTACATACTTTCATGGTGGGCACTTTCCCTTCTCCAGTCCCAAGAGATTAGGAAATGTAGGCTCTGAGAGCTTCCATCATCACTCACCTCCCACCAGTACAACGGAAGTGGCCTCCTCCCTGGTCTCCCTGCACTTAGAACTTAATGTTCCATAAATGACAGACGCTTTCAACACTAGAGCTAGCTGACCCCGGGGGCCTCTCTGAGTCTCAGTTGCCACATCTGTAAAATGGGGGGTCACAGCAGTGGTTGCACCTGTTGTAAAATTTCAACTAATATAGAATGGAGGAAAAGAGGCAGGGATGGAAAAAAAGAGGAGAGGAAGGGAGGGAAGGATGGACGGAGTCAGGGAGAGATGATAAAGGGATGTGGGGAGGGATAGATGGATGGAGGGAAGAAGGGAAAAAACCTCTCCCCCCAACCTGAGGCCCAGATAGGGGCAGCGGCTTGCCCAGGCTCGGCCAGTACCCAGCTGGGCGGAGGGTCCAGTCCTCCTACCTGCCGGGGCCAGGCCCCCTGGCCAGCTCGGCGCCCAGGTGGCCGCAGAGCGCGGCGAGCAGCAAGCAGGTGAGGCCCAGCACCAAGGCGAGCGCTGCCAGGGCTGCGGCCAGCGGCAGCAGCGCCCCGGCCGCGTCCTCGGGCAGCCCGGGGCCCGCGTCCAGCTCCGGGCCCAGCCCGTCGGCGCGCAGCCCCCGCAGCTCCGCGCGGCCTGCCTGCAGCTGGAACAGCAGCTGCGCGCCCAGAGCCGCCAGTACCGCCGCCGGGACGCCCAGCAGGATCATCGCAGCCAGCACCCGGCTGCCGTAAGAGCGGACCATGGCGGGGGTCCTGCAGGATTGGGGGCAGTCGAGCAGTCAGAGATTTTCGGGGGTCAGGGGAGTTGTGGGGTCCCGAGGGAGGCGGGGTCGCAGGGGTGTCTGAAAGTTGGAAGGCTACGGGGGGCCTCGGGATGCCGGTCACAGAGGGGGACGAGGAAGCTCCGTGAAAACTTAAGACAAAGTCTCTTCTCCTCCCTCCGGAGACCCTGCGGGCGCCCCCTCCTGGCCTACAGGTGCTGGCGGGGTGGGGCAGGCGCGGGGCGGGGCCAAGAAGGGGCGGGGCGGCCCCACCAGGGGAAAGGGAGAGGTGGCCCCATCCTGGGAGCCTGACAGATTCCCAAACTCCTAAAAGTACCCCCCTACACACCGCTGCCCTAAGCATCTGTTTTACTGTTGGGTTGGGTTTTTTTGAATTTTTTATTGGGGGGCAGTGTGTTTTTCTAGGACCCACCAGCTCCAAGTCAAGTAGTTGTTTCAATCTAATTGTGGAGGGCATTACTCAGTGGCCCATGTGGGGATCAAATTGGCAACCTTGGTGTTATGAGCACTGCGCTCTAACCAACTGAGCTAACCAGCCGCCCCTTTACTGTTGTTTTTAAAAAAGAAACTTGAACACAATTTTAATTCACTTTGATATTTGGTTTTTATCTGTGAACCTTGCAATTGTTTGTGATTTTCATCCGTTCACCTTCTTTCAAGGCTTTGCAGAAATGTTGCCTCCTCCGCGATGCAAAATAGAGATGAAATTTACATGAAATACAATTCACCATTTTAAAGTGAACAATTCAGTGGCAGTTAGTGCATTTACAATGTTGTGCAACCATCACCTCTATTTATTTCCAGAATATTTTCATCACCCCAAAAGGAGATCCCGTCCTCATTAGCAATCACTCCCCATTCTTCTCCCCAACTTCCCTACCCCCAGCACCACTAATCTATTTTCTGTCTATGCATTTGCCTGTGCTGGACATTTCATACAAATGGAATCACACACAATGTGGCCTTTTGTGTCTGGCTTCCTTCACTCAGCGTAGAGTTTTCCAGGTTTATCCAGGTTGTTGTCTGTGTCAGTGCTTCATCCCTCTTTTACGGCTGAGTAATATTCTATTGTATGGATAGACCACATTGAGTTTACCCATTCATCCTTTGATGGACATTTGGGTTATTTCCACCTTTTGGTGATTGTGACTAGTGTTGCTATGAACGTGTGAACCGTGATTTGTTTGAGTACCTGTTTTCATTTATTTTGGGTATATACCAGGAGGGGAATTACTGGGTCATATGATCATTCTATGTTTAACTTATTGAAAAACCGCCAGACTTTTCCACAGTGGCTGCACTATTTTACATTTCCACCAGCAGTGCAGGTGGGATTTCTTCCAATTTCTTCATTTCCCCACCAAGACTCATTATTTTGGTTTTTTTTTATTATAGGCATCTACTGGTATCTCACTGCAGTTTTAATTTGCATTTCCCTAATGGCTTCTGATGGTGAGCATCTTTGCATGGACTTGTTGGCCATCTGTGTATCTTCTTTGGAGAGATGTCTGTTCACATCCTTTGCTTATTTTTGAATCTAGTTTTTTGTCTTGTTTCCCAGAAGCACTTTGCATCTCCCTCATTGAAGCACATGCAGTTTCCCAGCTGTCAGAGGCCCCCTGCTGGAGGCTGCTCCAGGACAGCAGAATGTCTGTTCAAGTGTCCACCAACACGTCCCCTTAGTGTCCAGGATTTTATCCAGCACATAGTAGGCTGTCAATAAATGCTTGCTGCATCCCTGAATGAATAAATTGACTTGTACTCCTGCTCTGGAATTCTTGCAAAGTGTTAAATATCAAACCTGAAAATGGTTTCACAGGTAACACATTCGTGATAGATCCAGAGTAAGAGTGAATGAGTCGACATACATGGCTTCCTGCAAGTAGGGCCCTGCCTTAATGCATTCAGGCCTGAAAGACAGCATAGTCATCACCTGGGCTTTACAGATGAGGAAGCTGAGGCACAGAGAGGTATGCTGACTCCCTAAGTCACACAGCTTAGCACAGGCAGGGTGGTATTCAAACCCAGCAGCCTGGCTCCAATCCACTGCTCTGTATGATTTCACAGACACACTAGTTTTGAATTTCCATGTCTCTTCTGATTTGGGGGGGGGTCTTTCTTTTTTAGGTTACAAATTTTTTGGGTCTTCTGGGAAGAGTTTAAAAATGCTGAGCTCTCAGCCAGTGCCTTATGAATAAAATGACTCTGGTGAGACCATGGAGGGGTGAACCTATAGCTCCAGGTAGCCTCCTTCTTTGCTGTGTAGCTTTGGGCAAGTCCCTTAACCTCTCTGGGCTTCCTCATCTGTAACAAAAATCAGTTCATTCATTCATTCATTCATTCTTTCATTCACCAGGTTTTGACACAACTCACCCAGCCTTTTTCCTCACTACCAAAGTTAGAATGAAATTTCCATGTTTTGCAGGTAGGAAAAGTCCCAAATTGGAGTAGCTGGGGCTCAGCGACTCATTTGGAACAAAGCCTCTGTTCTGTTCCAGGTGTTGGAGCTACACAGATGTGAGACAGTTGCCTTTATTCATTTGAAATGCATTGATGGGGAGCCCTCCCTATATCCGTTCCCAGGCTTTGGGGATCCAGTGGTGACTAAGGCAGGCCCAGCTTGCCCTTCTGGATGGGGCTCATGGCCTGGTGGGAAGGTGGAGACACACGCTAAACCAGACAAGTAAAGGGACAAGTTCAAAAATGGACAAAGGTCTTTACAGCACTGTCTTTCACCATTATTTGCTGGGGACTTGGGAGGGGGGTCACACATACCAAAACCTGGCCCTTCCTTTGGTGTCTGGGTGACTTTCTAGTTTGGGGGGTGCTTGGCTTCAATTTGAAAAGTTAACCCTGCAAGTGGGTGACACTCTGAGGGCGATTCCATCTGCCTTGACCAGGTGCCAAGCTGTCCCTTCCTTATTACAGTCCAGACAGGTATGGGTGGGGATGAGGGATTATGATTCCTGTTTACTGGGGAGAATGAGACCCTGACAGGGCCAACGACTTGTCCATATCACACAGTCTGACACTATAGGGAGTGGACTTTCCGCCCAGGGGCGAGGGTCTGGCCACCCCCGTGTGCTGGCAAGAATAATAGTAAAGATATTAATGGGTAGCATGTCCTGTGGTTTACTCTGAAAGGACATTTTAAAACTTGTTATTCTAAAAGCTGCTGGTGAGCCTGTGACCTAGTATTAGATACACTGATGCACATGTGGGCCTACTGAGGTTCACAAAAGAAAAACTGTGGCTGGAACCTGAGACAGATGGCATCACTGACTTGATCCTCAATGTCCTCGCCTGGAGATTGGGGGTTAGGGGCGTGCATGAAACGAGGCACTTGTCCAGTCCCCAGGTCTCTCCCAGGCACCAGGAGCGTCGTCTCATCTTTCCCGGAGATTGGGCACTGGGGGAGGGGCTTACATTTACATGCTTGGCTCCGCCCCCCTAGGGCACGCTTCAAGATATCGCGGCCAGGCGACCAAGAGGCAAAGCGAAGAGGTTCATAGCACCGAGAGAACTACAGCTCTGGCTTGTTGACTGACCTGCTAGGTAGGACCTGGCCTTAGAGTAATTTTCTAGAAGAAAGAAAGGGGGCTTAGAGAGGGGAGGTGACGTGTGGGAGAGAACAGTCACACAGCTGGGAAGTGGTTCCAGACTGGAGTTTTTTTTCTCAATTCTTCTGTCTTCTCCCGGGAATATTCTGGGTTCACCAGAGACAGAGATTCCTGTCCTCGAGGCCCGGGACCCCAGCATACATGGCACCAAAAATTGAAATGCATCCCATATAAACTATAAATCTGTTGTTAGATCACTGTTATAATTTTGCGTGCGAAATATGTGGGCAACTCATTTAACGTACGATGGGCTGAGAGTGCTCAGCCAGATTATTCGATTTTATTTGCATTTTCCCATTTTGGAACCATTAACCATTTTACCTTCTCCAGGTCTTAAAAATATTTCTGGGGCTCCTGCCGGAAGGCTACACGCCACTGGAGGACCGGGACAAGCCCTGGGCCCGCATCCTCCTGGGGGGGTTGTCTCATAGGGAGATCTCAGCCACCAGCACTGCAGTAGGTCCCACACTCCCCCCAGGTCCCTCCCTGCCTTTCCCCGGGATCTCATCACAGCCCCATCCCCTCCTGGGGGGAGGACCTCAAGAAGATTCTCCCTATTCGCTACCCCTCCGCCTTTCCATGCTTCCGGGGAACTCAGAACAGTCCCCTGACACCTGCTCTGGCCTAGTGCTGGGGCCCCACCCTCTTGGCCGAAACTCAGAGTGGTCCCCTTCCCTCGCCCGGCTCCCTTCCCTCCCACCCAGTTGGGGTTCAACACAGATTCCCCTTCGCCCGTCAGCTTTCCACCTTGCGGGGAACTCAGGGCAGCCCCCCGCCCCCGCCCACTAGCGGGGTGGGGAGGGCGCATCATAGACCCGCCCCCCGGTCCGTCGGTTCTCTCCCGTCTGATCACGCGGGCCCTCCAGGGTCACTGTCAAGCGTTTGAATTTTGTTCTCAGTATGAGGGGAAACACAGGGGTCAAAACGACCTCCCTTCCCTCCTCCTCTTCGGGCGTGTCATCCTACAATCCCCACTCCGGTACGCCCCACCCCTGGGGTCAGAACAGCCTTCCGGCCCCGCTTTCCGCCCCACGCCGCCGGGCCCACGCGGTACTTGCGGCGGCGCAGCGGCTCAGTGAGGCTGCGCGGTGCGGGGTCGTCCAGGTCCTCCGGCTGCAGGAAGTTGCGGTCTAGCACCTCCGCTGCCTCCTGCCAGTTGGAGAAGCAGGCGGGGCCCAGGCGCTGGATCTCGACGGTCGCGTCGCGAGTGAGTACGTCCCCACCCGGCTTGAGCACCACGACTGCCGGCAAGCTCTCCACGGAGAACTGGCGTCCGAGGTCCCTGCGAGGCGGGTGGGTCAATGACCCCAAGCTGGGGAGCCCCACATCCCTTCTCCTAGTACTTACTGAGTGCCCTCTGTGTGCACTGCCCGGGCGGGGCGCTGGGGACTCCCGGGGACAAGGACAGGCTGGATCACACTGGCCTCTGCGCTGTGCCTCCGGCACCCTAGATTTGCTCCCACCTCAGGGCCTCTGCCCTAGCCGTGCCCTCTGCCCGGCGCCTTTCCCTAGACCTATGCCTGTTAAGACCCAACCTCAAATCCAAACACTTCCTTTTCCCTGTGCTGTGCAGCGCCTCTTAGCATCTAACACATTGCATAGTTTATTTCTACTGTTTATTATTTCCTCCCGTAATAGAATGTATTAATAGCTTTGCTAGGGCATGGATTTCTGTCTCCATTCACTGGTGTCCAGTGCCTGAAACAGAGCAGGTCACAGAGTAGGTGCTCAGGAAATGTATGTGAGTGAATGAATGAATACTGTTAAATGCCATAAAGAAATATTAATCTGGGTGAGGGACTGGTGGACATGGAGGGCCTAAGGAGGTGGTGACCTTTGAGCTGAGAGCTGCAGGAGGAGGAGGGTGAGGATTGGGGTAAGGGTGTATCAGGCAGAGAGCACAGCCCATGCAAAGGACCTGAGGTGGGAGGGAGGTTGGCGTGCAGCCTGGATCACGTGGGCCCTCCAGGGTCCTGGTCAAGAGTTTGGATTTTGGGGCCGGCTGAGTGGCTTAGTTGGTTAAGAGCACGCCCAAGAGTGCGAGCTCTGAGCAACAGGGTTGCCGGTTTGATTCCCATATGGGCCAGTGACGCTGTGCACCTAGCTGAGTTGCTGCTGAGCCAACGACAGGTGGCAGGATGGCTCAGCTGGTGAGAGCACATGCTCCTAACAACAAGGCTTTTTGCCGATTTGAATGGTGGGTTATGGCCACCCGCAACTAATTGAACATAACATCTTTAGCTGAGCAGCGCCACTGGACTTGGAGCTGAGCTTGCTCCGCCCTCCACAACTAAGATTGAAGAACAACAACGTGGCTGTTCCTCTCCCCCAATTCTCCAATAAAATCTTAAAAAAAAAACAAAAAAAACTTTGGATTTTGTTCTCAGTATGTGGGGGATGCCAGTGAGAAACCATCCACAGCCCCAGGATACCCCTAAGGCCAGAAACAAACACAGTCATCATGGAGTAAAGGGGGCTGCCAGACTAGGCCCATCACCCGCAGTTCTTAATTTCCGCCCACTGGGTTCTTGGGTGGCCCTTTTCCAGGCCTCCACACAGAGAACACTTGGTACTTGCAAAATCCCACAGGAGTAGGTTGCCTGACTTAGCAAATAGAAGTACAGGACATCCAGTTAAATCCGAAAGCAAATATGGCAAAATGTTCACAATGGCCGTGGGTTTTCTTGTGTACTTCCAACTTTTTGGTATCTTTGAAATTTTTCATAATAAAAAGTGTGAAAGTCTTACTGCAGAAAAGGTGAAAGTTCTAAAATGGCCACAAATTAAACACCGCTTATTGGGCTGCTCATTGTAAAGTTTGAATCCAATCACCTCTCTCAGCTTCAGTGCCCTCCATGGCTCCCAGTTACTCTGAAGATCATATCCACGCTCGTTAAGGTGTCATATGGGGCACTGCTACACATGGTGCCTGCAGACTTCTCACCCCTGAAATTACTTGCGGTTCCCTGAATTGGCTGTTCTTTCTCTGACAGCCTCCGAGCCTTTGTGCTGTGCACTCTGCCTGGAAACCCTCCCCTTTCCTCATGCTTTACTCTCCCATTCTCCCTGTTCTTAGGGGCTTCTCTTTAAAGCCACTTCTTTGGTGAGCATCCCCTGACCCCCAATTTCAGCAAGGTCTCCCATGGCATCCTTCCTTTGTCCTCCGAAATACTACTGTAGTTTGCTATTACATAGTTAAGTCTTTGTTTCACTCTTGTCCCCCTACTATCTTGTAAGCTCCCCAGAGACAGGATGGATACGGGCATGTGCACCCTCCTGTGTATCCCCCAGTTCTCAGTACACGGACTGGCACACAGGAGCTGCTCATCAACTCTAGATGAAGCAGATGCATCAACAAAACTAATACTTCACTCTCAGCAGAAACAGCCCCTCCTCCAGGAAGTCCTCCCTCCCCTCCCCTCCCCCCTCACCTCCTTAGGTCATCCTCGAAGGGAAGGAAGAGCCACTTCTTGGGCATGTCCCTGAGGAATAAATCCTGCTGCTCCTCCGTGGGGTCCTGGGACACGTACACCAGGGCCAGCTGGGCTGCCCGAAGCACATAGAACTCATCTGTGAGCTGCACGAAGAAGTCTCTGAGGACAGGTGCGAAGGCCTGGCATTGTGGGCACAACCCGGCACCGAAGAACAGCAGTACCAGCCGGTTGTCCAGCCTGCGGCTGAGCTCCACCTCTGTGTCCAGCTCATCCTGGTCACTATTATTTTGGATCAGGACGTGGCCAGAGAACAGGGAGGCCATGGCACGGTGGCTGGGGGCTGGGGGCAGGGTGGAGGGACCTTGTGTGGCCTTGGGCCTGCTGGCTGGCTGCTGTCCCAGGATTAGGAACCCTAAGGAGGCCAGTTTAGGTCTTCACTAATCTGCTTAAACCACCTCCTGATTCTGATCTAATTCTTCAGGGGCTTCCTGTGTAGGGGGCAGCTGCAAATGCATTTAAAAAAAATGCACAGGATTGCAAAAGAAACCCGTCAGACTGATATATGATTGTGAAAATATTTTATTATGTGATGTAAAAATATACACTTTTTTGTGAACACATTAAGTAATCCTGATTCACGAGGGCTCTACTAATTACTGCAATTTCCAAGTTGAGATGAGTGTAAGTGGTGTTTTGAGGTGTCTGCCATGACCAGGATGTGATATGAAATTCTCTTTAATTTCCACGAATGACAAAGTCACAGGACTGGTTGATGCCTGCTTTGGCAGGATGTGAGAGGACATGCTACACTCCAATGAGAAGTTAATGAAAATAAAGATGAAGGGCCGGCCGAGCGGCTCAGTTGGTTAAGAGCTCGCTCGAGTTTGAGCTCTGAGCAACAGCGGTTCGATTCCCGACCCCCGACCCAAGCTGAGCAGCCACTGAGCTGCCAACAGGTGGCAGGATGGCTCAGCTAAAAAAAAAAAAGAAAAGAAAAAAGAAAAGAAAGATGATTTTTTTTCCCCTTGAATTCTGTCTGGGCAGCCCACCTTAAGATCCCGTGGTGTACAGGTTGAAAATCATGGCTACAGTATTTTGCAGCCCCCTTCCGTCAAGAGATGGAAACTAGTTACCCTCTCTTTGAATCCAGTTTGTGATTTGCTTGGACCAACAGATGTGGCAAAGGGCGTGAGATTATAGGATAAACTCTTATCTGGCTTCCCACTGTCACTTATTTGGAATATTGTCTCAAGATGCCGCAAGTAAGGAAGCCAGTGTAGCCCAGAGGTTGGCAAGCCTTTTCTGTAAAGGGCCAGGTAGTAAATATTTTGGATTTTGTAGGCCATGTGGTCTCCATTGCAACTTTAAATTCTGCCACTGTCATGCAAAGCAGCTCTAGAGAATATGTAAATGAATTTATATGTCTGGGTTCCAATAAAACACTATTTATGGATGCTGAAATTTGAACTTCATAGAATTTTCATGTGTCATGAAATATTAGTCTTTTGACTTTTTATAACCATTCAAAACAGTGAAAACCATTCTTAGCTCATGGTGAGCCAGATTTTGCCTGAGCCACGATTTGCAGACTCCTATTCTAATCTATTGGATGAGAGGCCACATGGAGAACTAGATGCCCCAGTCAACATCCAGCATCACCTGCCACACATATCATCCTCCAGCCCAGCCACCCACAGAAAGTCACAGAGTGACTGAGTTGGGTGAGACCAGCAGAGGAACTGACCGTTCAGGTAACCCACGGATCCTGAGAAATAGTTGATTGCTGTTGTATGAAGCCACTGAGTTTGGGGTAATTTGTTACACAGTAGTAGCTAACCAGAACACCTGGTCTGGAGGATTTTTCAGGGCTTATGGAAATGTGGGAGACTCTGAAAGGAACTTAGTACAGGTATTGGCTTTAAATTATAAAAAGAAAACCACAAACCCCTCATTACCAAGAGTTTAATTCACATTGCCAACGCTCCATGAATGGGTCCATTCCAGATGTGTCCCTGTTTCACTCCATTTAGAAACAATTTCCTGGACAGATTTTCCTCATTTTGCGAGAACTCTGGGAAATCCAGCCTGTTGTGAATTCAAGAGGTCACTGACAGCAAAATCACCCCAACAGTGGAGACCTCTTCTACAATGTTGATGAGGTACCGGGGTGCCAGGCTCATGTCCTCAGAAGCTCTACAAAGTCCATGCCATTTTATCCCATTTTACAGATGAAGCACAGAGCCTGGGAGAAGCTGACTCCTTTGGCCAAATCACCCAGTGAATGATGTGTGTCGGGCTGTCAGCCAACGCCAATCTGACTGAGGCTGTTATCTACCCCAGAATTTTCAAACTGCAGCACCCTTGCCATTTGGGGCCAGATCATTTTTTGTATGGAAGCTGTCTTGTACATTGTTTAGCAACACCCCTGGCCTCAATGCACTAGATGCTAGTAACATACTCTCCCCTTCCCCAGTTGTAACCATTAAAATGTCTTCAAATATTGTCAAGTGTCCCCAGTGGGCAGTAACTCTGATCTAACCTTTCATCCAGCTGTAGTGGGTTGAATGGTGGCCCCCAAAGAGATATGACCACATCCTAACCCACAGGACCTGTGACTATGACCTTATTTGGAAAAAGGGTCTTTGAAGATGTCATTAAATTAAGGATCTCAAGATAAGATCATTTTGGATTATCTAGATAGGTACTAAATTCAGTGACAACTGTCCTTCTAAGAGATAGAAGAGGAGAAAACACAGACACGCAAGGGGAAGGCCATGTGAAGACAGAGGCAGAGATTGGGGTGATGTGGCCACAAGCCAAGCACAACTGGAGACTGTAGAAACTGGAAAAGGCAGGAAGGATGCTCTCCTACAATAGAACATCCAGAGGGAATGCGGCTTGTGACACCTTGATTTTGGACTTCCGGACTCCAGAATTGTGAGAGAAAAAATTCCCGTTGTTTTAAGACACCTGGTTTGTGGTACTTTGTTATGGCAGCCCCAGGAAACTCATTTCCCTACTGTGGTGGGCACTTGACTGTGGCAGAGAAATTGCTCACTCCCATGTGGTGCTCATGTTCTACTTATAGTGAAATCCCCATGCTATGATATTTTGATATTTTATTTCAACGTATGCTTCATTTCTGTCCTGGAAAGTTTGAAGAACTACCTTTGCTGTGGGTCACCCCAGGAAAGGAGACACCCATCAGGCTGTGCCCCACACCTACTGTGTGCCTGGCCCCTTTATTCTCCAGATGAGAAGCCCTTTGTCTTCAACCTTTGTGCAGTGGGTGATCAAAAAATATTTGATGCATAGTGCCCTGGGAAGTGGGAGTTATCACCCAGAAAGCAAGCAAGAGGGAAGAGGTGACCTGCCAAAGGCCACCCAGCTGAAGAGGGGCAGAGCCTGATTTAGCCCTGCAGCCTGAGTTCTGTCTCCCTGTACAGGCCTCAGTTTTCCCTTCTGTGAAGTGGGGATAGGACTATTCCTTTATTGCTCATCCAGAATCAGTTGTGTGTGAAAATTAGTAAAGGGAAACCTCGCTAAAATGGAGTGGGGAGGCCATAAGGGGGCGCTCTCACACAGTGCCACTCGATTTCAATTACAGACCCCCCAAAAAAGATGTACATTGCATCTCTTACAAGAAATAGACTACCCTAGTAACTCAGCCAATGAGAAACTGTTATCTCCCTGAACTCTCACTTTTCTCTAGTGAGGGTTTTCTCAAAACAACTCTTCCCAACTTCTTTATTTCTCTATAAAATAATATTCCTTTCCTTTGTGGGACTTGCCTATGGCTTTTGCTATAGCTTGCTTGTCCCAAATTGCAGTTCTTTGCTATTCTCAAATAGACGAATTTTTTGCTGGTAAAATAGCTGTTTTATTTTTAATGTCATGTGTTTTGGAATTGGGAATTTTTCACATCTTAGGAAGTAACAGGGTGAAAGCTGCCATGTGTTGTGTGATGTCCCTCGGGGTGTGGGGGTGGCCCTTATGTAAAGGGATAAATAAGGGATAAAGAGGGATAAAAAGGGATAACTGATCACTGGAAACAGCCTGGGTCAGCACAGGGCAAGTGGTCCCTTCACTGAAGTGGTGACACCACCTTAGGTAAAAGTTGGGTTTCCAGAGCTTTTGGATTTCAAGATTGCAGACCCAGGACTCCTAAGAGTATGTCCAGGAGCTATGGGTAGCGTTGTAAGAGATAGTCACGTTTACTATTCAGTCCAGACTTTCAGTGTACTTGGTCAGATAAGGGGGAGAAGGAGAGGGGGAAAATGGGGAGAGAAAGAGGAGGGAAAGCTGGAGGGCAAGGGTGGGGAGAGAGAGAGACAGAGAGAGGAGAGAAGAGAGGAGTGGGGAGGGGAGGAGGAGGGATAGAGGGAGTAGAAGAGGAAGGAGGAGTGGGTGGAGGAAGAGAAGGAAGTAGGGGAAGGGGAACAAAGGGGGAAGTGCAGGAAAGGGGGAGGGGAGGAAGAAACAAGAAGAGGGGGGAGGAGTATGGAGAAAGAGAGGGAGGAAGCGGGGAAAGAGGGGGGAAATCAGGGCAAGGAGGAGTGGGAGGAGTAGTTTAGGGAGGAGGAAGGGAGGACAAGCTCTCAACCCACATTTATGAATGAATGAATTTCAACCCGGAGCTGTTGGGACAGCTCCAGTCCTCAGTTTCTTTACCTGCAAAATAGGAGTAATAATTGTAGTGTTACCTGGTAGGATAAGAGTCCAGCTATAGTTACTGGTCATTGCTGACTCCTGGCCAAGAAAGTAGTGGGCTAGTGGCTGGCTCTGGGCCTGTCCTCGGGATCTGCCTCCTCAGCCCCCATTCCACCCACCCTGGGCTGCCAGCAGGAACCAATGACAGCGTGGGGAATGAGTGCCTGCCCAGCCCTGTTCTCAAATGGTGCTGGAAGCAGGCCTGGGCCGCCTCCCAAGGAGAGTACTGGGAAGGTCGGCCAAGCAGGGCAGAAAACAAGTCGGGGTGGGGTGGGTAGGGGGGCAGAGGAGGAGGAGCTTGGAGGAAGGGATCCAAGGCAGAGGCCCTCCTGGGCACAGACCAGGCACAGCAGGGTTCAGGAGTCTGCAGAAACAGAGATCCCCTCCCCCAACGCCCCAACCCTGTAGGGCCCACCTGCTGGGGTTAGATTTGGGGTTTTCTGTCTTGATCTGATCATCCTTGCCTGCCTTCTGCCTGAGCTTCTGGGAGACTGCGAGGGAGCGTTCAAGATTGAGGGTCTGTGAGCGGCTCCAGGTCAGCCAGGGAACAGGGTGGTGTGCGCCAGGCCAGGGCTGGCCGCACCTGATCTGGAGTGGGGCTTCTGCGTCTCTGGGTGGGAATTTAGGACCTTGGGGTGCAAATAAAGAACTCCTGTGGGAGGGTGGGGATCTGGTGTGTGGAGTTTGTTCTCCCTGGCCTTCTGGGGTGTTACATTGAGACTTAATTGACAAGATTTTGGGATATGGATTTGGGATTAGATAGGTCCTTGAAATATCTTTCAAATTAAGGTGGAGTTTGGATTATGAATTTCTGGGATCCTAGGCTGTGAGTTTAGAACTCCCCGGGTCTCTGGAATGTAGGTTTAAGATCGAAGAGGCTTTGGGTTTGGATTTAGGACAAGCTGGGGAAAGAATCTAGTACAGGCTAGGCCCGAGTGTGAACTGCAATTTCCCAGTCCCCCGGGGTAGGAGTCCTGGTTGCCATCTAGGGCGTGACTGCCAGCACCAAGGAGCCACGCCTTTCGGCTGCGGGGTGCACGTGTTTCCTAAACGTTCGGCGTGGGGCGGGTGAAACTTCGTTGTCATGGAGACAGCGGCTGTCTAAACCGGACCGTTCTAGCCTCCGGGTCTCGTTAGCCGTAGTCTCTCTGGTCCAGGGGCCTTCTCTGTGGTCGTGGCCTCCAGAAGGGGGCGGGCCTCCGCTATGCGGCGGAAGGGCTCTGAGCCAGACTGGTCGGAAGAAGACCTTGGGGGTGGGCCTGCGCGGGCAGGTGGGGCGGGGCCTCGGGCGCTTGGTGGGCCTGAGGAAGGCCCGGAGGGTGGCAACAGGGCCAAAGCCTGAGGGCGGAGCGAGTGGCCTGGGATGGAACCTGGGGCTGGGAATGCAGTCTGGGCGGATTCTAGCTCAGAGTGGGCGTGGCGTGTGTTTATGGGCGGGGCCCAATGAGTGGCGGGGTGGTACTGGAGGGACCTGTAGGAAAACCCTGGACTTGTGGCTGGACAGGCCTGGGGACAGGAAGAGTGATGGATCCTGGAACTGAGGACAGCAACTAGGTTATGGCATGGGGACGGGGTCTGGTGGAGTGACTGGAAAGGGCCTGGGTTTGTGGTGGGAACAAGGTGGATCCCAGGCTTGGGGGCCAAGTCGTGAGGGTGGAGTTTGGGTCCGGTATCCCACACCTAGGTCAAGACATGGAACAAGGCTTGACAGTGACTGACAGGGTAGAAGAGATGTGTATGGAGGCGTGGCCTATACTAATGATTGGCGGAGAAGCGTGTGCCGGGCTTGGAGCAAGGAGGCCTGTACTCAGCATACGATGGGGCGGAGCCCTGGTTCAGGGGCGGAATATAGCCGAGGTGTGGCCAATCCCAGGCAGGCATGGGGGCGGGGTATGGTTTGGAACAGGTGGGTCTGAATAGGGGGCGGCTCCAAGTGGGCGGCCGAGACTCGCCCGTGGGGGCGGAGCTCATCTAGAGGGTTGAACTGGCCCTGGGGGCGGGGCCGGAGGGGACCGAGGACTCAGGGCTCTCCACCTCCTCAGGATGCGGGCTCCGGGTGCGGGCTCGGCCTCCGTAGCCTCTCTGGTGCTGCTGTGGCTGCTGGGGCTGCCGTGGACCTGGAGCGCAGCGGCGGCCCTCGGTGTGTACGTGGGCGGCGGCGGCTGGCGTTTCCTGCGCATCGTCTGCAAGACCGCGAGGCGGGACCTCTTGTGAGTACAGCCCGGGCCTGGCCGGGGCAGTGCGCCCTGGGGGCGAACACAATAGCGGCGGCGTGCGGGACCCTGAGGGCCTTGAGGAGAGGGTTTGGAGACTGGGGCGGGGCTTGGGTGAGGGCGGGGCTACAAGCTGGACCTAGGCCTGGGCCTGAAAGAGTGACGGGTTGGGGGATTAGGAGAGGACCTACAGAGGACGGCTTGAGGGTCTCTGCGGGGAGATGAGTTAGGTTTCAGTGTTCTTGAGGCTGTGGCAACAGGGAGCTGGAGGGCAACTTGGGGGTCTGTGAGGAGTTGGTAGAGAACGGGCTGATTATGAGGCCATGGGTGTTTGGTTTTATCTGTGGGGGCTTGGTGACTGTGGAAGGCCTCTGTGGGCTCTTCAGGGATTCTGGTAGGTCCCTAGGAGTGTACAGGGTTGACCGAGTGTTCTCTGGGGGCTGCCCAGACACTTTGGGTCTATTTAGGGCTTTTGGGGGGGATGAAAGGGCCTCTTGGGGCGTCTGTAAAAGACTTTTAAGGTCTTTGAAGGGTGGGTGCCTCTTCAGGGCCATTTACAAGTTTTTCTGTGACCCGGGGCTCTTTGAGAGTTTGGGGTCTGTGTGGGATTTTGGAGGTTGTTCAGGGTCTTTGGAGAGGTTGCTATGTATTCCAAAACTTATTTGGTGGTCTCTGGAGACTGGGATCTCTGGGAGGGGATTCTGGTGTCGTTTCCAGGCCTCTTGGAAGGTCTCTGGGAGTGTCTCTGAGGGGTTTGCCCAAAGGAGCTGTTGGGGGTCCTCCTGGGGATGAAATAGGTATTGCTGCCGTCCCCATAGGAGTAAATCTCAGTAGTAGCCCCCCTTTGGGGGAGTATGTGAGCACCTGCTGTGGGTCCGTCAGGCTTGGTGCCTTTGTGGGTACCCTCTCCTCTTGGGGACAGGGTGGATTAACCCATTGTAAGGGGAAAGAAACAAGTTCTATGAGCATCAAGGATGGTGTGGAGCTGGGAAAAGTTCCAGTGCAAATTGACTGGTTCTGACCTGCTAGAACCTGTCCTTTCCTCTTCATGCTCTGGCCCATGCCCCTGCAGATTTGACTGTTCACAAATCCTCCACAACCCCTATTCTCTGCAGGAGAAAGACTCAGCTTCCAGAGGTCCTGCTGCCCTATCCCCTGCCCACTCACCTCTCCCCATAGGTTCACCTGGCCCTCAAATCATCTTGCTTTGGCAGACTAAGGCTGCTCCATCTGCCTGGAACACACTGGGTCTCCTGCCTGGTGCCACTTTATGATATTGCCTCTCTGAGGGGACACTTGGCTGAATTTTCCTGCTCAACACCCTCCCATGGTTCCTTGTTGCCCTTAGAATCTAGACCACACAAGGTTCTTGACCATGTCCCCAACTTCCTCTCTTTTGTCACTCTTCCAGCAACATTGCCCTCCTTGATGTTTCTAAACATGCTCAGCTTTGTTTCAGCCCCAGGGCCTTTGCACTTGATGTTTCCTCTGCCCAGACCCAGATCACTCTCCCTGTTCATTATTTTCATCATGCCATGGCCTAAATGTCACGTTATCATAGAGCCCTTCCCTGACACTGCATCTCTATAGACACCCTCCTCCCGCCCCTTCCTTGTTGCTTTCAGGCAGAGCAGCCAACATTTACAGAGGGCTCCCTTCATGCCAGGTGCTATGCTAAACATGACTCCTTCAAACCCTCCCAACAATCCCGTGAAGTGGGTAGGTACTCTGTTGTCCTCATCTTACAGATAAGCAGACTGAGGTACAACATGGTTTAGTCACTTGCCCAAAATAACACAGATGGCAAGTTCAGGGGGACAAGATTTACACCCAGGCAGAGTGGTTCCAAAGCTTGACTTGTAACACTAGCAGCATTTATCATTTGTAATTGTCTGATGAGTCTGCTTTCTTGCCTTTTAATCCTTGGACCTCTCTCCCCCTACTAGACTGGGGCCCTGTGGGGGCCCAGATGGAGACTGTGTTGGCCGTTGTGTCACTGTGGCCCTGGCCTCCACTCAGGTTTGCACTCAGCAGGAGCATGGTTGGCAGTCCCTCCCTACCTCCTTGGGCTTGCCCAGGCCCCAGCTCTGCCCCATGGAGCTGGGGGTATTCGTGCTCTGCCCTGTCTCCCCTTGGGACAGGGCAGAAGCGGGGTCAACTCCAAGTGTTTGACACAGGGCTTGACACACTTTTCTGTAGGAGGCGGCCTTGCAGATGGCCCTACCTCCTGGTCTTCATGCCCTTACCTGATCCCTTCCCTTTGAGAGTGGGCAGGACCTAGTAACTCACTTCTAATAAATAGAACACAGCAGAAGTGACAGGATATTACTTCTGAGATTAGGTAATAAAAAGAACTGTGGCTCCCATCTTGGGTGCCTTCTCTTGGGTCACTCCCTCTGGGAGAAACTGGCTGCCTCACATCATGGAGAGGCCCAAATAAATGAACTTGAATGTGAATTCTCTACTAGTGAAACCTTGAGATGACCACAGCCTCAGCTGACACCTTGATTGTAGCCTCACAAGAGACCCCGAACCAGAACCACCCCCACTAAGCTGCTCCCAGATTCCTGACCTACAGGAACTATGAGATAATAAACGTTTCCAGTGGTAATTTGGGGGCTAATTTGTTATGCAGTAGTAGCTAACTAATGTAGCTTGTATAGCCCTCCCTGTGTATCAGGCCTTATTCTAATGCTCTCGCAGCCCTGTGAGAAGGAATGTTTATGGACCCCATTTTATAGGTTGGTGAACCAAGGCACAGAGAGGTGAGGTCATTTGCCCAGGAACACACAGCCAGGAAAGGGGCAGGGCTTCAGAGTCTGTGTTCTTAGCCTCTTTGCTGTGCTAGGGTGGTGGTGGGGCCTGCATTTGGACCCTGGGTTCAGAAAATATTTAAGCACCCTGCCCCAGTTCTCCCAACTTGTGCTGTAATTGTGGGATGAAATCTGACCACATTTAACCTTGTTGATTTCTTCCTGCCCCAGGAGGGGGTTAGAGGAGCAGAGGGGCTAGAAAGCCCGAGAAGTGGAGACTGGCCTCTTTGTCCCCAGGGTGGGGATGGCTTGGGCTGCTGCCCAGGCATGTGGATGGAGCTGAGCACTGGCGTCCACTGCCTGCCTGTGTGGCTATGCTTCAGAGAGCCTGGGGACTTAGGCAGGATGGACAGGCGACAAGCTATGAGGGTTGTGCCCCTGCACTGAGTGCTCACGTAACCGGAATGTAACCAGCTGCAGCCTCAGTTCCTTTTTCTTGCTGTGTCATCTGTGGATGGGGAAGCCTACTTGCAGGGGCTGCTTCCTGTGGTTCCCAACCTTGCTGATGGCCCTCTCCCCATGGCTGTGACACTAGTACCCCCATGGGCTTCTTAGGGTGCTTTATCAGGGAAGCTCTAAGGACAGCTGAGCACACAGTAGGCACTCAGATGTGTTGGTTCCGATTGCCATCAGCTGGCAATGGGTGTCTTGGTGGCTACGTGAACTGGTGGTTAGGAGCTTGGTGGCTGGAGGCAGCATGTCTAGTTGTGGACTTTATTTGGCCTGTGGACCATTGCTCTTTGCATCCCAGTTCCTTCATCCGTAAGAATAGTCCTTATGCAATGCCTCTCCTTCAAGAAGCGTGAATTGAGCACCTGTTGTGTGCACCATGGGCACTTGGCCTGCCTTTGTGGCCACCCTGAAGAGGAGCAGCGGGATTCTGCCAGGGGACCTTGTTCTGGGTTGTTTTGTCCCTGACTGTCTGTGTGACCCTGGGCATGCTAGTGGGTTGTTGGAAAAGTCAAGACGTATTTTTTCATTGCAAAAATGTGTCATGACTTTTCCTACAACCCAATAATTTATTTCTCTGAGCTTGCAGCTCATCCATCATCTGGCAAATGGGGATCTCAGGACACTACTTAGCATATAGTAGGTACTCAAGAAACGCAGAGGCTGTTCATCTTAGCTACTCTATTTATTAGTTATGGTAAATGGATGAGCCATGGGGATCTGACCAGGCAGGTGGATGTATAAACAGCTAACTTTTAATATTCTATGTCTTTACTTATTTTTTGTTATAGTTAATACAAAATACATGGTACAAAATTCAATTGTTCTAGAGGGGTGTGCAGGGAAAATTGCCCTCACTTCACTGCCCCAGCCCTGTAATTTCTCTCCTCAGTGTCTCTTTCCTAAGATATGGCTACGGAAATCTGTACAAACCTCATTTTGTTCTCTGTGCCTAGAATGTGCACATTCTCCATCCTGTTCCTCACCTGGTGCCATCTTCTTTCCACTTTCACTTATAATTTTTACTTTTATATATGTCACACAAGTTTCAGGATGAAAGACTCTAAGCCCACTACCTCAAGCAGCAAATGCCTGCCCACACCCTCTGCCCGCATTTTCCCTTCCCTGCTGGGAATGACTCGCGCCTTTTGTGTGAATCTGACCCAGTCTGGCCCCATTTGGGGGAATCTGTGCTGCGATGGGAGATCAGTGGGCACATTGCAAGGGCCAACCCCCTGGAATATTTTTTTTGGGGGGAGCAGCGAGGATGCTGGGAGGAGCCCAGTGAATAGGCAGGCATTTGGGGCTATGCATAGTTTATTGTGCTGGTGGGTAGCATGTGTTTGTGCGGGGGTTCAGCAGGGTCACAAGGGCGATACAACCCTGGTTCTTTCCCAGGAGCAGCTGAAGGGGCTTCCAGGGGCCACAGGGTAAGCAGTGTGACCCAAGCAGGAAGTTTCATAAAAGTCATCAGAACCCTGACCGCTTTTTTTAAAAACTGCAGATGCCAGCAGGCCTGTACATCCTCTCCTGTAACATCCACCTGCCCACCGAGGACCTCATCTCCACCCATCTCCCTCTTACCCGATTCCTGCCACAATGACCTCTGCTCTGGTTCTCAAATGTGCCTCATTTTCCATGGCCACTCCCACCCCCGGGGTCTTTGCACTGGTTGTGCACCCCAACTTTACCCATGGTTACTCCTTGCCTTGCTCAGACATCACCTGCCTGCCTGTCTCCAGGGCCACTCCCACCCCTGCCCCTGTCCACATCACTGTGACTGCATCACTGGTCAGGGCCTTGTCACCAGCTAGCACTTCCCTCATGCTCGTTCATGTATGAGGAGAGAGTCCTCTTCCCTGGGAGAACTGTGAGCCCCTGAGGGTCAGATCTGGTCATGTCTGAGCTGAAAACAGTGCCTAACACACAACAGATGCTGGTATACATCGGCTGCCTGCGTAAACGAAGGAGGGAACGAATGAATGAATGTCAGTGCTGAGGTCTGTTGTGGACATGTTGAGTCCAGGGATATAAGGAAGCCATTGCAGGGAATCAAGGAGACACGGGGGAGACAGCAGGGGTGCAAAGGATGGATTTGATAATAAATTTGACGCTAAAGCTGGTGGGACATGATGGCCAGATGAGGCCTAAGTAGGGGCAGAGTCCAGACGCCGCCGCCTATATTGGTTAGGGGAGAGCAAGCTGCTATAACAGTCCAGCCCCCACTCGCAGTGGTTTAACCCAGCTCAAGGTTACCTCTTACAGCCAGAGACTGTGGGTGGTGGGGCAGGGAGCCATATAAAGCCAGGGGAACCACTTGTTTCTTGAGCTGCTGCACTAAGAGATTCTGGATTTCTTGGTTCTGTGATCTGAAGCAATTTTTGTTTACTTAAAACAACAAAACAGTTCATTTCTTAATCATCTGACAGCCCGGCGTCTTTGGTGGCTGCTTACCTCCACGTGATCATTGAGCAACGTGGCCACTTCCGTTGGGGGTCCTGCTCCCTCCTGGTATCCAGTAGCAGGTGGGGAAGGGGGAGTGAGACACACCTGCTTCAAATGCTCATCACACTGCATCTCCTGTATCTCTGTAACAGGTCTTCTAGCTTCACCTGGGGCAGATGCCTCCTCTACTCTGGTCACCTGTGCCTAGTGCCATCAAGTGACTTGAGGGTGGAGCAGCTGCCCAGCTCAGGGCTGGACCCTGGACCCTGGACCCTGGGCCCTGGTTGGGGCAGGTGGAGCATAAAGGGTCGAAGCTGGAGGTGGTGGGGTTCAGCATGGGGCACTTGGGATGATGTCCCAGGGGGAGAAACGAAGATAGGACTAGGCGCCGGCTCCCTCAGGGTCACCGACCAAGCTGGATGGAGGAAGACAGGGGACTCTGATTTGTACTGCATGGCCTGGTCAGTTTTGAGAATCCATCTCTGGGCTGGTTGGTAAATGGCCTTTAGTCCCCCGAGAGACCCACCAACCAAAGGGTCATCCTTGAACCCTCACCAACCTCGAGGGTGCAGAGACCTTTTTCTCTGCTTTCTCCAGATGGGGACACTGAGGCTTGGGGTGGAGGGTCATCCTGGGGCTGGGCCTGGTGCCCAGTGACACCATCCCCTCTGTCCCCCCTCCCAGCGGCCTCTCTGTGCTGATCCGCGTGCGCCTGGAGCTGTGGTGGCACCAGCGCGCCCACCACACCATCCCGCGGATCTTCCAGGTGGTGGCCCGGCAGCAGCCTGACCGCCTTGCCCTGGTGGATGCAGGCAGTGGCGCGTGCTGGACCTTTGCGCAGCTGGATGCCTACTCCAATGCCGTGGCCAACGTCTTCCACCAGCTGGGCCTCGCGCCAGGCGACGTGGTGGCCATCTTCCTGGAGGGCCGACCCGAGTTCGTGGGGCTGTGGCTAGGCCTGGCCAAGGTGGGCGTGGAGGCTGCGCTACTCAATGTCAACCTGCGGCGTGAGCCCTTGGCCTTCTGCCTGGGTACCTCGGGCGCCAAGGCCCTCATCTTCGGAGGGGAGCTGGCAGCAGGTGAGACCGGGTGCTTGCATCATCTCGGGCAGGGGCCTGGGGCTGCCTGGGGCAGGCAGATTGTGCATCCCAGGCCTTGGGCAGGGCCTGCCCATTCTTGACCGCGACATGTCTGTTTGGGGCTGTAGCGGTGGCTGAGGTGAGCGGACAGCTGGGGAAGAGTCTGCTCAAGTTCTGCTCTGGAGACCTGAGTCCGGAGGGTGTCTGTCTGGACACCCAGCTCCTAGACCCAATGCTGAAAGAGGCATCCACGGCCCCACTGGCCCAGTCCCCTGGCAAAGGCATGGACGGTGAGTCTAGGGTAGGGGCCCCCCTCCCCCTAATGCCCATCTTGTCCCCTCATTCCACCCGCCCAGCACCCAGTTCCCAACACCCGCATCTCCCACAGATCGACTCTTCTACATCTATACGTCGGGGACCACGGGGCTGCCCAAGGCTGCCATTGTCGTGCACAGCAGGTAAGGGGCCCATGAGCATTGCCCCCAGCCCGGAGAGTAACTCCAGACTTTCTCTACAGCCTGACCCCCAAACCCTAGCTCCTGTTGGGGTCTGTGGGCATCTTGATCCCAATCCCATAAAACCTAAGGTGCACCCCAGGACGCAGTGGTGGCCTGTGCCTGTGCTCTGGGCCCCTCGTTGCCCCACCTCTTCCCCACATGCAGCCCATCAGCAGAGCCTGTGCCCTCAATTTGTCCACTTTTTCCACATCCCCCCACTGCCCTTGGATCTGCCCCAACCCCTCCTCGGCCTCGTGCTGCCCCCACTCCTGTACCTGAATGGCTCTCCTCCCCTCAGCAGCCACAGGAGTGTTTAAAATCCTAAATCATACCTCCCCTGTGCCAAACCTCCCTGTACCTTCTTTGACCCTCAAAATAAAATCCCCATTTGTTTTGTGTGGTCCTGCCACTTCTCTGATGTCGTTTTCTTCCTCTCCATCCCTTGCTTACTCCCTTCTTGGGCCCTCACATTTCCTCAGACTGGCCAGGCTCCTTCTGGCCTCGGGCCTTTCCTCGTACTATGCCCACCACCTGGGAACCCTTCCCTACCTTGCCTCCTCAGCTCCTTCTGGTCAGGTCTCAGCTCAAGTGTCACTTCCCTACAAAGGATCCCCCACGCTCCCTGGCTGTGTCACTTTCAGCCTCTCTGTCCCCCTATTGTATTCCTCAGGGCACCCAGCATCATGGAGAGTTTCTGTATTTGCTGCATGTGCCTCTCCCACCAGCCCCTTGCGAGCTGGGCTGGCTTGGCCTGGGTCCCTGCTGTGTCCCCAGTTCCCTCACTCCCATACCCTGGGGGAACGTAGTCCCAGCCCCTGCCCTCCCTACCCCTACAGGTACTATCGCATAGCAGCCTTTGGCCACCATGCCTACAGCATGCGGGGGGCAGATGTACTCTATGACTGCCTGCCCCTATACCACTCAGCAGGTATGAAGAGGAGGCTTGGGCAGGGCTGGGTGGGGCTGAGGACTTGGGACCCCTCACCGAGCCTGTCCTCTGTAGGGAACATCATGGGCGTGGGGCAGTGTCTTATCTACGGGCTGACGGTTGTCCTCCGCAAGAAGTTCTCAGCCAGCCGCTTCTGGGATGACTGCGTCAAGTACAACTGCACGGTCAGGCCCCACCCCCATCTGTGGGTCCACCATTATGGCACTGCCTGCTCCCCCACCTCCTCTTCAGGGTCCCTGCATGGGGACAGAAGGATGGCCAGTGTTTCTTGAGCACATGCTCTATATCCAGCTCAGGGCTAAACCGTCCATGTGTAAATTCACTGGCTCCTCATAACCATTTCGAAGTGGGCAAAGACATCATGCCCATTTTGCAGATGGGGAAACTGAGGCTTGTAATGCAGCTGGGATTGGGCCCAGGTTGCCTGAGCTCCCTAAGTCACTGCCTCCCTGGGCCCGGGTCTTCCCTGCAGGTGGCTGCATGGAAATGAGACCTGTGGGTATAATCACTGCCCTGGGCTGTTTAAGGCCACAGGCGTGGGGGCTTCCAGGTGGGGTGAGCATGAGGCAGAGGAGGAGGACATCTGCTGTCCTGGAGAGCAGGCGGGCTAAGACATGTCCCTTCCTCTCCTTTCCCCTCTTTGGTGAGAAGAACTCTGGCCAAGGATTTTAGTGCTGTTGTGGGGGTGGAAATACAGGTGCTAGCCCATTCCTCCAGGAGGAAGGGGGAAGGTTGGGAGAGAATGGGATGTGCCAAGGGACTGGCAAATTGGCAGGTGCCACCCTACCTTGGTCAGGTGGGGCCCAGAGAGGTTCAGCCACTTGCCCAGGTCACACAGCTGGGTAGGGCAGGGGCTCTGTGCAGGGCATTCTGGAGTACCCCTTGGGGCAATGACTGTGCTGTGCTCTGCTTTTGAGGATTTACGTTCTGCTTGGAGAAGTCTTGGGGAAAATGGCTAATCTGAATCTTGGAATACAGAGTCTGGTTTTTAAAATTTAATTATTGAGAGTTGCAAATACATACAAATGTGGACAGAAAAGTTGGGGGATTCCCAAGTACCCGTCACTGGCCCCAGGGGCCATCAGTCATTCTGTCCTGCCCCCTTCACCCCCACCCACATTCCTCTTTCTGTATTGTTGTGAAGCCACCAGACAGCAGTGTGCTTTTTGCATAGATGTTTCAGGAAAATCTCTGAAAGATGAGGACTATTTTTTTTTAACTGAGCTGAAATTCACATAAATAAAATTAACCATTTTAAAGTGAACAATTCAGTGACATCTAGTACATTCACAGTGTGGTGTAACCATTACCTCTATTTAGTTCCAGAACCATTCCATCCGAAAAGAAACCCCTTCCCCATTAGCAGTCATTCCACATCCCCCTCTGCCAGCCCCTGGCAACCACCAATCTGCTTTCTGTCTCTGTGGATTTGCCTGTTCTGGACATTTCCTGTAATTGGAATCATACTGTGTGTCTGTTTGTGTTTGGTGAGGACCGTTTTTAAAACAAAGATTTAAAAGCAGGGTCTCAAAGAGATATTTGTACACCCATGTCCATAGCATCATTATTCACAATAATTAAAATATGGAAGCAACCCAAGTATCTGTCACCAGATGAATGGAAGAGCAAAATGTTTCCCCATCCATACAATGGAATATTATTCTGCTATAAAAAGGAAGGAAATTCTGACACATGGTACAATGTGGGTGAACCTTGATCACATTATGATAAGTGAATAAGCCAGATACAAAGGAACAAATACTGTGTGATCCCACTTATATGAGGTCCCTACAGTAGTCAGATTCATTGAGACAGAAAGTATAATGGTGGGTGCCAGGGGCTGGGGGAGGGAGATGGGGAGTTAGTGTTTAATGGAGACAGAGTTTCCGTTTGGAAAGATGAGAATTTGGACGGTGGGATGATTGTTCAACAATGTGAATGTACTCAATGCCACTGAACTGTTCACTTAAAAATGGTTAAGTGAACATGGTTAAGACAAAGTGCCTTTGTCTCTCCACACCCACTCAGACGTATACCCTGGGTGTACAAACACACCCTGACACTGCAGTTGTAGCTGGGGGTCCAAGGTTGATGATCACCTCCTAGCTCCTGTCCAGGTGCCCCCTGCATAGGGCACCAATGAGCAGATGACTCCATGGGCAACTGGGGCTGGGTCTGCTGTGACGTCAGGGAGGCAGCGTTGAGCATGTGCCTGACAGTGGCCCCATTCCGGAAGCATCACTTTGGGCAGCCTGGTCTCAGCTGGCCGGGCTCTGGGGGACAGTGTGGGACAGCAGAGAGCACATGGGCTCTGGGCTGAGGTTGCCTTGTGGGGCATCAGCACTGTGGTTTGCCTTCCTGCCTTGTATGGGGCGCATGAGGTGTCCCCAGGAAGCAGTGTGGGAACAGAGACCGCAGAGGGGAGTGGGGGGACCCAGATGGATCCACTCGCATAGAAGGCGCGTCCAGTTCCCCTGAGAGGACTGAGCTGTTTCCCCAGTTATCATCCTTAGGGTCCATTTTGTTATAGCACTCAAGGTGTGGGGAGGTGTCCTGGGGTGTTGAGCTCTCCTCCGGCTCTCGTGGCCACTCACGGAGTATTCCCCCTCTGCCAGGTGGTCCAGTACATCGGGGAGATCTGCCGCTACCTGCTGAAGCAGCCAGTGCGAGAGGCAGAGGGGCGGCATCACGTGCGCCTGGCTGTGGGCAACGGGCTGCGGCCAGCCATCTGGGAGGAGTTCACCAAGCGCTTCCACGTAGGCCAGATTGGCGAGTTCTACGGTGCTACTGAGTGCAACTGCAGCATCGCCAACATGGACGGGAAGGTGGGCACAGGGGGGCGCCAGGCATGATTTGGGGTATAAGGATCTCTGTGGCCCCGGTGTCCACAGGAGGGGGTGTATGGGTGGGGGAGGGGAAATCTCCTAGGACTCCTCTCCGCCAAAGGCACACGGGGGACCCTCCTCCAGCGCGCAGTTAGTTATGTGACTGTCGCCCCTGAGTTCAAGTCCTTGGTGTGGCTATGTGCCCGGGGCACGTGCCTCAGCCATTCTGCGCCTCAGTTTCCACCTGGGGAGGTGGCAGGGAGAGCAGAGCTCAGAGTCACTTAAGGTGGAGGTGGGGTGCTGATCACCTCCTATTGGGCAAGTCCCTCAGGCTCCTTGGGCCTCAGTTTCCTCTTCTGTAAAAAACCAACAGCTTATTGGGTGTGTTCTGCGTATCCAACATCATGAGCTCAGTGCAGCGCCCCCACCTCCACTGGCAGCTCTGTGGGAACAGATGAGGTCTGTTGGTGCCCCCACGTGGCTCCAGGGTCACTCCAGGTACCCACTTCTTGCCAGTGTAAAGGATTTCATAGACCAGGAAGTGGCGATGGAGGGGGTTTGGGTTCTGGGGGGGGCATCACTCTACTTAATACCCCTATTTTTCAGATCACCCAAGGTCATTAGCTGGAATGACACTGGGAATGCTCTTTCAGGCACTGGGACAGATGAGGCAAGGTGTCGGGGGAGGACACTGTGTCACCCCAGGGCTCCTTGCTTACTCAGTTTGCCTTATCCCAGGTCGGCTCCTGTGGCTTCAACAGCCGCATTCTGCCCCATGTGTACCCCATCCGGCTGGTGAAGGTCAATGAGGACACCATGGAACTACTGCGGGATGCCCAGGGTCTCTGTATCCCATGCCAGTTCGGTGAGCAGGGGCCCCACCTAGTCCTCTGGGAGCTGGGGCCCCCACCCCTTGTCACCCAGTGCAGCCTGAGTATGGGTGGCCTTCTCCCCAGGGGAGCCCGGCCTCCTCGTGGGCCAGATCAACCAGCAGGACCCACTGCGTCGCTTCGATGGCTACATCAGCGAGAGTGCCACCAGCAAGAAGATTGCCCACAGTGTCTTCCACAAGGGCGACAGCGCCTACCTCTCAGGTATGCACACTCTGGGGGCTGGCTGTGGGGATGGTGGCTTCCCTCTCACCTGCTCCTCCCTCCTCTGCCAGGTGACGTGCTGGTGATGGATGAACTGGGCTACATGTACTTCCGGGACCGCAGTGGGGACACCTTCCGCTGGCGTGGGGAGAACGTCTCCACCACTGAGGTGGAGGGTGTGCTGAGCCGCCTGCTGGGCCAGACAGATGTAGCTGTGTACGGGGTGGCTGTACCAGGCAAGCTGGACCTTCAGAGGTGGTTCTAGGGTACAAGCAGCCCCTGGGGAGCCCAGTCAGGAGGAGCTTGGGGGTACAGGTGCCCTTGGACAACTGTCCAAGTTCAAGTGCACAACCTGGACAACTGCACACAACAGCCTGGTGGGAGCCACTGGATCTAGAATCACCCCTTATGTGTGTTTTAAGCCTGTTTCCTTATCCAGAACAATGGGATTATTAAAAGGGACTCTGGCCCAGAGTTGCAGGAGTGCAGTAGGAGCTCAATAAAATGTTTGCTGCTTGGGCGAGTGTTAGCCCAGGTGGAAGGGACTGGAGACCAGAGATCAGGGGCCAATGTTTGAGGGCATATCTCGTCCCATGGTGGGGTGAGGGATGGTGTTCTCAACCAAGCGTCCTGTCTACTCCTGTCTCTAGGAGTAGAAGGCAAAGCAGGTATGGCAGCCATCGCGGACCCCCATGGCCAGCTGAGTCCCAATG